GCAGCAAAAATAATAAATGACCCCGCTTGGGTCAGGTATAGTAAATGTAAAATCACCGTTAAACAGACCAATCAGCTGAATTCTCGAGGTCGCTATTTTGCTTAACAGTAGCCTAACTACAACCCTTGTTCCCATGTCTACCTGCGACACTGATTCCTACAATCCTATTCAAATTCAAACCAAGGCACGGCAACTAACTCTTAACCCGGAAATTTAGTGGCGAGTATGGACATTCTCCCAAGTATGGACATACTCCCGAGTAGAGACTTACTGGGGAGTAGGGACTTACTAGGGAGTATAGACTTACTAGGGAGTAGGGACTTACTAGGGTGTAGGGACTTACTGGAGAGTGGGGACTTACTGGGGAGTAGGGACTTACTAGAGAGTGGGGACTTACTAGAGAGTAGGGACTTACTGGGGAGGAAGGACTTACTGGGGAGTAGGGACTCACTAGAGAGTGGGGACTTACTGGAGAGTAGGGACATACTGGGGAGGAAGGACTTACTGGAGAGTAGGGACTTACTGGGGAGGAAGGACTTACTGGGGAGTAGGGACTCACTAGAGAGTGGGGACTTACTGGGGAGTAGGGACTTACTAGAGAGTAGGGACTCACTGGAGAGTGGGGACTCACTGGAGAGTGGGGACTTACTAGAGAGTAGGGACTTACTAGGGAGTAGGGACTTACTAGAGAGTAGGGACTCACTAGAGAGTGGGGACTTACTGGGGAGTCAATGAACGCGGGGCAATACGCGACACATTTTTAAGTGTTGCTGGTAGATTTTAAAATATCACCGCCACCCTTTGCATCCTTTAACAAATTTTCATGCCTCCTTTCCTATACCAAGCAAAACGAAAAATATAGACACAAGTAAAAATCTTCTTAGTCACCGAACGAACACCCTCGCCCTTCAAAGACTACAGTGTTATCAGGGATACACAATTATCAAGTTACAGCATCTTATATTTGAAGCAAATAATCTCACAGGAACCCGAGAGATCGCTAAGAAAGACGTGGAGAAACTTCTTAGAATATTTGAAATCGAAGGCTGCGGCAATCTAGAACCTAAGCACAGAGTTTCCGCGACAATTGGACAGGAGGTTTTAAGAAGAGCACTTGCAAAATCAAATGTCACCCGAGAAGCACTTCTGGATCCTACGAATCAGCCATATCTCATATTAGAAGGAGAGGATCTCATAACTTATATATATAGAAAACATCGTCTGAAAGCTGGCGAGAGATTCGGGGAAATTACATGGCTGGTTGATCTCTATTTAGATAGTAGGGTATATCAGCAAATATATATTTTCTTTAAAAGACTAATTATAGTATTAGATATCTCGACTAATACACTCGCCTAATTGCGTAAGAAATCGATAGCAAGTGTAAGTTTTACTATCGGCGAAATATATCGATCCCTCAGATCATACCAAATTTCACAAAATACTGCCCTAGAGCAGAAATAGTGGGCTAGACTTGGGTCCAAAGACTATTAGAAACAGATACAACACTTATAACTTGATGCTAATCAGCGTAATATTCTAGATAAGTTGTTACCATACATTAGGCTATAGAAACCTTTGAGATCTTCCCAAATCACTAGGATATTAAGACTCAAATGCCTAGATATACGTTTAATACCCGTTTACTTAATTTATAGCTAACCTCCTAGCTCCTGTATCATTACTTATACGTAATATAGGAACAATAGACACATCTTTTTAGTTCTAGATATAGATCGCTTGTAGATTCGGATTCCGTATACCATATTAAAGGATTGATGCCTTATATCTCTCTAGCAGACTGAAAACGCATCACCGATCTCATAGATTCAAAAAACCTATTTCCTCTTATTAGGATTACTAAAGATAGGGAGGCCTTTAAGAGTCGACTTCTCTAAATACTAGGAAGAATAATATCTCTCTATACGCTTATCCAAGATATACTATTTATTGAACGGCCAGCAAAGGCGCTCCACTATCTCTGTCCGCTAAAATTCAAAGGAAGCCTTAAAAAGGTCATACTAAGTCAATAGAAAATCATCGGAACTAGAGGATTCCTTAAAGTTCAGACCATAGAGATAGGCTTTACAACAATATAAGAAACCGAATCCTCGTTTTCTGTATCTATAATCTAGCTTTAGCTTTTTACTTATAGGCATTTTGTCTATCAAGAAAGCCGGCTAAAAAGGATTAGATAAAACTTCGCATAGCCCACTAAGGATATAAGCTTAAGTAAGCTTACTATATTGGCTTCGCGATTAGGATTTAAGTCTAATCAAATCACCTTACTTCGAGACAAAAATGTAGCGCAATATATAGCACAAGACTTTTTCAAGTCTGTTTGTAGGGAGGACTTCTATAATTACGAAGATCATAAGGTATAATCAATATCTAATAGATTTTAGAGCTATTTGAGGAGCCTACCTAGGTATACAGAGGAAGAAATTACTACAGCCTAATTCACGACAAACGACCTAGAACTTAAAGCGAGCCACCGATTTAACAGCCCCATATAAGATAAGTATAATCGGCAGCGAAGAATGATTTTTGCCAACCAAATGTTTAGTCCCGATCCGTTCTAATTGGAATATATAATATCACTCGGAGTAATAAAAGATATCATCAGCTGCTTCTTTAGAAAAACTTTATTTCAGCAGCTTTAGAATGAACCGCAAGCTACCCCCTTATAAAGTCTCTCGAGGATTTCCGAAGCCACACCTGAATCTATCGAAATATATATAGATTTTGAAGAGGAGCGTCTAATAGTTCAACCTATAAACTCGCCGCCTTCTGAAGAAGCCCTCTAGCTATCTACAAACTCCGGACTAGATACGATTAAAGAAGAGATTATATACGAGCCTGTAGAAATAGACCCCTACCCAAGTAGAACTCCCGACCGTGATTTTCTACTATTAGCAGCCGGTTTTAAGGAAATATCTCAACCAATAGAAACGAAAAATTTCATAACCCTTAATTAGAAGTTTCCTATAATACTTTCAACGTGGTTAAAATCATATTAAGAAATAATTATTGTCTACCTATTCGAATCACGAATTTACTACAAATTCCCCTTGACTAGCAGATACAATCTGCGAGCAACCTTGCAAGATCTTATAAGAGACTATCTTTTTGCGGTGCTTAATAAGTATAGGCTAGGAACCCCGGATATTAACATGATATTTGGAGAAGCTTTAAAAGAACGGTTAATACTGGTCGGAAAAAGAGACAATCCAAATTATAAAAAAAAGCTAGAAGGAACAATTTCAATAGATATACTTCGAGATTATATATTGAACTATAATATTCATATAGGGAAGAGAAAGGCTAATACTAAAGCCATTAGACCTAGGAAGCGTCCGAAGGATAGGACATCTGAAGAGTTATAGGAATCAGTTTACCAATTTAGACCTATAGGAGGATTCTTATGCTAAATTCTTTTATAACTGAAGTCCCCTGGGCCGGTTTGCCGAACAAGGGAGCCATCTAGAGAACGGGTATATGAAAGAAAGAGAAAAACACCCGAATTTTGCAGTAGATCATATTAGCTTTCATGAATTCTGCCATAAGACTGTGATCCGTGCATTGAAACTGTTTGACAGGTACAGTAGCTGACAAGTTCGGTTTCTCAAAGATTTGCGACAAACTGTTTGGTCTCCACATAGGATGACACCCGATATTGTAAGTCAAAAGGTTTTAGATCCAATAATTGAATTTCACTAAGCAATGGCATTATAAGGGATCCGCCCCGTTTTATAAACTAGGGATTCAACTCTAAGATGTCTAAAATATACAAACACCCCCAATAAAATAAACATACAACCCCTCATCCTATTGCACGGATTCGTTGATACGTTGACATTCGCAACATATCACCCAAAAATCCCACTCCTGCTTTGCCCAAGCAACAGTTTTTTCAAACATGATTTGATCCTTCTTCTTGTGGATAAACGCCCGCTGTTCCTTCGATAACAGAAGGTTAGTTTCCTTCAAGCAATTCGCGCATAATATATTGATATTAATACACCGCTTAGCAGGTAGTAAATAGGACCAAACGCAGACAAGATAGGACCCAGGCTTATGTGCCGTAAACTTGATCTTCATGCGCTGTGAATCGCTAGCATGACAAGATACGCAAACCCAGGAGACGGTTCCTTTCATTCTAGGCAGTGTTAGTATATATAATGTTTGCTAGATAATATAAAGACTTACGCCCAATTAATGCCCAAGATACCTCGCTTTTATAGATCTAGATCCGGTTGATATCAGGCTGAAGGATTATCAAACGCTACGAGCAAGCTAACTATAGGACAGCGCCGTTACTTAAGCTACGTTTAAAAGCTAGAGCAGTAACACTAATCCATCCGGGCACCATGATACCGCCACTTAAAGGTACATATTAGTGCGTGCCATAACTCCACAAATCTGTCCGTACTAGACAAAGCCATATCAGGTAGGTCGAGAGGAAAGCTGGCCTAGGAGCCAAAATTAAGTCTAGGAATTAGTGACACCTCGATCCAAAGAGCGTGTCGCAAAGTGTATCGAAAAGCGTGTCGCAAAGCGTATCGCAAAGCGTGTCGCAAAGCGTGTCGTAGGGTTGCGGGCTTATTACCACGTCCAGAGACTTATGGGTAATTAAATTCGCCGATCTAGCGCACAAAATCGTGCTTTTCCATCCTACCTTAAGACCAGAGATACTACACACTTTGTATCTGCATATTATTCTTCAATTCTTATAAAGGTTGAAAACATGACCCTCTTTACCTTCCTGCTTCTCGCTAGCGTCTACATACGTGCCGCCTTAGGTGGCGCTCTCAAAGTTCTTGCTTATGACCGTCAATGCGTGATATGGTCCGATGATAACCATGGTTGTACGGGATACTCGGCATCTTTTGGTCTCCTTGATGGAGATAGCTGTGCAAGTGAGTGATAATCCACAGATATACGATTGGCATTAACGAAGCCTTAGGTATAAGCGAGGTTACACATGGTACACGAACGGGTTACTCTAGATTATATGTGGATATTTGTGGCAAAATAAAAGACTTGCCTATTGCATGGATTGAGGTAAACAAGGACGGGGTTGTTAAAATTTTCAACCGAAAGGGAGAGGAATCAGGATGTAAATTGAAGAACGGATTGAAGGTTGGCAGCTCGTGTATTGCTTCCAACATATATTCATCGGCATCGGAATCATCAGCGTCGGGATCGTCTCCATCGGCATCGGAATCATCTTCGTCGACATCGTCGACATCGTCACTATCGGCATCGTCTCCATCGGCATCGGAATCATCGTCATCGGAATCATCGTCATCGGAATCATCGTCATCGGAATCATCGTCATCGGAATCATCGTCATCGGAATCATCGTCATCGGAATCATCTTCGTCGACATCGTCACTATCGGCATCGGAATCATCAAAATCATCGAAATCGACATCTTCTCCATCACCCACGAGTCAGATTCAGATCTCTAGCTGCACTACGTCCGAATAAAAGAATCATTAGGGACTAAACAAATGGGCTCAGCCATCTGACTATTATTCATGTCTTCCGCTCTTGGATTGAACGATTACTCCCTCTTTCTTTTCTATAGTGACAGGTAAAAGTCCGATAGCATTTAGATCTCTTTGGGTATGGTTTTTTCCTACGGGGTTTTCCATACCACTAGCGCGAATGCGAAAGAGACCACCTTATGTTTTGCTGCTCTATAAATGATATGTTCGGGCCTAGTGAGCTTGTTTTATAAAACCCAGCTCATAAATGTTGTAGTGGGGGACCTTGTCTCCCACTACGTATTAACATTGCCTGTCCTGTCTTTACGAAGTAGTTTTATTATGTAATCTTGGGGAGCCGGAGGATACAAGTAGTAGGAAGAGACAGATTGAATAAAAGACACCTCTACACCTCTCTAAATTGACTTCTTGGACTGCATGTCCGGGTTCCTTTGCATGCAAAGTCGAATATGAAACTGAATTGCGAGTGCTGAATCGACCCGTATGCCTCAGAGCATACAGCCTTGAGCGTTCCCCTCTTCAATGTGTATGTGCGTAATTGGTATAGACCATCGATATGGTTGTTTTTGATGGCCTAGGCGAATCATTACTCGAAAAATGCTAGCCAGCTTTGGCACCTAGCCCTCTTTTATCTAAAAGATGCCAAGCATTTAAAAAAGCACCAAAAGCCTGACCAGAATCGCTGTATAGTGTGCCGGTGAGCTACAAACATACATAGAGAGTCATATTGAGGGGATGTATGTCTAAAGTGCTGATAACCTTGATATTAGGTGCTGTGGTTTTCTTCTAAGGGCATCTCGGCCTAGATGCAGAGCCTTATAGTCGCAAGACTTTCCGCTGTCATTTTAGCGTTGGTTAGCTTTCAGATATTGAAGCTATAATAAAGAATTGTGTCTCCATTCAAGTCGGGGATACTCTACACCGTAATTATTATTTCTTACATCAAGGAAGCCAAAGTATAATCACGCCCATTCTTGACCACAGACATGGGGCTTGCTAAGGAAAGTATATCATGTGAAGAAAGATAAGTTTTTAACATTCAAGTCTCTGACTAACCAATATGCAGTCAATCTAGCACCATATAATCGTGTAAGAGTATCCAGGGATGACGAAGAGTCTGACGTCAAGCAACTCCATTTCTTGCAATAGTCGGTATCAACGATACGATCTCACCTGGTCAGTGAGAGTTATCACCAAAGCGTATGAACTCCATAAAGAGATCATCTATAGAGCTCATATCCGACTCTTCAAAACTAGTAGGCAGTGTGGTGGGAAAATAATCCTCTAGGCCCGGCAATATTTCATCGCTCAAGTCTATAGAGAGATCATCTATAGAGCTTATATGTGGATCTTCAAAAGTAGTTAACAGAGTAGGGGGAAAATGATCCTCTAAGCTCGGTAATTGTCCATCACTCAAGTTCTCGAAAGTAGCTCCCGTGGACTCTGACTGAAGCTGCCACTTCCTTTTTCGTTTAACACAATTGGAGCGGGGCTCTTCGATTGAATATGCATCAAAGAAGTGCCACCGGAGATGTAAGTTGTCAATATACTTCCTTTCTTCGCAGCATAGATAAGGGCAGAAGACTGCAGTTAAAGAGTCCGCTGACCCTAAGTGTTCGTCAATGTGATTCAAAAGAGTTGATTTTGTAACCTATTGTTGAAATCTCTCGTCGGGTTTCTTACTTTTGTCGCCTAGGTAGAATGGACAGAAACCTGGGGCCACAAGTATAGAACAGAAGGTCAGGAGACCACATCGAGGCTTAAGGCTATCGAGATGGCATTTGCAATGATTCTTCTAGGAGTCCTCGTCAAGGAAGATTTCAGCGTAAAGATAGCAAAATTGAATAAAGTTACGCGATGCGCGTCAATAGGCGCGCTTTTCGTTCTTGTAGCGCTGCTGGTACTGTATACCATTTAAGGATTTTCTTCGACACTGTAGGATATACTTAGCTCTCCCTAGTAGTGGAATGCTGTCTTTTTATCAACCTTTTTGATCTATGATACTCTTCAGGTATACTCACCCTAGTATAGACTTCTTATATATTAGATAGCAGCCTTCCTCGGGGGCCATACCAGGATAGTAAACGGTACGTTCTCTTGATATACAAATAGTGACCATGTCTTCTAGGCACTGTCGACCAAGTTCACTATCTAGAGATCCCTTCTTCAATAGATTCTCGCTGAGACGGGAGCGCTCTAGTAGATATTTCTTATAGACATCAAAAAGAGGTATTAAGTCGCGTTCGGAGAAGTCGTTCCTAGACACATACTCAGCGTATAAAGTATCCCACCAGTTTTTAATAAAATCCTTCTTCCAGGCTAGCAATCTTTTTGCTTTCTTAGTATAAAGACGATCCCGTTCAAATACAAGGTCCCTATTTTCTTCCAATTTTCCAGCAATCTCCTAGGTTATATAAGCAATTCTCTGATTTATCTTAACAATTTCATCGTCAGTTATGAATTGTGCAATCGCAGCTACATTGAGTTGGAGTGGCACATTCGAATCTCGGTGATAAGACATACTTTGTTCCATATCACGGCATTCGTAGTCAGGCTCTAAATCATAGAATAAGGCCTATATATCTAACGCCTTAACAGAAGACTGATATTTTATAAAGGTATCATGATTCTAGTAATCAAGAGCCTAACCATAAGTAGCCTAAGAAGCCTTAGCTGAAATTCCTTAGTAATGTTAAGGTTTGACGGCATAAATGTACTTACGGTCGATCTTGTTTGCAACGCCTCCTCGAATTCCATATACACGCAACTGGTCTTTGAACCCATCACACTAGGCTAGGCTAGTGAAGTTGTGCCGCAATAAGGAGAAGGTCAATACCTTCGTTAATTTGGGTCCTTTAGAGTCGACCATTCTGAAGAATAGGAGGTCCTTTACGGTTTCGTTCCATTCTAGAGTCCATGACTCTCTTCCCTTCGGTGGCTTTGCGGCAAGAACCTCTGTCACAGTAGCAAGCCCTTTAAAGGCACCATCCGCCACCCCATAAACGATTACCCAGAAGACAAAACTCATTCCAAGAACTAGATACTCCCTAAACCAATTCTTTGGCCTGATTCTTTATATTAGCCAGTTCCAAATAGAATAATTTTAACTCATATACTCACAGGGTAGTATCGTCACAATAACGCCAGCCTTTTATAAATTCGGGGTCAATTGTTACCCAACGTATCAGATGCCCCTTTGCCTTGCTCCATTTGAGATGAAATGAAAGGTACTAATAATCATAAGTCAGTTTTAATATAATCAAAGATAATAATCATCAAGACACAAACCCTATAATATAAGCATTCGTTTGACTTGCGATAAGTACTTAATTCGACAATAGCCCCTGCTCTTGTACCCGAGCCAGCAAATAAAGAAAGAGAACTTCCAGTCTGTATGCGTGCTCTTTCGTGTATATAATTGTGATGGTTATCTATAAAGAGGTGTCGAAGCAGGTAATCTATATCCTTTCCGTTGACTAGGAAGCGCTCTCTAGGCTTTATAGGGAGCTTATATCTTACTGTTAGTTCGGTTCTAATGAACTTTTATTTTTCTTATTAGCAGTAAGCTCTATAAAAGGATAGTTATTATCCCTTACGTTAAGAACGTCGTCCTTGACTTCCTTAGAAAGAGATTAAGAAGTTTCACGCTCCCACTTTAACGTAAAGCTAGTGAAGTGACCATAAGCCAATCTTTAAGACGGAAGCTTTTTATAAGATTTGATATAAAACTCTGCGAAAAGTTTCAGACGTTCAGGAGTCGGAATAGGCAGGTTAGGAAAATCTGGGTCTATAGACTCGTTACGAGAAATCCTCCATCTGCTAATAATTAGGAACTCAGATCGGTAAAATATAGGTTAAACTTACAGGGCCTAGTTGCTAACTGCATAATCGTATTTCTCTAGCGTAGTAGGCGCTAGCTTAGGGTAGCAGATAGTATTACCCTCTTTTTCCTATTCGTCTTGATATTCACGTATGAAGCCACGTGATATGGCACGTGCGAGACGCTCCTGGAGTGATTTCGGGATATTCTGTTCGGAGAACATATTGTGAGTGGTAAAGAAATTCAAAATAAAATCATGGCAGAGTGAGAAAAGAGCCTTAGAGGTTGTATTATATATTTTTCTTGGGGCCGGCATAGGCTTGGAATGAGTTGGCCCTTATCACCCTAAGGGTGAGAATTGTCACCCCGTTCTCACCTCTCTCACCCTAGTCTCAAGACTTCTCACCCATATCACCCGTACTCACCCTGGAGTGCCGCTTAGGTGCTAGGGCCAAATTGAGTATTGACTGTGCAGAATAATTGGCTTGAGTACGGCTGAGCGGACGGGAAGCCCTATTTTCCACACCCTGTGGTCGTATGTATCAAATTAGGTGTGGGAAAGGATGATAGAAAGCAATCGACTTAGAATGAAGATTTAGAATAAGTCGAGTCAACAGACTGGAGATAAGCCGCAATATGTATTTGCGGTTGGTCGTTAGAGAGAGCTGCCCGGTCGGTACCATAAGGGGCACATACATAGAGGCGACGGAGAGAGTCTAGGTCGTTCACTAGATCATATACAAAGGGAAATGATAGAATAAGATTCCCTTAACACTCATAGGACCTCCCTCCCTCTATCGCGATTCGGCCGTTTCTATCCCAGGTTATATAACCCGTGTTATATAACTAGTTAGTTATGCCTCTTTCTAGTTCAAATTGGTACATACGACCATAGGGTGTGGAAAATAGGGCTTCCCGTCCGCTCAGCCGTACTCAAGCCACACGCCGGTGAGTTAGTAGTTGGGTGGGTGACCACCAGCGAATCCTCACTGTTGTATGTTTTTGTTTTTGTTATTATATATTGAGTCTATTTCCGACAGATTCCCTTCAAACCTATCTATATGTATAGGATTTCTCTCCCTCTATTGTGGTCCGGGTCGTTTCTACCCCCGTAATACCTTTTCCGTCTCGCATCTGTGGCAGAGTCCGAGGGCCAGGTGACGAACACCACTCCAAAGAATCAGTGGGTCCAGTGAAAAGGCTGACCACGTCACGGGAGATGACCGCCCTAAAGATATCGAGCGAACCACGAGAGACGGCTGCCCAAGAGATGTCGAACGAACCATGCTCCGGGAGACGGCAGCCCGAAAGAGGCCGACCACGTCACGGAAGACCCACTATTTCACCTCGTCTCCCTATTTGTCTTGTCTGGCTCGCGATCAACACGACGTGGAGAGAAGGGATGACAATAAACATAATTAGGGCTTCGGGGTTTTAGGATTATGAGAAGGAGCAGAGCAACGATTGCAGAAAATGATGAACGGACGGCTACATCCGACATCTACCCGCACTGGAATGTGACCAATCAGATGCGATCTGTCATCATGTCCCATTAAGTGTATAACTACTCCGTACGGAGTAGCGCAATCTCATTTCAAGTTTTCCCGAGGGGCTAGAGAGACTGTTTATTCGCTATCTCCGTCCATAAGGAGTTAGAGAGATTGGCCATCCATTAACTCCGGCCATAAGGTATAAAACCCTGCTAGGTCCCCAGGAATGGGGACACCAAACCCAACAATCTTGCTTTTCATTCCACCCTCATTGAACAGACCAATATGAAATACGTGCAACTCGGTACTAGTGGCCTTCGCATCGCCCCGATTGGCGTGGGGTGCATGAGTTTTGGAAATCCCGAGGGTCGTTTCAAGTGGTCGATCCCGGAAGAAGACGCACTTCCCGTACTTAATCACTGCTACGAGTCCGGTCTCAACTTCTTCGACACAGCAAATGCCTATTCCAGCGGGATTTCCGAGGAAATCCTAGGCAGGGCAATCAAGAAATACAATTGGCGCCGTGAGAACCTCGTCATCGCAACCAAACTGTGGGCACCCGTTGGCCGCGGTACCGAACAACCGTTGGCGATGACAGACGACGAAAAGGACAACTCTGGATACGTCAATCAGTACGGTTTGAGCCGGAAACATATCTTCGAGAGTATCGATGCCAGTCTGAAGAGGCTAGACCTTCCCTACGTCGACTTGCTGCAGATTCATCGCTTCGACCCCAGAACACCGGTTAAGGAAACGATGGAAGCGCTTCATGACGTCATCAAGTCTGGCAAGGTGCGGTATATCGGCGCTTCGTCTATGTGGGCACATCAGCTCCTTGAGTATCAGTATACCGCCCGCATTCACGGCTGGACGGAGTTTATCTCAATGCAGAATCTTCACAATGCCATATACCGAGAGGAGGAACGGGAGATGTACCCTGCATGTGCCAAATTTGGAATTGGTGGCATCCCTTGGAGCCCCGTTGCCATGGGTTTCCTGGCCCGGCCCTGGCGTGACTTCTCTACTACCACGCGCGGGGAGGGACAGGGTCAAGGTTTCCTTGGCCAGTCTACGACAGAGGCAGACAGAAATGTCAACGAACAGGTCGAGAAGATTGCCAAGGAACATGGTGTATCGATGGCTACTGTGGCAATTGCTTGGTCCTTATCCAAGCCCTTTATTACGGCTCCAATTCTGGGTCTGAGTAAGAAGGAGAGGGTTGATGAAGCAGTGCGCGCCATTTCCTTCGAGCTTACTCCCGAAGAATTAAAGAGCATCGATGACCTATATGAGCCCAAAAAGGTGATTGGCCACAAATGAGATGTGCATTATTGGATTCATTGGGGGGGGAGTCATGCTATTCCAAACTAGTCCGGTGTATTAGTTAGGGGAACCAGGCCCGAGACTCGTTGATAGCTAGTGTTTAATCGAACAAAGTATCCCAGCTCACTTTCATTTTAGTACTGTCGTATCTCGTCACTAAAAGTCAAAGGAACTCTTCGATGAGATACAAGACGAATTGAAGCCCGTTTTATTTTATATCATGAGATGCGGAATTCGATTCCCGCATTTCCCCATCATCTTTTCTACTACTCCGTAGTTAGTTCTTAGCTCCAAGTGGCGTGGCGTTGCGGGTTTATCCCCACACATGTCATCAAACTGCATTGATCGACAATTATTGCACGCAATCTTTCAGATCCACACTTGTTATCCAGTTCCAACATCAGAAGTACACATCCTCCAGATCAGCTCATACGAAACAGGGGTCTTTCATTCCGCATTGCTCGCCAACGGTTTGTAGAACGCGCCAAGTCCTGACAGCCCTTAATAACCCAGCCCCAAGCATGAGCAAAAGACTCCGTAACCTCCCACCCTGTCGGATCCCAGGGGTCGCTCCAAACAATAATACCAGTTCTTCCCGAGCGCGCATTTTCACCCCCCTTCATATCAATGCACAGCTGGGTTTCCTCTTCGAAGTCTCCAGCTAAGATCAAATTATCCCTCATGTTGGGGATAGGAAGCAGGTCTAACCAGGGGTGGTGTGGGAGAGAGCGTTGAATCTGGGTGGGCTGTAGACTGGGTGGAAGGTAACTCTCATAGTCATATTGCCACGGACCAATGCTATTAAATTGGGAAATGGCATCGTCGTGTAGCTGGTCCGATGTGAGACCCAAGACCATTGTGTTTTCCATAAGCGCTCTGGTGAAATTGAACTGAATAAGGTGGAGTAGAAGATCGGTCCGCGGAGACCCCAGCATGTGATATTGGCGCGCCACCATCTCTAAACGTTGCATCGTAGCTTTTGTCGCTATTGAATGAGAGTTTAGGATATGCACATCCTCTATTTCTTCCAAGGAGATGAGTGAGGTCACGTCCACTGTGGTGTGTGTTGCTGATGCTTGTTCATTTGTCTTCTGTGTAATTGTATGTTGTTTAGCAGTGAGAGAGTTGATGTCCTGTTGATTATTGCTGTCTTCCGCGGGCTTTCCCGATTCTTTGTTCTGCAGACCTGTATGTAGGGTCAATTAGATGCATGCTTGCTATCTGATAGGGTGGGAATTAGACCTACGACGAGCTCTTTGATTTAGGCGATTTTGCAGTCTTCGGCGTGTTTTGGGGTCAGTTATACCCGACCAATCCTCCTCCGGCCATGCGGAGAGGCGCTCCGAGAACGGTCGTAAAGCGATCCGCTTTTTAGAGGGTTGCTCCATGGTCCCCCTCATTTCTGCAATATTGTGAATGCGCCTTGATGACAGGAACTTGAGGACACTAGTAAAGGGATGCAGTAAGAAGTAGGGATAGCTTGAAGGGTGAAGAAAGCAAGTCAAAAGTCCGGGTAGAATACCTAAATTATAAATTACCTTTGTACAGGAACCCTGGAACTCCACAAGGTTAAGCCAATTAGACGCCTTTATTCGCCCCACCTTGTCATCAACCTGCATGACGCTTATCCATAATCGGAATGGTATATATCCGAAGTTTTCCCGTAGACATCCATGGATCCATGTAGTTATACACTGTCAGCACCTTCAGGCTACAGAGCTGATATATTATGCCCTTGCACAGATTCGACAAGTGATAATATTGCGATAACTATGCATATCACCTTGGCATCGGATGAGGTCTACCTCGGATTCCGCCGCATCAATAATTGCGCCGGCTCTTAACTTGGCCGACGTTATCATTCTTGGTTGTAGAAATATTTTGTTTGAGCAGAAATATATATAAGGGCTCAGATCTCCCCGTAATAAATTGTACATAACAGAAAGCCACAAAGTTCCTCTGGCTACCGCAAGCCCCTTGTTTTATTTTCACTTGTGCTACGTTCCAATGCTGCAAACTTCTGCTTGGTTGGCTTCTCTCCTTGTTGTGGCAAACGCAGGAGAAACCATCAAACCCGCCACAACACCCTCTGCGAACTGTCAACAAGCAGTATGTTTGTCAGAACTTCTTCGTATTCCAATATTAACTATCTGTAGTGTACACAACTCTCCACAACCTTCGGATCTGCGGTCCACTACCCTCCTGATGATAATTTCATCATCTGGGATGCGAAACAGCAGGAGATTCACCCATCATGTCGTATTGAGCCGAGCAATGCCTCCCATGTGGCCAAATTGCTGAACGTCCTCGTTGACCACTGGTGCTACTTCTCAGTGAAGGGTGGTGGCCACTCTCGGAATGCGGGAGATTCCAATTCTGTGGGCGGTGTTACTGTGGACCTAGACCTCTTGACACAGGTTGAAGTCTTGGAAAACGGCACCAAGGCACGTATTGGTGGTGGCGCAACAACTATCCAAACATATCAGGCCCTGGAATCTCACAATTTGTCCTTCGTTGGTGGGAGAGTCGGTAGTGTGGGTCTGGGTGGATTCACACTTGGTGGAGGAACATCCCCATTCTCGAACAAGTACGGATGGGCGTTGGATAACGTTTTCGAATATGAGGTGTGTTTTGTTCTACAGCAACCCGACCAATCTGTTCATTACTAAAATCCGCATTTCCAGGTCGTCCTCGCCAACGGTACGATTACCACCGCTTCCGAGACTCATAACAATGATCTCTATTTCGCTCTCCGCGGAGGAGGCAATAACTTCGCCATTGTTACGGCATTCACGGTCCGCACATTCGCCCAAGGTCCTGTCTTCACCGGACGGACATCCTACTCTCCAAATCAAACCGAGCAAGTACTGGATAAGATCTACGACTTATTCACAGATAGGGATCTCACCAATGACGTCGACATGGGCTATGATCTATACTATGGCTACGCCGCAGGCAGTGAAGACTTCACATTGATGGGTACCCAGCGCTACGCGAAGCCAATTGAGAACCCACCGGTATTCCGCGAAATTGACCAAATCCCTACATTGAGCAGGTCTACCAGCATACGCTCCATGAGCAGTGCGTCGAATGGCTCTATTTCAATGGGTACCACCCGGTAAAGACCCATCCTTAACCTTTTACTTACTTATTTACTCATTCTTATGTGACAGAAACTTATTCGCTACATTGACCGTGGCCCCATCCCGCCCCCTACTCTCACAGGGTCTCGAGATATTTCGACAGGAGGTGGAAGCTATCAAGGCTGTGCCCGGCATAAGGACCAATTTCATCAGCTATCCGATGCAAAGGACTGCCATCGCAGCCATGAAGCAAAGAGGCGGTAATGCTCTTGGCATTGATCTCGAGCGTGACGAACCTCTCTTTAGTATGTGTTTCTCAAACGCCCAATTTGGAAAGGCTTTTGACTTAGAACACTAACACATTTTCTAGTTATTTTGCTCTCCACAGCCTGGTCGGATGCAACCGATGATGCGGCTGTTAACGAGATGACTGCAAATGCCATTCATAGGATTGAGTCAGCGGCCCAGGATCTAGGTATGGCGAACCGGTTTAGATATATCAATTACGCATCGGCCCAGCAAGCCAGCGAGGTGTTCCCCGGTTATGGCGAGGAGAACGTCCAAAGACTCAAGGAGATCCAAAAAGCTGTGGATCCTCGTGGAATCTTCACTTCCAAGGGTCTATGGAGTGGATTTGTCAAACTGCTTTAGGCAGTGTAGACTAGTATCGTCGGAACCACCTTTGGGGCCATCATACTTTGCTCCTATTTTCTTGCAGTCCGCTCGTTGATTGCGAAATAGAGTCTAGAATAAATCTGTTTTATAACCTATGCTCTTCTTATACGTGCTTCATTAATCGTGTTTATCCGTGGTCGTAAGGATTTGTGAGAAAGCCCGTAGATAAATCTTCTAAGTGGAGGGGTGCTTTCTTGAGCAACTTAGATTATTGAGATAATGGCCATAGAAAGTCACTAAGACAAGGGGGCTTAGAATGATCGTCACCTAATGGTGAACCCCGATTCGCTAGGGTTAGGAACATAAGCAACTTGCATTAGTGAAATACTTGGCATTTCTCACTAATCTTCAAATCTTTCTTCATCCAAGGCCATAGCCACACAACCCTTTTAAGGTTGGAATGATACTTGGCGTACCCACTGTAAGCACCGGACATAAGATTGGAAGTGGCACCCCATTTTGGCCAAAACTGCAGATGTATATTGGCAAGTTTAATTGTTCCTATTCCTATCTAACTGGATTCTCAAATGAAATGAGCCTAGGCATCACCAATGATGTGTCTTGGCATGACGAGGCCAGTCTTGGGTTTGTCTCCAAGGTCACAATGTACCAGTCCTTATGAAATATAAAAGCATAGGCACGTCCTACCTGGGAATATCCTATTCCAAACATTATCCTTTTCCTTCTGGTACAGACTTGAATAGCAAACAGCAGTAACATGAAGATCGTCGGAAACAGCATTGCCACGTTTGGCATGGCAATGGCTCATACCATGTCAGCCATAGCACAGAACATGTCATACGGAGCAGACAATTTCTACCACAGTGATAACGTGACGATTCACAAGATCACTTTCGCAAGCCAGTACCAGACGATTATCGCGGGTAACCTCTTCACCCCCAACAATCTCGACCGCAGTGTCTCCGTCCCAGCCGTTATCGTTGGCCACCCAATGGGTGCAGTGAAGGAGCAGAGTGCGAACCTGTACGCCACAAAGTTAGCCGAACAGGGCTTCGCTACGGTGTCAATTGACATGCCATTCTGGGGCGGCAGCCACGGTAGACCGCGAAATGCCGTGTCCGCCGAATTGTACGCCGATGCATTCAGCGCAGCAGTCGACTACCTTGGTTCGCAGAACCTCACGAACGTGGATCGCGAGCGAATCGGTGGCCTCGGTATCTGTGGCAGCGGCTCCTTCCTGATCAGCGCTGCGAAGATCGACCCACGCATCAAAGCCATCGCAACATCGACAATGTATGACATGGGCGCTGTCAACAGGGACGGACTACGGAAGGCGCAAAGCGTCGCTGCGCGTAAGGAGATCATCGCTGGGGCGGCTCAGCAGCGCTGGATCGAGGTGCGGGGTGGCAGAATTGAGGTCACGGGCGGGACTCCGAATATACTCACAGTGAATTCGACTGCGGTGGACCGTGAGTTTTATGACTACTACCGTACCTATCGTGGTGAAGTCACACCTAAGGGTACGACTGCGAATCTTACAACGCACCCGACGCTTTCGACCACCACGAAATTCATGAATTTCTACCCATTCAACGATATCGAAACAATCTCCCCTCGTCCGATGCTTTTTGTCTCCGGTGACCAGGCACACTCGCGCGAGTTCAGCGAAAATGCTTATGCCCGTGCGGGCGAACCGAAGGAGTTGTTTTGGGTTCCTCGCGCTGGTCACGTTGACCTTTATGATCGCGTGGAGCTGATTCCATTCGCTAAATTCACACATTTCTTCCAAACGAGTCTCAGCTAGAGTGAGTAGCAAACCGAGCTGAAAGATCTAAAATACTCCTCACTCGCACTGATTGGTGCATGTTGGCTCTGGTTTGGTGAATTCCGTTTCATGAGGCAATTTAGTTGGCGATAGTAGGCCGAGGACAATGCGGGTTACATACTGGAAGGGGCGGAAGCAGGAAGGCTGTCGATATCTAGCTAGTGGTTTGTATAGAATACAGATCTTCCTTCTCCCCTCTCCCCTACCGCAAAAAAGCTCGGAATAAACGCAATGTTTTTGATGGAAATTTGGACCCTTAGTTTTCCGCAAAGGCTAGCCGAGAAGCTTTGTTCAATTTTGGCATTCCGCAGCGTGGTAATTGCCCCAGTGACGGCGTCTGCCTCTTAGTTTGGTACCTTGATTGTGCTCCATAATCATCCTTTACGGAGAGGTCAGGTATGACGACACTGCTTCAGCCGATCAGGGCCAGTCTCATGTCTCCAGTGTGTGTGCGAATAGTTGACTCCCAGCTATTGGTCTACATCGTCATGGAATCCTCCTCTCGGGCCATACAGATAATCCCTTGGTAGTCCGCAACCCTGTCGCTCTTAAATGACGAAGCTGCCTTCAAATCGGTTCGAATTATATTTTATTCGGGTAACATGTGATCCTCGACTTCGCAAGGTGCTGGAGATTATGCTTACACTTCCTAACTGGATGGATCTGGACTTAGTGGGGTATTTATGTGGATCTTTCGAGACAATTCCACTTTTCTTCCGGCAATTGGTGTACGAAAAGACGGTGACTTGGCGAATCAGAGCGCATAACAGGGTCCGAGTGTTGACCCTGGGATGTAAGCAACTTGCATTGGAACCGGACTTGTGTGCTGATATCCGATAGCCAAAGAAACAATATGTGAAAGCTCAGGTTATAAAATCTTCCTTTCGTCCCGATTCTCAATATCTCCAACTTCGGTATCTATCGACATTCATACAAACTTATCGACACAATGCAAGAATACACCCACACAGGACCTGTTGATTGCAGCAAGCCAATCAATGTGGAGAACCTCAAGGGGAAAACGGCAATTGTAACTGGAGGTACATCGTCTATTGGAACTTTCTATTGAATGCAGGGCATCTACTAATTAGAAGACAGGTGCCAACGGTTTGGGAGAAGCCTATGTTCGGGCTCTGGTTGCCGCAGGGTATGAGATGATGCTAGAGAAACGAATCGTTAGCTAACAACATGTTTAGCGTCAAAGTCTGCATCGGTGACCCTGATGTTCAAAAGGGAAGCAAATTGGAAGAAGAACTCTCTGGGTATGTACACAGTCGAATCTTCATCTCTGCGCTCCACGCTCATGTATCGTCTCAAAAGGACTAAATTCATTCGCTGCGATGTCACCAAGTGGAGTGATCAAATCAACCTCTTTCGCCAAGCTGTCCTCTTCTCTCCAACAGGGAGGATTTCCCATGTCATAGCCAACGCGGGTATTCATCGCCAGGACGAAGTCTTTTTGTACTCTGGTGACGATAAAGAGCCAGAAGAACCCAAATTGAGCGTCATTGACGTCAACATCAAGGGTACACTCTATACGGCCAAATTAGCCGCACATTATTTCATTCGGCAGAATGGCACAGAAGTATCACAAAAACAGGAGGATTGCTCTTTAGTTTTGATCGGATCTGGTGCAGCATTCCTGGACTGTCCACGGGCCCCTCAGTACAGTGCGAGCAAATGGGCCGCACGCGGAATTATGCACTCGTTGAGAAGAACCGCCCATTTCTACGGCAGTCGGGTCAACATCATCTCTCCATGGTGAGCTTTAATCTCGCTCCTTAACACATACTTCTATTGCTAACAAGGCATCAAGGTATGTCAAAACGAACATTTTATCTGAAGAAGTTTTCAACCATGTATCCAACGTGGGAGTTGAGTTTGCAAAGGCGGAAGATGCAGGCCAATCCCTCTTGAGAATCCTCAGCGACGTCAACATTAACGGGCATTCGTTGTTCGTTTCAGGGAGAAAGTGGACTCATAATGGATACCTTGATCTTGATTTGGAGGATTACTCGCAGAGTCCACTAATCCAGGAGATACAAGAAGATCAAATGAAATCGGCACCTGTCTCTCTAGGCTTGTTTGCGTGAACAAGTGAGAAATGAAGCTAGAGTGACAATCCAAAACTGTCTAGGTCAAATACATTGCATAACGTCAATACTAGCAGGTTCATTTGGGACAATATCGAAATGTGCAGAATTTCAGGGCCACTAACGAAATGAAAAATATTTGCCGGCTCCAAGAATTTGAGAGGTAATGTTGCCTATTCACTAGGCGATCGGTATATTAAAGCTAACGTTGTTTTCCAATCAAGCGGCTTCTCGCCCCTCTTTGCTCTCCACCGATTAGAATTCATCACTAACTCTTCACAACCTTTGAGCAGAAATCCCCACTTCAACAGGAAGGCCGGCGTGACTTCCCAGTTTTCTGGCTCCCACGAAGGACCCCACACTAATAGAGTAGCCCCGGTATTTCTTGTATCCCAGAACGCCATCAGATCATGACACAAATCCTCATCATCAATAAGCTCTTGGATGGCTATAAGATTGTCACGCATATTGTGAAAGGGGAAGAAATCTAGCCAGGGGTGGTGAGGGATGCGCTGTTGAGATTCTGTTGGTCGAAGACTCGGGGGTATTGCTGACACCGAGAAGCTAGGCATTGGAGTGTTGAAAATGGAGATAGCATCATCATCTTGCATCCACTCCATCGTCATGCCAATCAAGCGTGTGTTCTCGGTGATTGCACGTTGGATATTTAGCCTAGAGAGGGAGAGGAGGTGGTCGATATCGGGGGAGTTGCGAATAAAGCTTTCCAGGGCTAGTGACTCAAATTGACGCATCATTGAGTACACTTGTGGGGGTGCGATAGTGCAGGTAAATTCCGTTTCATCTCCGTCGATCTGGATAGGAGTGTAGCTGGATGGTATAACTACGGCTTCGTTGCTGTGGGGATGCTCTTTGTCTTCTGTGTTTCGGTTCTGGCGTCGCATCCCTGATCATGTCAGTGGTTATGATATCACGTGATCGGAGGAAGGAGGAAGCGTACGATATATTCTTTGGTTGAGACGGTTCTGTAACCTTCTCCGTTCAGTCCGGTTTATGATACCAGTCCAATCATCCTCTGGTTTCCGGATAGCCGCCTGTTGTGACATTCGAATCAGTTCAATTTGTTGATGGTCGGCTGCCATATTTGATGACATGGAGAATGGATGTCCTGGGCGATCATGGCGGCGAGATGCTCTTTTTAAAGATGCAGGGTGCTTATGCCAAGCCTAAATATGATTGGCTTAGATATAATTAAATTTACGCTAATGCAAGTTGCTTACATGTTCTAACCTAATCTGGACTAGATTTGATAAACCCTTGGATCGGTTAATCCATTCCGTGGTTTTGGAAGGCTCCACTCGGCGGTGCTCGAGATCTCAACATGCTGTCCTCATCCATTCTATACAACTTATATCTCAGACCTAGAATAGACCGGCTTGGCACCGTATGGACTCAAGATAAACATTTACATTATTGTTACGGCCCTTACAGCCGCAACCTACCGATGGAGCCAACCAACCTACCGGCTAGCCGATCACGTGCAGCATCCAATAGCAAGAGAATTGAAGGAAAAGAGAAACCATGATCTGCCTTCATTGGATCCACCTACCAGATGGTTCGATATATATACCCACGATGTCCAGCGTGAACGATCAGGCTCCTGGCCGTACCGTTGTATTTATACAAGCTCAATCCTTTCGCGGGTATCGAGGAACGATGCCAGGTAGGGCGTCGAATAGATCACTAGCGAGGGAATTCAAGCCGGATTCTAGTTAGGCCCTAGACACCATAAAACGCGATACCGATCTGAAGACTTTGGTATTCCACATTGCCAGCTGGTCCGGGGGCAATATATATATTCGCCTTAGGGGAATTCATGTGCAAAGATATCTAGGATAGTTAACAGTAGGCAAAGAAGCCATTGGTTTTTCCCCTATGCCGAATTCAAAGAGTAAAAGACATCGGAACATAGATTATTAAGCACGATGGCTGGGTCTCTCACGAGAGTTACGAGGAAGCTATACGCAGCCGAGAGCATAATAGATCCACAATAAAAGCCTTGCGACCGTTGAAAACTTTGTTTTAAGATATATGTTGCTATGATCTTGAGCTTAAATTGCGAATATCATTGGCCCTTGAGTACGAAGTCCAAGAACCCCATACTTCGCATCATACTTTGCTTGTATACTAGACTAGACTATTTGGACACTTATTCATTGGTAGTACTAATGAGTAATTCAGGGTGAACATCCTCATCGTAAATATCACCCGTTCCCCTCTGTACACCTGGTCGGGATTCAATCCGACCTATCCATTCCTTCACATGTGGGTAACTGTCCATCTCCTCTTCTGAAATTTTGCTACGTTTCCACCCCCGGACCCAGGGATATGCATTAATATCAGCAATACTGAACTTGCCAAGGCTATTTCCAGCAAGATATTCTCGAGGATGATTAGTCAGGCGTCCAGAAAGATGTAGCTCAAGTACGTTGTAAACCCGGAGTGTCTCAGCCTTGAATCTCTCGATGGCATCTGCAGTATTAATTAATTAATGGAATGCTCTTTTTTTAAGGTCTGTATAAGTTTATAGTAGAGAGGTCGGCTCACAAGGTATGTGTTCAGAAGCAAATCTTCCAAAGTGGTTCAGTTGGCCTTGATTAGGCTGACCTGAAGCATGCCAGAAGATAAGCCACTGCATCATCTGGGACTGCTCCTTGCCGTCGGAAAAGCTGAAGTGATGGTCCTTATCTACTGTCTCGACAAGATAGAGTAGCTCCGCTGATGACTCTATGACGGGGAAAGGCTCTGGTCCGGTGTTGTCAATGAGCACGGGGATTTTCCCTATAAGACATGTAAGCAATCACACAATCCTACACTTTGGACTAACCTACCATTGGGGTTGAGCTTTAGAAACCATGGTTTCTTCTGCTCATCGGTGTCGATATCTATCAAAGAAGTTGTCCACTCTAGCCCGTAAATATCCTTCAACTCCTCAAGAAGGATCTGGACTTTGTGTCCGTTGGGAGTCAAGCAGGTGATAAGGTGTAAGCCCTGATTTCATAGTCAACATCTAGGCAAAGCGATACGACTGTGAGGGCCAAGACCTTGGCATTCTTGACCGATGCTGGGGTTATCTCTGTATACAAGCCAGCCATTTTGTCGGAAACTCAAAGTGAAATGAAGGTATCCAAATAATTGCTGATTGCCAAGGGTGGCTTCTTATCAGGCGCGTGCTTTATATTCGCCTCAGGCAGAAAGGCCTTGGCCGCCGCTATATGTTTCAGAGTTTCGCCAATGTAACCTAAACGGTTGGCCTAGTCCTTAATAGGACCCGTGGACGTGGACCCCTTGATCAAATCTATATGTACGGAGTATATGATTAGTTAATTCTGGGACACATGCTTGATTTGAATTCTTTATTGAATAAGAAGTATGTTTATAGCCCTTCTCTTTATTTGACTGTGAACTTGATAGGACTTCACGTTAATTTGACTATAGCGATAGAGAGAGAGAGAGAGAGAGAGAGAGAGAGAGAGACAAAGACAGAGTCAGGATTAACACTACCAGTACAGCTAGGTAGGTACTATTGGCTCGTGGAGAGACCGGAGAGAAAGAAAGAGGGGGGACAAAGAGAGCGAAAGAGAAAACAGCGAATGCTGAATTTCCTATTGTATCGAGTGCATGGGGCCTCGGCACAGAGCCGAAAAGCCTAAACCAAATAAAAAAGAAGGACGAACATCCAATCTCCGCCCGTGCCCGGACGAAAGCAGAAAAAATGCAACGCTAACTACGGAGAGGCGATTCTAGCGTGGGTGTTCCGTCGGAAGTCCGATTGCCAAGTGGCTACCAGCTGATCGAAGCAGGGGGGTTTCCCACGTAATCCGTGTTTAACTCGACGTGTATTGGCTAAAAGAGCACGGAAAGTTCGGACAAAGTACGTGATAGATTAGTGTCAAACTTGGGCCAAATTAGCATCAACGGCCTCTCTCCAAGTGGGCAAACCTTACTCCGTACTCTTAAACTCGTCCCTTATCTAAAGAGCGCTAAATCGCTCTGCATACGCAAAACGCCCAATGAGATAAGGTATGCTTTTTGTATTCTGCTTCAATGGTGGTATTATTTGACAGGTATTACAACAAATACCGAGTTCTGGGAAGACTCTTAACATAAACCAAATTCAATTGAAATATTATGCGGGTGTTAAAGAGCCCAATAGAAAATAAAGGGTCCGAGCTCTTTAGGGCAAGTATGTTAACATCTTAGGGGAAATGTTACCATCAGGGCCAAATCGGATTTTCTTAAAAGCACACCAGTGCTCAATTATTTTATAGTGCGGTTTGAGACAAAACAATGTTCTGTCGCCTCAAGCGCGTGGCTCATTTTAGGGCTGCATGGTATCATAAAAACAGTTGCCCCAGCGTTCCGATAACAATGTACTTTCTCCGAATTGGATTATAAGAAGTCCGTATGTCCTAGGGTAAAAAGAACTTGTCGATCTACTCTACAGCGATAACCCAGACTTTTGGAACAGAGCATCATATACATGATACATAGCCCCAAGTATGCCTGAGTCACCTGTCGAGACCAGTGATATCTCGGTGGTGAGCCAGGAAGCCATCGGTGAAAAGACCCCTGCTACTGTGCTTGCTACCAAAGATGAGAATTCACTCGGTGACAAGGATGTCGACGGCAATCCAGATGCGATTATCATTACCGGTGCTGACGCGGCTCTTCATATGTTGTCTCTCCGAGATGACTTTGACAACGTCTTAACCTTTCGCAGTATCTTACTTGCCTCCGGTCTTGCGTGTTTCCAAGCTGTGATGAACCAGATTTATCAGGTAACTTTCAATCCATTTACCATATAGACCAATGCTAATAAGTCGATACATAGTTCAAACCGACCCTCGTAACGATTCAGGGAACCTTCATCGTCCTCATCTCCTACTTCGTCGGCAATGCATGGGCTAAATTCCTTCCCCGTGGCGACAGATTGGAAGCTCGCTGGAGGGCGAAAGGCGGCCAAGGAAAGCTACCTTTGTGGATCACCGTGGCTAAATTCGTGAATACCGGGGAATGGACTCTGAAAGAGCACGCAATCTGTTCTATCACTGCTACATCAGCCTCGAATGCTTCGCCTACCTCACAGGTCTTTGCGGCACAGGATCTATTCTATGATCTTCCCATCAGCGCGGCTACTGTGATCTTGAGTATGATCTCTATCGGCCTGTTTGGATACGGAATCTGCGGGATCCTGCGTCCTATCGCTGTTTGGCACCCCGAGGCCGTCTACTGGAGTAATCTGCCTACCGTCAAGACTCTCCAGGGACTTCATTGGCAGGAAGTCAAGAACTCGAAACCCCTTAGGTATTTCTGGTATGCATTCACCGGCATGTCGATATACGAGATTATTCCTGCCTACATCTTTCCGTGGCTAAACTCTGTTTCTATTCCGGTACGTGATATTTCAGTGGTGTTTTGATGCAACCGAATGAAATGCTCTGCTTCGGGGGAATCTCATCGAATAAAAAGGTATTGACTTCAGGCTTTATTATAGTGTCTGGCTGCACAGAAGGCCACCGGTGAAACTGGTGCCGTACTCAACAATATCTTTGGTGGAGCCACAAACAACCAGGGTCTTGGCTTATTTTCGTTTTCGTTTGATTGGCAATATGTGAGATGATTCCCCTCCACTACACATTGATCTAGCAAATTATCTAACAAAAGCAGCTCACATCTTTCCAAACCTCGCTTCCTCTCAAGCTCCAAGTTCATCAGGCCGCTGGAATCTTTTCCTGCTTTATTATCATGATAGGCATATATTATGGCAATGGCTGGAATTCGCGAGATCTTCCCTTTATGTCAACGAAAATGCTTCTTAACAACGGTACCTCATACCCTATCGAAACCGTTTTCCCCGGTGGTGTTCTCGATGAGGCCGCCCTGTTTAAGAACGGCCTGCCGAGGCTCACTGGATCGTTCGCATTCGCGATGTTTATGGCCAACGCAGCCATGGGTGCCCTGATCCTTCATTGCTTCCTATTTTGGGGCAAGGATATCGTGCGGGCTTATAAAAGCGCGAGAAAGGGTATATATGATGATCGGCACCATTCGCATATGGCCAAGCATTATAAAGAGGCTCCATGGTGGTGGTATATCATCGTACTTGTTGGAAGCTTTATTCTCGGTATCATTGTGACCGTGAAAGAGAATATCACCTTGTCGCCCTGGGCGTACGTTATCTCACTGATAGTGGGATGCATTATCGCCCCCTTTGTGAGTCCAGTTCCTCGATACTACAGTCAGTGGACATAAGTCTTTGCACCCCCTATAGCCCCACCTAGGCGCCAGGGGTGCAAAACTTATGTCCAGTCACTATAATCTTCATGCAACGACTCTGATTATGACCGTGGTATAGAGTGTCATCCTTCTTTCTCGCTACGGCAATGGTATTGCTACTAATAATTTGTCAAAAATGCTGGCTGGACTTATCCTTCCTGGACGCCCGGTCGGTAACATGTACTTCGCTGCGTGGTCGCATAACGTGATTGCAAATGCGGTTAGTCTTTCTCAAGATCTGAAGATGGGCGAATATCGTGAGTCTCCCCATAGTTCTTTCAGTTACAAGAGCTGTGTTCTTAACTCATCTTTTAGTCAAAATCCCTCCACGTATAATGTTCATAACACAGATATATGGTACAATTCTTGGCGGCTTCATCAACTACGCTATTATGATCTCTATTGTGTCAAGCAATCGAGCGCTTCTCGTCGGTGGAAATGGAAACTCCTCCTGGAGTGGTGCAACTATACAGTCTTACAACACCAATGCCGCATCATGGGCCCTGGCTCCCTATATCTACAAGGTTGGGACCCCATACGGGGCAGTACCTCTTGGTTTAGCCGTTGGTGCCGGTGCTGTGGTTCTTCACCGTATCATTTATCACGTAAGTAATCCTACAGGCCTTCCTAACTATACTTGAAGCTAACGCCAATTTGAAACCTTTAGTTTGTGCCCAAAATTGGAAGCTTGGACGTTGCGGAAATCAATCTACCGCAGTACATCCAATACGCTGGTTTTATTCCCTACAACCAAAGTCAGACCTGCGTCATCTTCACCTGGATCACTGCTGGCTTCTACGTTCAGTATTATCTTCGAAACTACAAGCCCCGGGTTTTCAGTGAATATTCATACCTGATTACGGGAGCCTTTGATGGCGCGAGTCTGACAGTTCTCTTCGTCCTCTCATTTGCTGTTTTCGGCGCCGGCGGAGTTTCGCACCCATTCCCCTCCTGGTGGGGAAACAATGTGAATGGAAACTATGATTGGTGTCCTGTGACAGAGTAGGGGAAGTGATTTGAATGTTGGATCCAGTGACACAGCTGGTCACGGGAGTGTGAATGGCGCTGTTGCGGATCGAAAGATATATAGCCACATAATTGATCTGAACTTGCCTATGTGAGGCAGAGAAATGGCATAATAATTTAAAGCTCCCGGGATCTACGTGGATTTGTACCACATCCATCGTACATCGTACTTAATTCCAAGGTTCATCTCCGTCCCAAATAATAGTGGCACCACCTGTATGTAGAAAGTTGACCGCTTAGGGATATCCTATATACTCCATGCAACGTGAAGAGGACTAATGCGCTGCAAATCATGTACAACATCTCGACTGTTGACCTACTCACTATTTTCAAAAAACCCAGATACTATTTTTATGCCCTCAAAGTGCTATCATATTAAGACCTTTCGACCCTTTCTTAGCACGAACACAATCGCGGAATATGCCTCTTTGTGACAGTGATCTATTCCAGCATTGTGTCATTGTTAAATATATCACATGAAATAGATTCCTTTAACTTTTTTTAACAAAGAACATACAATTTGGAGGATATAATGTTAGCTATTTTAGGCTAGTCAAAGAGATTATAGAAGGCCTTCGTAAAGGAATTTGGATAATGGAAACCAAAGGCTTTGTCAATCTGCACTGAACAAAGAGATTTACGACCCCCATTGTATAAACCACGACTCGATGGACTCGAGGGATGTCTATAAGAATGACCTAGTCTCGCTCAAAATAAATTCTATCTTCACAACAAACAATCTCCACAGCAAATAATCTTCACAGCAAACAATCTTCACAGCAAACAATCTTCACAGCAAACAATCTTCACACTCAAATAATCATCAATATACTCCTTCTATTACTCTAAAACTCTACTCACATCATATTACAGATATCAATCCCTAGCAACCTTCCACATCGCAACCATGTCTATCCGAGGACTAGGTATAACCATGGGTCCCCAGACTGGTCGAGATCTAGTCGTCCGTCCCCAGTCTAGTCGAGAAGTAGCCATCCGTCCTACACACAGCTCATCCCGTGGAGGACGAAGGGACCGCGACGAGTATGAACTCTATGTTCAAATTTGCTATCCAGGGTCTGACGGTGTTACCATCCATTGGATGATTGCTATGAGACATCCAGGTTCTGATCGTTGCACCCGGCTCCACAGCACTGGCTGCATGGGTGATCGTACATTGTCTATTGAGCCTAACATGAGATTTGATAGCCGGTCAGTCGAACACACACACTTTCTCGGTAAGATTGAGAGAAGAGACAAAGACATTGTCATGATGGAGGCTGAGCAGATTCCACTACAGAGCTGCCAACTCTGGGCTTGTTACCTAATGCTTAGACTCGAGCGCAAGGGACTGCTCGAACGGAAAACCTATAAGCACTACATGCACTGTTACCCACACAATCGTGTTGAGGACTATGGACCTGGATATGATGATGAATGCCCGGTTCATGGACAGGGACATGAGCACGGACATGAACACGGACGTGAACATGGACGTGAACACGGACGTGAACATGGACGTGAACACGGACGTGAACACGGACATGGACACGGACATAGACACTAACTATTTATTTTTGGCTCTTTTTCATCCACAGATTTGCCCCTTTTGTTTTCTTTGCTTTCTTTGCTTTCTTTTGCCTAGGTTTTTTATTTAGTGTCTTTGTGCAGGATCTATATACACACTTGTTGCTCTTCAGTGTAAATTTGCCAATAAACATACTTGAAGCTTATTTGTTCCATCTTTTACAACGTAGATAGTATAGTTGAGACGTTTTCATAATACGTAAGTTTTTCGAGGACTGTAAATTTAAGTTTGAAGTTGATAGATACTAGCATTTTAAGAGCCCTAAAGATATCGTTTAACAAGAATATAATAAAATGGCGAGGGAAATACTGCATCGAAATCACAGACATCTGGCGCAGGCGGATTAAATCATGTAGCCATGCTACGAAGATTTATCGGGGCCAGGGTTCAACCCTTAAATAATGGTATAGTGGTTAGCATATTTGGCCTCTTCATGTAGTATAAGTTTCCTTGAATAAAAATCGTTAACTATAGCACCACAATTAAATACAAACGAAATATGGCTATCCTGATAGTTCATGGATGAATGACTTGGGATTTAGATTAGGCGGACTCTCCAGAGTGTGTGTGGTTAGGTAGAATGGCTCTGTAATTAACGTGGGAGATACAAAAAATGTCACCTTCATTTACCTTACTGATGATATTGTCTGATCTCGAATAGTGCATCCGTATGATGAAGGGAGAAGACACGTTCAATGATAGTGTACGAAGGGGTAATTCATTCACGATATGGACGTCTAAGCCAACTATCCCCAAACCAGGTATTTCCGACACTCAAACACCACGGGGAATACAACAATATGGCGATAATCGATTGGAGAACTAAATTTTATGCAAGTTCACTAGTGAGCCCGATTGAGCATTTCAAGCCCACAACTAGCCCCCTGTTCATACGCGACGCGGCTCGGCCCACTAGAAACGAAGGTCCATACCTAGTTTATCCTCCTAATTCCAATCATCGAAATGCCCGATCTGCCTCGTCGAATGCAGTGCTGATCTCATCAACGGAAGGCTGAGCCTTGCGAAAGGTTTCCGCCGGGAGCTTGGCCTTGACCTGCGACTCAAAAAGTCTCTTTTCGTTGTGCAGATTGCCCAGATACGTGCGAGCTTCAGGGCCCAATCCAGACCTTTTAAAAAGGGGGGCCTACATAAATGTCCAGTAAGTATGAGTGTTTCCAATCAAAAATGAGGACTTTGGAAAACTGCGGCAAACATACCTTTTCTTGAGCAGAGTGGATAGCATCGAGAAGAACAGGGACCATTTGCGAATAAGTGTCATAGTACCGGTCGCCTTCTTCAGGTGTCATTGTATCCTCTTCCGCCAGTTTCTCGCGGGCATCTCGAGTAGAGGTTTGCGCAACCATTAGGGATCTAGCAACACCAAGAGCGGATGGGATACCTCCGCTATAGTTATTGAGGGAGTCTTTCGCGGCTCCAATCTTTCCAGTCATAGCATTCATGTATTCGATATGCTGTGCGACATTTGCCGCGCCTGAAACCTGTGACAGTGCACAGAGGCCGCTCACAAGGAGCATGTTGACTTTAATCCACAGCATGATGGGAGGAGATGTTGACAAAGATGGATTTTAGTTGAACAAATATAGGTATGGCAGATTGGACAATTTAAATACTTGTAGGCATTCATGGAATTCTACGTATAATGCCGAAGGGAATGATCGGAGAGGTCCTATAGGGAGGAATGTTGCTCCCGAGGTTACATTTACTGCGTTCCCCTGGGAGATCTTGCATCTTGCCCGAAACGCGTGCAGGATCGATCGTAATATGACATGAGAGCGATCGGGGAGAAGAAGGATTGATTCTCTACAAACAAACATAAGCTAGATAAATGCTAGATTGGAGCCAGGCATCGAGGCATATTTACTTTACATCAAGCACCCTACAGACGCATTAGGCCGCCTGGCCTGTAACTCCCTCGCTATATATAGAAGCTTCCTCTATGCAGGTTTTGCTTTCTACTGCCTTCGAATACACCTAAAAGAGAATCAAAAAGAACATCCCAACATCCCAAGAAATGTCGGTGTGCTCGTACATGTGATGTCCCTAACATCATCTTGGGCCGAACACAACAGATCGTTAAAGGCTTCTATTGTTAGGGATAGATGCCACATAAGCGACCGACTATCCTTGTGGTACGTACTAGCCACATATTGGTGCGACGTGATCTTTCCGCCTTACCTGATCTACGCAAGGGGTAAACGAGTTATGCAATGTTACTACCGCTAGATCGGAATCCCATTGATATGCTCTTAGATCTGGAATCTCAATATTAGCTTTTACACTGCGATATTGCAAGGAAAGGAAAGATGACCACGACCGGTTTAACCAAACCAGACGCAATCAAGTATGGAGAATCATCGACAGTATGTAATATTGTTAAAGCGAAACCGATGGAAAATTCCAACATCAGGCAGGAGAAACATGTTGGGACTTCGGAATTTGGTGAAGATGGCTTCGTTCCAGCACCTGCCGTTCCACCTGTCGCTATCGTCGGCATGGGGATGCGACTTCCTAGAGATGTTCGAACAGGCGACGAGTTCTGGGATCTTCTTATCAGTAAAAGGGACTGTTCTTCTGAAGTTCCAAAGAGTCGCTATAACATTGACGCCTTCTATCATCCTGATAAGTCCCAATCAGTGAAGACAAGACGGGGATATTTTCTCAACGACGATTACATGCAGGGTTCGGACAATTCGTTCTTCGCAGAAATGCCTGGTTTCAACATCAGCGAGCTCGATCCGCAGCAAATGTCACTCATGGAGGTGGTTTGGGAATGCATGGAGAACGCAGGACAAACCAATTGGCGAGGAGAAAAGATCGGATGCTACGTGGGAGTTTTTGGAGAGGACTGGCATGAACTGACAGCCAAAGAGCCCCAGGACGTTCCGCGTGTGTATTCATTTGCGAATGGGGGATTCACTTTGGCAAATCGAATTTCCTACGAGTTTGACTTGAAAGGGCCCAGGTATTTGTCCTCATTAAGCATAATGACTCCTAACCTAGTTCCTAATATGAGATTGCAGTGCAACCATCCTCACTGCATGTTCATCTTCACTGGTTGCATTGCATGAAGCTTGCCAAGCTCTTTACAGCGGAAGCTGTTCCTCAGCCGTGGTGGCAGGAACCAACATGCTGTTGACTCCTTCTATGAGCGTGAACATGTCCGAGAACATGGTTCTCTCCCCAGACGGTTACTGCAAAGTTTTCGATGCAAGTGCAAACGGCTACGGCCGTGGAGAAGCGGTAAATGCTATTTTTATCAAACCCCTAGATCAAGCCATCGCAGGTGGTGACAATATCCGGGCCATCATTCGGGGAACGTCCGCAAATTATGATGGAAAGTCAGCAAAGATATTCGCACCCGATATAAAAAGCCAAGAGCAGCTCATCCGAGAGGCTTATTCAAGGGCTCAGATCCGTGACATCTGGCAAACAGCTTTTGTGGAGTGTCATGGAACTGGCACACAAGTCGGGGATATCGTGGAGACAACTGCCATTGCTCGGGCCTTTGAGGGCAAGGGTGTCTTCATCGGATCTGTAAGAGACAGCTACTCCCAACAGCATATATTTTGGTTTGTTTTCCAATGTTAATGTCTCCGTTTAGGTAAAGTCAAATGTTGGACACGGTGAAGGTGCGTCGGGGTTGACTGCCATTATCAAAGCCGTGTTATCCTTGGAACATTCCACAATCCCCCCGAATCTTCATTTTACGCGTCCCAACCCCAGGAGTAAGTATTCAATTACTTCCACTTGAAATTAAATTTCTAACCATCACCTAGTTCCGTTCGAAAAAGGCGGGCTCCAAGTCCCCGCTGAGCCCACTCCATGGCCTCTTGATCGCCAGAAACGCGTCAGTGTGAACTGTTTTGGTATTGGAGGGAGCAACGCCCATGTGAGTGTGACTCATACCCAATCCATTGCTTTGGCTAACAAAACATACAGGCTATCTTAGATGCAGGCCCTGTTGTTGATGATGTCGATAGAAATATTATTGACAAGCAGTCAATCCCTTATGTTCTCCCCGCATCAGCACAAAGCACCCCGGCCCTCATTTCAAGACTTGCGGGCATACAAGAGTACCTGAAGAGAAAACCACATACGACACATGATGTCGCATACACTCTTGGAGCTTGCCGCGATCATCTGTCCCATCGAGGATACCTGATCGTTGACGGCAAGAGTGGCATAACTGAAAATCAATCAACCCCACCGGCAGTTACGGGAGTCCCGCGTGTGGTATTCGCATTCACCGGACAGGGTGCCCAGTGGACGGGTATGGGAACAAATCTGATGAGTCACTTTGATACCTTCCGGCGCGATATCCGCACTCTAGACCAGATATTGCAAGAGATCGAATCCCCACCCTCATGGAGCATTGAAGGTACCAACTCACATCACATCACTCTGGGTGTCTTAATCGTGTTTGGGACTAACGAAATATCACTCAGGTGAGCTTTCGAACCCAGATGTTTCTACCTGCGTCGATAAGACTGAGTACTCTCAAACACTGTGTGCTGCGGTCCAGATCGCTTTGGTCAACTTACTAGCGAGCTGGGGAATTTCACCATCGGCTGTGGTTGGATACTCGAGTGGCGAGGTTATTGCTGCATATGCAGCGAAGGCAATTTCGATGCGTGGCGCTATCATCATCGCACATCTCCGTGGACGATGTAACGAGTCCACCTCACAGCGTGGAGGAATGAGCGTGATTGGTCTTGGAAAGGAAACTGTGAACGAATACCTGATTGATGGGGTAGTTATTGCGTGTGAGAATAGTCCTCAGAGCGTTAATATTTCAGGGCCTAGGTCACAGCTGAGAAAGGTCATTGATCGCATTGTTGAAAGGATGCCAGAAACATTCGTTCGAGAGCTGCCTGTCGAAGTCGCTTATCATTCCCGTGAGTTTCCCTTTTGTGAACAGCCTTCTTGGTACTGATAGAGTGCAGCGTCTATGATGAATGCTGGTGTAGTTTTCGAGTCGGCCGTTGCCTCTCACATTGCTCACAGTGACACGATGCTTCCTCTTTATTCCACAGTGACAGGCACAGTGATAACGGAACCGCATTGGCTAGATGCTGCTTACTGGCGCAGAAGTCTAGAATCACCGGTTCTGTTCTCTACAGCGGTTCAGACTTTGCTTGATCAGCAAAAGGATCGGAAAACTCTGCTCGTGGAAATTGGGACCCATTCTACCCTTGCTGGACCTATCCGTCAGATCGTTTCGCCTCAGTCAATTCAAGCTTATTACATCCCTACGCTTATTAAAAAGGCAGACCCGACACAATCCATCTTGACAACACTCGGGGAACTGTATTGTCATGGACACCCCGTCGACTTCGCGGCAATAAACGGCACCGGAAATGTTCTCCACGATCTCCCCGTCTATCATTGGGATAGACAAAGCATTGATTGGAAAGAAAGTCGCCTAAGTCACAATTGGAGATTCCGCAAATATCCCCATCATGAACTGCTGGGCTCTCGCATGTTGGAAGGTAGTGATATTGAGCCAGGTTGGAGGAATTTCCTGAAGGCCAGGGCCGTCCCGTGGCTTAGCGATCATCAAGTACTCGGGGATGTCGTGTTTCCCTGTGCAGGCTATATTGGAATGATTAACGAAGCAATACGCCAGTTGTTTAACACCCAAGAATGCACAATTCGCAACCTACAACTCAAGGTACCGCTTGTTGTGCCAACAACCGAGGGTCATAATATCGAAATTGTCACTACAATGCGACCATTGCGGATAAATGACCGACTTGACTCCAATTGGTTCGAATTTACCATTGCATGCTACGATGGAAACAATTGGACCAAACATAGTACTGGGCAAGTGGTGGCAGGTGCCGAGAATTTAAAGATTGATGTCCCAGGAACACAGCGGTTTCAAAGGTCGGTGAATACAAAGTCCTGGTACGGCTCGCTCGCAAATGTGGGACTACAATACGGGCCACACTTTCAAGGCTTAGAGGATATTACAGCAGATCCTATCAGCTTCGCGGCCAGGGCCACGGTTGGCGGAATATTCAAAGGAAGCGACAACGGCAATGCTGTCCACCCTACTGTCATTGACCAGTGCTTGCAAATGTTCAGTGTCGCAGCCTGCAAGGGGAGGGCAAGATATCTGACAAAACTCTTCATCCCGATGTTCATTGACGAAATTTCTCTCGGTCAAAATAGTGATTTAATGAAGGTCGAAGTCACTGGAGAAAGCTTTGCCGGAACCCAAGCCAAGTGCAGTATTTCGATGAGTGATGGTACAAACACGGTACTCGCAATGCGTGGAGTGACTCTGGCTCAATTGGACCAAGGTCTTAGGGACGACACACTTGGAATCCCTTTGCTCTCAGAAGCAGAGTGGCGTCCGGATCTTGATCTCCTTCCTGGCCACCTTCAGCTACCTAGTGAAAAGGACAGGGCCAATACAGTTGGATTGTTGAGTAGGGCTTCCACGCTGTCTATGATCTGCATGCATCGAAATATTGCCAAAGTAGAACCATGCCCAGAACACCTTGAGGGCTACAAAGGCTGGCTATCAAACCAAATCATGAAGTTGAAGACGGATGGTATATCTGCTGTGCCCGAAGCGCAATCATGGGCGCAGATGGACAGCGATAATCTGCGGGCACAGAGGCTGACACTAGATAAGCAGCTTCAGACTGAGGGACTGGGCTTCATCTCCGAACTCAGTCAGGTGGCAGTGAGAGAGATAACAGCACTTGTTGAAGGATCAAATTGCTCTTCGTTAGGCTCGAGAAAGGTCAAGCAACTGCAGAAACTCAACGACTGGATCGAGTCTCTCAGTGACCTATTGAGGTGGTTCTCTCTTCTTTGCCACGCCAATCCAAATCTTCGTATCATTGCGGTTGGCGACGAGACGGGGTCATTCACTTCTTCTGTGCTTCAATATCTTACCTCCGACGGAAAAGTCCTCTGTGCACAGTACACGCTGGCAACGACACCTGACATCGATGCCGCTCTGAAAGATCGCTTCAAAGATAATAACCTAGTAGAGTTCAAGTCCTTGGATCTCGACAAAGATCCCCTTCAGCAGGAATTCAAAGGGAGTTATTATGACCTAGTCATTGCATTTAATGTGCGCAATCCAGAATTGATACGTATAGCGGTAATAGCTAACAATAATCAAGATTGGCGCTCGGATGTCTGGCGTGACGCCAGCATTGAAGAGTATTGGAAAGCTTCTGACTCCTGGCGGACGAGTTCTAATTCGCGAACACTGCCCTGGTAAGCTGCTTTGTGTTCTCGGTGAAGTACCTATAGATTGACCAGGCTTTTGACATAATCTAGAACTACCGGTGATGCACTATCTATCAGTAAGCAGTCACAGAGCCGATCTTGACAGATATTGACAGAGAATAATTATTGACTTGCATCAAGAACCCGTCCCAAACCCAGTTGTTTGACGAGCCCCAAGTTGACATCAATGCCAAGTATATGTCAACTGAGGAGTGGGAAGGAAAACTTCGACAGGCTGGATTCGGCGGGGTTGAGACGAAGGGCGATGACGGCAAAGCGCCGTATCGTATCTATCGAAACTTGATCGCACGCATTCCACCAGAGAACCATTTGCAGGGAAACACTGTGTATCTTCTTTGTCCGAGTGAGATGCATCAATATCCATGGTTGATCGAAGTTGAAACGCATTTCATCGGGAATGGCCATACAGTGCAACGCTGTACCAAAGGGGAAGCGATACCACACGGGCAACCAGTGATCTCATTCCTCGACTTTGAGTGCCCATTCTTCTATGATACAAGCGAGAAAGACTGGATGGCGTTCCAGGATCTTATAAAATCCTCCCCCCAGATCCTATGGGTCACTCACTCAGTTGAGTTAGAATGTGCTAATCCAAACTTTTCGCTCGTCATGGGAGTTTCCCGTACCGCACGACAAGAACAGGAAATTCAATTTGGTACATTTCAGGTGGACAACTTTGATAGCTTTGCCGCAGCAGCACTACTCAAAGTATCGACGAAATTCTTCAGACAAGGGGATCGAACTGGTTTGGACGATGTCGACTATGAATTTGCCCTTCGTGATGGCTGCGTCTACATTCCGCGAATACGATGGAGCTCCCTTTCGGATAGACTGCTATACTCACCTGACATCGATGCACCCATGAAGCTGGACATTGCCTCATATGGAACTCTGGACTCATTGTCTTGGCGAGAACATGAGCTTGGCTCCCCTGAAGCAGACGAGATCGAAGTTGAGGTCAAGTTTGTTGGGCTTAACTTCCGAGTGAGTCCTCAATCTTCATGGTTGTATATGTGAGGGTGCTAAATCGCATAGGATGTGATGATTTCACTGGGCTTTATGGCAAGTAAAGATCAAATGGGAATCGATGGTAGTGGGATTGTGCAAAGATGTGGCACTGGAGTAACCGAGTTCAAAAAGGGCGATCGAGTCATGATAATGCACCCTGGGCTTTTCCGCACACGCGTGGTAGTACCTACCTCCCGATGTATCCATATGTCACCGTCGGTTTCGTTGGAAGATGCTGCCTCGCTGCCTGTGGTTTATGTCACAGCGCTGTATTGTATAATGGACATCGGGAGATTGGAGAAAGGACAGGTATGTCAGATGCCCGTTATCTATTTTACTTTTAGTTAACCTGTCTTTAGTCTGTTTTGATTCATGCAGCATGTGGAGGAGTAGGCCTTGCTGCAATTCAACTTTGTCAGATGATTGGCGCAAAGGTAAGATGTGACTATAGATATTAGGAGACCAATAACTAACACATTGTTCTTTAAGATATACGCAACTGTCGGGAGTGAGACGAAGGTACAGCATTTGATAAATAACTTTGGGATTCCTCGAAGTCACATTTTCAGCTCTCGCGACACCTCCTTCTATCCCAATCTCATGAAGGAGACTGACGGTCAGGGTGTCGATATTGTGCTGAATTCCCTTGCTGGCGATCTTCTCCACGCTTCATGGAAATGTGTGGCGGAATTCGGCAAGATGATAGAAATCGGAAAGCGAGACTTCCTAGAGCATGGAACCTTAGCGTTGGAAGCATTTGGGGGTAATCGGGCATTCTTCGGTGTTGATTTGATTCGGCTCGCAGAAAAGGCAGGGACAGTTACAAGGTACGCATCATTAGGCCTTCTCCCAACAAGTAAGATAATTATGTGACTGACTTTGGAGGGAAAGACTCTTCCGCCAAGTCCGAGACCTTTGGGATGCAGGAAAAATCACCGCAATTCGCCCCTTGAATATTTTCTCCAGCGTTGATACACCTGATGCATTCCGTCAGCTTCAGCAGGGACTTCATATGGGCAAACTCCTGGTGAGGATGCCAGAAATATCAGAGCGAGGGTTAATTTCCAAGTCGCGTCGCATGTCAATGTTCTCTCCCAGGCTATCCTATATCCTGGTCGGGGGTCTAGGGGGTATTGGACGAGCGATAGCAACTTGGATGGTAGAGCGCGGTGCCAGAAACTTGGTCTTCTTGACCCGATCGGCAGGAGCCACTAGTCAGGATCAGTCATTTCGTGATGAGCTGGAGTTGCAGGGCTCTACAGTTATTATGATAAAGTGTGATGTGACGATCCAACAACAGGTTCAAGCTGCCATAGCCGCTTGCCCTTGTCCGGTTGGAGGAATTCTTCAGCTCTCTATGATAGTTCGGGTAAGTCTCATACTCCCGTGTGCGCCAAGTTCTTGAACTGTAATTGCTGACCACCGAAGGACACTTTCATTCCAGATATGTCTCATAAGAATTGGCAGGACGTTCTTTCTTCAAAGGTAGCCGGAACCTGGAACCTTCATAACGCGCTGGATGGGAACGATGCTGATCTCCAATTCTTCGTCGTTTGTGGTTCCATAACTGGTGTTATGGGCAACGCTGGTCAAGTCAACTACTCAGCAGCAAATGCTTTTGTGTCCTCATTTGCCCAGTATCGGCTCCAAAACGGACTCCCGGCCTCTGTTGTGAATCTCGGAGGAGTCGACGATGTAGGATTCCTTGCGGCGCAGGATCCCACGCTTCGAGAGCGAATGCGTTCAGCCTCTGTGAGGTTGCTAAGCGAACAGGAAGTTCTGGATGCATTTGAGCTCGCGATATTCAATGGTGACTTTAAAGGAAACTCAAATTCCTCAGATTCGCTGAATATACCGAACAATCTGATTGTTGGCATGAGCAGCACAAAGTCTCTTGCTGATGCCACTGTTCGTCCACTTTGGGGGCAGGATGCACGTTTCCGAGCTTATTCGCATCTCGACTTCGACCCAGAAGCAACTGCCGATACCTCCAAGGTTGCCCCCAGCCTTCGATATATGATCTCCCTTCTCAAAAATGATCCCGATACTCTAGATGGGCCAGCTTGGAAGGAGCAAACAATGCTGGAGATCGCCAAGACCCTGCAGCAATATTCGACTTTTGCCCGTGGGCAAGACTCTGAGCAGCTCGCTACCATACACATCGACTCTCTTATGACAGTTGAGATCCGAAACTGGTGTCGTCGTCATTTTGATTTGGACCTGTCACTGATTGCGATAACTAAGGCTGCCACTTTTAGCGGACTAGGGGATTTGATTACTGAGACGCTACGCTCCAAGTACATGAAGAAATAGTTAGATGCGATCTTATGAAGTCCCTCTTTGTTTTATTGGGCCTATTAGCCAAGACGACATAACCATGTAGTAGTTAACGTTTGCTGGGGCGCACCAATAACCAATACCTGTATTTCTCATTCTATCAGTCTTTCCCACCCATAACCTGATACATACGACCATAGGGTGTGGAAAACAGGGCTTCCCGTCCGCTCAGCCGTACTTAAGCCACACGCCGGTGAGTTAGTAGTTGGGTGGGTGACCACCAGCGAATCCTCACTGTTGTATGTTTTTGTTTTTGTTATTGAGTCTATTTCTAGTAGATATTCTGTTGTAGTGGATAGTACTACAGTGGGAGGGAAAGCAGAGGAAGAATCATTAATTGATTAAACTGGAAATGCAGGGGTTTATATACCCTGTTAAACCCATCTAAACAATGCTCAATATGCAGCAAACAAGCTAATAAAGGCTCAGTCTGTAGCAATAGCAAACATATATGCATGGGATGATTGTTCTAGTTGAAGCTGATGGGTAGACCTCCGCAAATCCCATAAGTGGGCCCTATAAAAACCTATATAGGCGCTGGCAAAGCGGACTCTATAGTTAGTTAATCGTTGTATACGATCTTCTACCAATCGTATAAAGGTCGGGGTTTTTTTTTATTTGGAATAAAGGGGATACTATAAGTACGTATGTTAATTTTAAATATAATCTTAGGAGTTGAGACATAACCGAAAATATAAATTTTAATTTTTGATATCAGATATATATCTAGCGGGAAGCACCAACTTTCTAGTAAACCTCTATAATTTTGGGGATTTTTAATTAACGCGTGTCTTTTTATGTAGCATAGAGAGAACTCTAGTAACTGATTCTAAATGATGAAATTTAACAAAATAATACCTTAGGGATCAGGATTAGAAACAGACGTAAAACAAAGGTAATTTAATTAATCCTAAAAGAGGGGTTCAACTTATCTTATCATCCAAATCCTCGGCATATTTATATTGCTTGGGGCCTATTTAGGCCCCTATTAACCCATAGTGGGCTCGAGGTATAGGCCTAAGGACCGCAGCCCAAACCCAACCCATTTGCGGGTTGGGTTGGGCTGGGCTTTGGGCTTTATGGGACCCCCCGGTTATATCAAATATGCTATATATTCTTATTTATAAGTTGAACAAGTACATACGACCATAGGGTGTGGAAAATAGGGCTTCCCGTCCGCTCAGCCGTACTCAAGCCACACGCCGGTGAGTTAGTAGTTGGGTGGGTGACCACCAGCGAATCCTCACTGTTGTATGTTTTTCTTTTTTTTTTTTGTCTCTATTCGTTTTATAGCACTATGATGAACGAACCCCCATGCGAAACTTGTGCCAGAGCAAGGTATCTTGTCTCTAGACATTTTCGAGTCACCGTGATGAGTTTATTGCCTTTCACAAAAATAACCCTGCATTTATGGGGTGGGTAGTATAACAACGCGTATGTACAAACGATCTCGCTGAGTTCCCTAATCTCAACAATCTATTCGGTAGTGATCAAGGTAGACTATCCATTTACCAAACATGCATGCCAACTGCCAAGCAGACGTAGGACAATGGCATAAAAACCAAGGCTAGTATGATAAGCCTAGTATGGATTAGCCCTAGTTCTAGTAAGGTAGCCTGATATCATACCTCTTTACTGTTGCTGCCTGTTCGATGAACTCTCTGTTTTCTTTGATTTGTCGAGTTGTTAAAGCTTGTTGTATCTTGCTGTTCTTCACGTCGATTAAATGCTGGGTTTCAAGGAGAAGATTGCTCATCTGAGATCGTATGTGAGTATACTTCTCCATCGTCTGATTTAATGTTCGAACACTGTCGAAACCGTTTGTGGGTGATCCTATTTTTGCCGCACGCAAATCAAGTCTCAATCGTTGGCATTCAATGTCCAGTGATGAGATGTAGCTAAGAATGGCACTTTTCATCCCATCTTCGTTAATCGGCCCATCAACTACAAGATTTTCCTCGTCTAGATCTTCAGGATCTTCGTTGTGCTGTATGCCCCGATGGGATAAACTTTGTAGACTGAGATCTCCAAGCTGGTCTTTCAATGTCTGCAGGCGGTCAAACCACGCATTTAGAGCGTACAACCGTATAAGATGGACAACCGCTGCTGGTTTTCTAGGGGCACTGGCTTCATTCTCAAGGAGCATATCCTTGGCGAAGTTTTCAACATCTTGAGACATAGTCCGTCGAGACGCAGTAGGTGCTTTAGTGGATCCATGGTCCTCTTGGTCCCGATTTAGACAGAATTCCTTGAATGATTTAATGTTTTCCTGCTTTGTCAGAGGATCGAGAAAGACATGAGGATCGTTGTCTGCGCCGTCTCCATCAAATTCCGGACAAGGTGGAAATAAAATCAACACTTTCAAGATTAGTAAGTTAGTAAATTCGGCGCTGTTAAATAATATGGAAAATTTATAGCTGTTCATACCTTGTTGACATTCGGGATTGTGAGTGTCATTTGTGACATGGATGGTAATGCGCTGCAGAATGTCTAGGCCATTTTGTGAATATCGTTCCCCTTGGTCGCAGAACATGCTATCGTCCACAAATCGCTTCCGAGCAATGCGACGATTCAACACTCGGTCCTGTAGCGCCAAAACTCTTGCACGTAGACCTCTCCCAGTAGGCTGTGTTCTGTCACCCTCGGATTGATATCCTTGCACATATATCGTCCGTGGCACATCCACAGAAAATGTGATAGATTGACCCTGAAGATTGTAAATAGATTTATCAATTGAATCCCGGATTATCAGGTCTTTTGCATGCTCCACATTGGCGATAGAAAGTCGCCCTAGGTGCCCTTTGAGGATCTGGAGGTTTTTCTCATACTCAAAGGCGCCGACAGATGAAGGGATATGTTCGATCTTTGTGTTGCAAAGCTTATAAATACCCGTGCTATTTTCGATATCTTTAAACGATATCCCGATATGGTGGCTGAAGACATTAGGGTCCAAAGAAAGCCCACTGCCTAACGCCTCCATGCTTAAGCAGGTGATATGTTGTGCGCAGATAATTCGGGGGCGGGGGCGGGGGGCGAGGGCGATCCTCTGAATGGAGATCGGTACTGGAAAGATGTGATTCTAGAGCTCCCATGGATTCAGGGTCTGTCCCATCATAGCGACGATGATCCGTAACTCGATCGTTGTCGCCTATATCCATTACGAACACCGGGGACGATAGAAGAGCAATCTGAGAATTATAGCCCAGTCTATGAGGGCTATGTTCAGAAAGACGCCAGATGCGGTCATATCGTGAATATGTCAACAAGTGATCATAAGCCGGAGACAGTGTTTGCAAATACTGATCGTATCGCCCTTGTGGTGTGTCGGGAAGCCAGGCTGAAAGAACTTCTCCCAACCTTAGTGCAGTGGGATTCTGAGCCTTTGGCCCATTTGAAAATCGAGAATCATCCATTGGACCGAGAATGCGGGTAGATGTTGAGAATGAACGGAGGCTCGATTTAAACAAACAATCAAGGGGCCGCGCGCGTAAAAACATCACATGTGGAGGACGCATCACAGTGATAGTGTAAGAAGGGTATACTATGTCGATGGTAAAAGACGGTGTGATTCAGGAAGTGTCGTATCACAGGGGGCTGGAATGATTGACCAGTTGAGGGGTCAGTGCGGCAATCGCGTTAACTCGGTGCTTTCCGTCTGGATTTCTCACTTTGTTTCTACAACATACGAATATTAAATGGAATACATTACTCCGTACATAGTAGTATGTACGCACGCTTTGTTTTGTTTTGTTTTTTCATATTACGGGCTAAAAACAGCATGTTGGCAACTGCAACTGCAATTATGAGAGTCCGAGAGCAAGATTCGATTATCGCAACCCACAGTAAGACTGCGACCAGCGAACAAGAGCTGTGATCTGGGGCTCAGGGGGTATTGGATTGGTATAATTCCATTTCAGATAGTGCTCTCACTATAACCGACCGGCCGCCAACCAAGTAACCATTCACTAACTGCGCCGATAGGAATTCGTTTTGCGAGTACGCCAACTGTGGCACTTCACCGATGCCCACCATGATCTAGAGCCTGCCTCATAATTAGTAGATATATCGGAACCGATGGTTCTGAATATCCGTCAGATCTATGAAGGCAAGGTCGGCCGTGGACGCTGTGTCCTCCGACCCAGCCTGCTCCCGGTCCCTCTTGGCGTTCTCCCATACCGTGAGCTGTCGGAGAGCAAACGCCAGCAGAACCACAGCGGACATTGTCACGATTAGGGTAATATTGGCCGCATTATAGCTGGGTGCGTCGGAGGCCTGGAACAGCTGGGGGCCGATAAGATTGCCCACGCAGAACGCCATCAAGGTCAGAGCGTTGCGCATCGTGCGCTTGGTATATCCGCTGGTATTGGCGGAATTCCAACTGTAGATGATAGGAAGCATGGCCGGGCATGCGTTGAGAAGATAGACGCCGAATAGTTTGCCCACTTTATACTGTTCACTAAGGCCTGTCACAGGGAGAGCGATTAGTTAGTTGATCATTTTGCGTCATCGTCTTCCAAGGAGCATCCATACCCAGGAGCAAGCCAGCACCAAGAATACTGGGTATCGTAATGATGGCAATCATGTAGGAGCGGTGTCCAATGGCCCCGATGAGGTAGGTACCACCAATAGTGGCGATGATCGAGACGGCCCCGGATGGCATCTGGATAATGGTGGTGCGCTTCTCCGAGAATCCGAATGTCGCAATGATGATACTAGAGAAGTTGGACACAGCACCGTTGTCGATCATAGCCAGGAGAGTGATGAAGAACAAGGGCCAGGTCTGCTTGTCCTTGAACAATAGCTCTCCCAGCTGGTACGGCTTGAAATGCTTGTTTTCGACACCAGTTAGGTTCACGCGGACGTGTTCGATGGCCGCAACCTTCTCTTCGTCGTTGAGGAAGGAAGCACTCATAGGGTTGTCCGGAAGGAAGAAGATGGTGGCGATTCCAACCGCCGTAGTAAGACATCCCTGCAATTCACCTTGGTTAGCTTCCAGTGCTATCAAGATCCTGGCAGTCCAAAGCAACCTACCATGAAAAGGAACAGGATCTGCCAGTTCGCCAATGCTGTGGAGTTCACATGCTGGAAGCCATATGAGATAGCCGATCCAACAATTTGTGCCACTCCAACCTGACTGTACCACAGACCTGTCCGGCGCGACTGTTCCGGCTTGGTCCACCACATGCCCGTGATGAGGATGAGAGATGGCGCCACAGAGGCCTCAAACACACCGAGGAGGATACGAACGATCATCAAAGAGGCATAGCTTTTACAAGCGGCATGGCAGATAACGAGAATGCCCCAACAGGTGACGTTGATTCCAATATACTTGCCAATGGGAAAGCGCTGCATGAGGTACGCGGTGATTGGCTCCGCAACAAGGTATCCGACGTAGAAGATGGTTCCTATATTGTTGTACTCGTTCCCTTTCAGGTTATCCTTGATACCCATGACGGCCGCATAGTTTAGCAAAGTTTTGTCTAGATACTGCAAGAAGTAGATGCCCATGAGGATCGGCATGATTCGCAGGTCAATCTTCCACCGTAACGCTCTGCTTTCCGCTATATCGACGCCAGCCTCATGATCCCGCGCCAAGAACATCAGCGCTGCATCGCCGTCCTCATACTTCTCAGGGTGTGTGGTTGGCACCTGTTTGGTTGCCTCGAGCGCAATAGTTTCTTTGGTGTCCATGTTGCCTGGTTGGTTAACAGAGGACCAGGAGTGAGGATTCATCCTTATATCATGTTCTGCTCATAAGGTGGTCAAATATCTGTAATGTACTGGTTAGCTGAACTTCATATCAGCAGCGTAAAACATTATCTGTGGTTTATAATCATTTTTATTGGGCGAACATATAACCTGCTCACTTAGCAGAGCTCCAATACCTATCTATGCCGTGTAGTCGCCCCACACCCCTGCCGGGTAACGCTGATCTTCTACCTTTTTGTTTCCTTACTGAGGAGACGGCTGTTACTATGTCACTCTCCCTATCGCCCACAATATTCAGTTGCCGCGGCCAGCTTTTGCATTAGTCTTTGGAACGTACCTCGTTTCAGCCGGCGCTCTTTCTCAGTCTTTCCACGCAATCGAATCCATGGGGCGGCCAGGATCCCCTGCTCACACTAAACCCAAAGCCTTATGCCCAAAATAACCAATGTGAGAAGAGAACGCACGGGGCTCTGTTCAACTTCCTCAACAAGCTCACTCCCCCGGGGGCGGCTCCAACAAATGACCGGTTGGAAAGCGTACACAGTGTCCCATGATACCGGAAAGTCGCCAAGTCGGAGGGTTTGGGGGCTATAATACGATTCGTGGATAATTCGGCCCATAGGTGGACAAACAAACGAAACTTATACGTCCACAATAACATGAGATAAGATAAGGCCAACTACCAACTAACTAATGAACAATCGTAGAAGGTTCTTTATCCAACTTACGTTTCGCAAAAGTATCTTATCAACTAGTCCCTATGACTCTTCGCTTTGGACCTTGGCTTCCCGAGACTCGCCGATACACGAACGTCTACTCAATCACACTCCTCTTTTCGTCTCTTCTTATCTATCCCGCGATCTGGTTACCCGCATTACGACTACAGGCGAAGCTGAATCGTTCATATAGACCCTATCTCTCTACCCCTCCCAGGCGTGGGAATGCCTCTCAACTCGAAGTCTGTCTATTGCAGACCGAACCCAGGGTGCCGCTGAGAGACGCAAAAAACGAAAAACAAAAACATACAACAGTGAGGATTCGCTGGTGGTCACCCACCCAACTACTAACTCACCGGCGTGTGGCTTAAGTACGGCTGAGCGGACGGGAAGCCCTGTTTTCCACACCCTGTGGTCGTATGTATGATATTAAGTGTTGGAGAGAATTATAGAGTAGAACAAATTAGATAGTGGTGAGTGAGGCTGAAGATCACTATATGCAGAACTCACTTCCTCTATCATTGGGAGAACGAACATACCTAGTCAGAAGCAAGATCTAATAGGTAGATAGGTGATGTGGCCATTTGTATTTTAAGGACTTCGCAGCCCGCTCAAGCAGCCACACATGGAACTAAAATAGTATGTAGCCCTCGCCTCGGAGAAATATATTATCGAGGTACCAGGGTAGGCCTTAATGTTGGCTCAACTATACCAAGAAGAGGTCATGGGTGTTCGTGTTCTCACCAGGAGATTAGATCTCAACCTAGCTCACCCGTTAAGCCAGGGTCACTTTCAATCTCCAGATGACTATCAACTCGGTAAGAGTCTAGGCTAGCGACCGAGTCAACGGGAGGATATCGATGGGAAAACGGGGCAGTTGAATCTGATGCCACGGTCAACACCTAAGCTTAAGTTTATGTTAAGTTTGTGTTTTTTTTGGCCCCCACCACCCCGGAAGATTCACACGCACTAGAGTGCCAAGCACCGCCGGCCCGATGTCCCAATTGATCGGACTTATCTCCACAACCTCTACTTACACTCCTTTTCACACTTATATGAATGTTGCTTTGCTGGAATAATCAGTCAACGTGGTCGGCACTTCCCTATACCCATAATGGATCACCCCGAGGCCAACATCCGCCCAAGTACCGAGATCTCTCCGGCCACCATTCCAAACCCGGAAGAACAGGACCTGGAACGAACCTCAGGCAAAGCCGAAGACGTGGAAATATTGACGGCAACCAAGGAACTACCCACCCCACAAGAGCGAGATGGAGTGAAAAGCAAGGCACCAACGCCAAAAAAAACGCTCTCCTTTAAACTCGCCTTCGTAGGGCTGGCTGCCAGCCTTTTTGTTTTCCAGGTGGATGCCACCTGCCTGGGTATTGCCCTTCCAGTGAGCCACAACACCATCCCTACTCCATGCTACTCACACCAATGACTAATTTTCATCGCTAGACTATAGCAGGCGAGCTAAAGGGCTCAAGTTTAGAGTCTTTCTGGGCGAATCTTGCTTACACCCTATCTGGACTGGTCACCCAACCAGTCTGGGCCAGTATTTCCAACGCCTTCGGTCGAAAGCCACCCCTATACGTATCTATGGGACTATTTCTTATCGGTTCCATTGTTTTCGCTATAGCCCAAAACATGAGCACTATAATTGCCGCACGGGTCCTCCAAGGCCTCGGCGGTGGTGGAATTGACCTTCTGGTGATGGTTATTCTCGCGGATATGACGACACTCGAGGAGCGCCCGAAATATCTTGGCTTAATGGCCATTCCTTCGGCCATTGGCAATATTATGGGGCCTGTTGTCGGTGCGCTTTTCTCGACCTATGCTACCTGGAGATGGATTGGCTGGATCAACCTCCCGTTGTTAGGAATTGGTATACCATTGGTGTACTTCTTCCTTAAACTTCGCCCCGTCCCACTCGATACAACGCTAGCTAGTAACTTGAAACGCCTCGACTGGATCGGTATGGCGCTTGTTATCATTGCAATTACAATTTTTGTTGTACCTCTGAGTTGGGCAGGCTCCTTATTTCCATGGGCTTCTTGGCAGACTCTCCTTCCACTGTTGTTGGGAGTTGCGGTGTTTGTCATCTTCGTCTTTTACGAGGCGAGGCCCGCGGCACCTATCATTCCTTATCGAATTTTCCACTCCAAGACTGGAAATCTGACACTAGTTGGAGGCTTCATCCACGGTATAATTATGGTATCTATACTACAGTACTTGCCTTTGCTATACCAAGCGGTGGAGCTAGAGAGTGCTATTTCATCGGCTCTCTCCCTATTGCCCACTGTTATTATAAGCGTGGTAGTCGCAGCCGTCTCAATGTTGATGGTCCCATTGTTTGGAGGATACGTATGGCTTCTACGACTGTCATGGGTTGTTCTTACACTGGGAACCGGTTTGCTAGCTCTTTTCGACGTAGGAACCTCGTCATCTATGCGTTACGGGCTTCCTATTCTTTGGGGACAAGGTGTTGCGCTACTACGTCTCAATATTCTTCCTATGCAAGCTAGTGTCAAAAATGTTGACGACACAAGCTTAGCTATGGGGCAGTTTCTCGCCATTCGCTTGTTTGGAGGTCTTGTTGGCCTTACAATCTCTTCGGCTATTTTTAACAGTGTTTTCGCGGCATCAATTTCTGATGCTACCATTCAGCTGACGGGGGATTTGGCACCTTTGAAAGACGCCTCCAATGCTGTCAACTTCATTGACGAGTTGAGATCACTAGATGTATCTTTTACAATCCTAGAGCAGGTTTTGAGGGTCTATCTGAAGTGCTTCCAGGCGATCTTTTATACGATGACTGGCCTTAGTGGACTGGGATTGCTGACTTCGGTGTTTTTGGATGAAATTAATCTCAAGGGACACGCTCTTGGGAATCAGCGTTTCGAGGAATAGTCAGAGTCAGCGAAGTCATTCCTTGTATCAATATTTACTTAAACACTAATATATAGAGAGATTAGATTTTAGAAATAATCACTCCACTTCCCTTGCGAAATTTGTCAATTGCAACTCTTCACCTCCATTTGTTTCGAAGTGTTGTCTGAAGAATGTTACAAACATCCTCACACCTCTAGGCCTAGGTGACCCGTGCTATTCCTGACGGCCAGCATTAAGCATTCATCGATTCAGCTTCCCTCACAATGAGCCTAAAACTCTCCTTTTATCTATCCAGATACTCAATATTTTCTATTCCATACACTGCTGACCATTTTTAATCTATAATTTAGGTGGCTACTACCATAAGGATCCACTCTCGATCGCAGCTAGGATTGGCGAATTTCTATCACTCGGGGTTCAAGTTATGCAAACCTTGTGCCCACTATCTGCATCCTTTAGATATATATAGTCTCATAATACCACTTTCCCCTCGCTTTAATTTAATTTTTTGACTTCAATATTCTACTCTATAATTTTCTCCAATAAATAAACTAGTACATACGACCACAGGGTGTGGAAAACAGGGCTTCCCGTCCGCTCAGCCGTACTTAAGCCACACGCCGGTGAGTTAGTAGTTGGGTGGGTGACCACCAGCGAATCCTCACTGTTGTATGTTTTTTTGTTATTGAGTCACTGTATTGTAGGTAGGCTAAGGAACCAGTCAGTGTACATTGCTTATTAAGCGATCTGTAATAGTAATTCATGTATTTTTATTTTTCTGCCAGGCCAAATTCAGGCATCCAGGCAATAAATTCAAGCATTTGTCATTGAGCGCTATATACCCCGTCGTAGACCACGGTTCTGTTCGTTTGGTCTCTACCTAGGTGCTACCTAGGTATATGCAAATAGAGCATGTGACGTGCAAGTACCATAGTTTGTTTCCACTTTCAACTCACCAAATTTCTTCCTTTGCAACTCACTTTTCTTCTGCTTTCTAACCTTCTCATTTATTTCGCACCTTTATCTCTCATCGAATTAATCATGGACGACGACCACGTCCTACACTCATGGTTCCCTAAGGGGCTAGATCCAGGAGACAAGGTCACCCTCGACATGCCCAAGGGCTCGGAATGGGTAATCGACAGACTGGTCAATAAGCACAGCTACCAATGCGCAGACCCGTCTCTCGACTCTTACGCATGTGTTCTGTTCGAATGCCACAATGCTACAGGTGGACAACAGGCTTTTATGCGCGTTTACGCCCAAGTTCCACACACTTGTTATAAGGATGCGGACCGAGCTACCCGCGCCTAAGAAGCGACTGAATTCACACCCCCCGAGCTGAAGGCATACAAGTTTCTTAAAGAAAAAAGCTCGCAAAATATACCTCTACTTCTAGCATATAAGCAAGATTCTTAGGATAGTAGCTTAGGGGCAGTTCCTAGAGGGTATGATATATAGATTGTATAGGAGAAGGTCCCTAGAGAACGCCTAGGAGATTTCAAATCTACTTTTATATACGCTAGGATATAAACTGTAAGGAACGAAAGCGTGTCCGTAAGGTCTTCCTTCGAGAGTTTCCGTTAGTTAGTTGAATACTATTTAATTGCCGAGGATAATACTAATATAGAATCACTATTATTAGGAAGGCTAAGAATATAGGGTATTTCCCTAAAAGGGCTAGGCCTCGTAATCTAGTCTAGGATTCGAATACTAGAGTGAAGTACGTATAATAGATTCCCTAACTAGTCCTCTAGTGGAATACCTACCCTAGTTAAGTGGGGCAAGGAAGAAAGACACCCTATATAGCGTCTAACTTTGCCTATCTACGGGCGATTATAGGGATCACCGTTATATAACTCTCTTATTGGTTTATATTGCTGGGTAGTAACATAGACCTAGTTATATTTTATACGCGTTTACGCCCAAGTTCCATATACTTGTTATAAGGATGCGGACCGAGCTACCCGCGCCTAAGAAGCGACTGAATTCATACCCCCCGAGCTAAAGGCATATAAGTTTCTTAAAGAAAAAAGCTCGCAAAATATACCTCTACTTCTAGCATATAAGTAAGATTCTTAGGATAGTAGCTTAGGGGTAGTTCCTAGAGGGTATAATATATAGATTATATAGGAGAAGGTCCCTAGAGAACGCCTAGGAGATTTTAAATCTACTTTTATATACGCTAGGATATAAACCGTAAGGAACGAAAGCGTGTCTATAAGGTCTTCCTTCGAGAGTTTCCGTTAGTCAGTTAAATACTATTCAATTGCCGAGGATAATACTAATATAGAATCACTATTATTAGGAAGGCTAAGAACATAAGGTATTTCCCTAAAAGGGCTAGGCCTCGTAATCTAGTCTAGGATTCGAATACTAGAGTGAAGTACGTATAACAGATTCCCTAACTAGTCCTCTAGTGGAATACCTACCCCAGTTAAGTGGGGCAAGGAAGAAAGACACCCCACATAGCGTCCAACGTTGCCTATCTACGGGCGATTATAGGGATCACCGTCACATAACTCTCTCATTGGTTTATATTGCTGGGCAGTAACATAGACCTAGTTATATAGTCAGTAGTAGTATTGAACCTAGATGATTCCTTATAATGCCTTAGATAAGATATGTAAAGAGACAACTAGAAAGACCCTAAGAAGAACATCTAATAGAGAAGTTGAAATTAATGTACCTTGCTTCAAGAAGGCGGTGATAAAATAGGCTCTAACGCACTAGCCAATGAGAGAGTTATGTGACGGTGATCCATATAGTCGCCCGTAGGTATCATCGCTTGAAGCATAGGTAAACTTCCTAGAATGCTGTATGTTGACTGCTCTAAAAATCCAAACCTAGTTCTTCCTAGTAATTTGGGGAAGGGCAATGAATTTGAAACTCTCCGCGAACAACCATGCTTATCGATCGCCCATATTCTATCTAGTTTGAAAGAATTCATATATAAGGCCGGCTCTTCGGGGCTGGTGTGGTGAGCTCCTAATCACTCCAGGCATTCAATTTGGTTGAGGTGTGGCTCAAATAATTGTTCCCCATGGCGGCTCTCTATTCTACTGCACTCGACCTTTTCGGTCTTTTTGGTAGCAATCTGGCTGCGGCTGTGTCGGAGTTCGACATAAGAACAAGCTGGGGTAATCTTAGCCCCTACACCGACGCGCCGGGCTTTGGTATTCCCAAAGGATTTCCTGCGGGATGTGAGCTGTCGCAGGTTCACGTACTTCATCGCCATGGCCAGCGATACCCCACTCCATATCCTCTCGATGGTGGGACCATGGTGATGTTCTCCCAGAAGCTGGCCAATTACTCTAAAAAGAACCCGGACATTAAGGTAGGCACCGGTCCACTGGAGTTCCTCGACAATTGGCAGTTTACGCTTGGCTACGACGTGCTACTGCCCCAAGGTGCGGCTACAGAAGCTGCGGCTGGCGCACAGTTCTGGAGCGTGTATGGTCACCTGCTGTACCGTGCTGGTCTTGGTGATGCTTCATATGATCCATCGTTAAACGTGTATCCCAACGGCACGGCTCGTCCCAAGCCCACTTTTCGCACGACGTCGAAGTCTCGCATAGTTGACAGTGCTCGCTGGTGGTTGAGTGAGTATTTTCTTTCCTAGTACGATTAGAGGTTGGATCTAACAATGGCGGCTGCTTAGGTGGTTTCTTTTCCAAAGCGGGTGCCGACAGCTCTTCCTCGGAGTATGAGCTGACCATTATCCCCGAGCAGGATCATTTCAACAACACCCTGTCCCCGAGGTCTACTTGCACAAATGGCAGTTTTGTTGGGTAAGCTGCAGTTTTTTCTTTTGGGGTGGGGGGATTACATACTATATGGAGTATGTTAGAGCTAATCCATCAATAGATATAGCGCGGCTGAGACTTTCGGCAAATCGATAATAAACGGTGCTCTCGAACGGTTATCTCAGTTCTTACCCCACGGCTTCGGCCTTGATTCCATGGATGTCCAGGCCATGTTCAGCTTATGCCCTTACGAGTATGCGGCTCTCGGCCAGTCATCCTTCTGCTCTCTGTTCACAGAACAGGAATGGCGCGACTTTGAGTATTTACTCGACCTGAGTTTCTACGGCAGCCCCAGCGGCCGCGCCAACGGTATCGGCTACGTTCTGGAATTGGCTGCACGTTTACAGTCACGTTTGATCATGAGTAGCGATGCTGCTTTCAAGGCTGGTTCCCATGGTTTGCCAACCTCCGTCCCCCACGCACCTCCTCACAACCGCTTTCATATGAGCCAGATCGCGCCCTTTGGCGGCCGCCTGTTCACTGAAGTCTGGACGTGCCCTAAGGATGTAAACCTAGGTCGTCTCCAGGATCAAATGTACGAGAATCCGAATCTTTCGTCTCGGTCAGATGTGACTGGATATGTCCGTTTTGTGCTGAACAATGCGCCTGTTCCGTTAGATGGACTGTGCGACAACGCTGACAATGGATTTTGTCCACTTGACCACTTCCTAAGCAATGTGCTGACTCTGAACAAGGAGGCTTTGTACCAGAAGGCGTGCTTTGGAAATTACAACATTCCAACTCAAGTCGCCAACGGCCAGCCTATTCAGACTTGAGAGGTGATATTTCTAGCAGATAGTATACACCGGCAATGCAGCAGTTATCACACAAAAGGATGCATACTTGAATTTCTAAACTAGGTACGTATTCTAATTGCTAATATTGTAATGTTGTAATATTTTGGTTTATAGACGCGTAGTTAATAAGCGATATAATTCAATCAACGGGTAGTATTCCAATAGATATATATATAGTCACCCAACTAGTGATGTCAATCTGCCGTGTCATGCCCGTGGAAATGTTGCAAACACTGTACATATGTATCTTCTACAAACTACATTCGAGCCAATAGGAAGAACTATAACTTCAGACAAAAAAGGACCGAAGTCCTTGTCCTATGGGCCAGAGCCAGGCTACCCCACTAAGTTTGAATGGAATGTGGGGTTGAGGTACGGAGTAGTTGAAGATAATATAACTAACTAGGCATGATGCATCTATCGTACAAGGCTCTTTCCCCAGCCTCCTCTTAAGTGTTAGATGTATTTCTAATCGAAGAGAATGCTGGCTTCCTGGCATTTTATTACCTCGCTTCTTTTTGGTCTCTTTTTGGTCTCTTTTTGGTCTCTTTTTGGTCTCTTTTTGGTCTTGGTCTGTTGAATTCCAATATATATAGGTTCAATAACTTTCCTCGACCCAACATCGCGGGAAAATAATAATTTTGGTGCCACAGCCACCCTAATGATCCCTTGAACTAGCCGCTTTTGGGTGCGGGACCTGGTCTTCCCTTCTTTACGGCTACTGCACTCATAACAGCAAGGTCACTTGTTAGGCGAAGACACGCTTGCGAGGGTATTTTTTTGTAAAAAAAGAAGAAGAAAAAGCGGGGCCGGTGAATAGTCTGCCGTAGTTTTCCCCAACTTCACTCCTCACCCCCTGGTCCGCACCCCGACTCTCCGCATTTTTGCGAGACCCCCCTTCTTTTCTCTCAACCTACTTCTTCATTCTGCTCGAATTTTCTGCTCCAGCATTCTGCTACACGACATGATGAGGAGTAATGATGTTGCGGCCCGCAAGTGCGCCAAGTGCCATCGCGTCTTTTCTAAAGTCGAGCACTTGAGACGACATCATCGATCACGTGAGTATATCTTCCGAAACCATTCCGCAAGACGACACGCTGAACCATGCTTCTGTAAGATACGGGGGAACGGCCCTTTAAGTGCAAGGCCTGTGGGAGGACATACGCTAGAAGGTGCGTTTATTATCCTTGCAGTAGTCCGTCATTCATCCTGATGCGGTAGTTCGCAGTGATGTTCTCAATCGGCATATCCGGAATCATCATTTAGCACCACCACAGGATGGGGATAGCGCAGTTGTCCCGCAAAGCAGGCCTGCGACGGATGAGTTGGAGGAGATCAGACCTCCGCTGGATGCCAATTATTCTGAAGAGGCAGATACTGGAAGCGGAAATCTTCCCTCCGACAGGCCTTCCTCGTCACCGCGCAACACACCACCTGGATGTCCGACTCCACAGGATATTATTATTCATGACTCACTCAACGATAATTGGAACGAGAGACATATTGATGACGACATACTGGGGCTACAGCCCCCGTGTACCGAGGGGCTTCCCGAGTTCCTTGGAGATATCCGCACCGCGGGAGTAACAGACGACCAGCGTCGGCCGCAACTCGCCCCTATTTCAAGTCCCCGGCGAGATTTTATTCCATTTGATCCATATATGGATCCGTCTCTGGGAATAGCACAGCCACCTATCACCCGTGACACGTTCGATACCATACCTCCTGGTATGGACTTTGGCTCTGTTCTGTGGGATGACTTGCTTTTGACACCACCAGCTTCTGGATATCGGGGGCTCCATCGCCACCAAAAAGATAATATTTCAAATGAGCAGTTTGAGCAGGTGCGACGGCTCTGGCCCACAAGGCGTCGGAGAGTTACACCCTCCCCGTCTCCCATGTGCTGGGATGACATTCTTCTACATCCCGAAGATAATATCTTCTCTTCCACTGAATTGAAATCCATGGCAAGACTTAAGCCATCACCAGCGACCGGGTCACCCTGGGGACTTACCGAGGCTTGCCGGCACCGTTTAGCTCAAAGTATAACCACCTATGCCCCTCACAGTCCGGATCAAACAATAGATCTCGACCGTGATGGGCCATGGGACGGGGAACCGCCCCCTACTGATATTCTAGACCTATGTCTGGATCTTTACTTTAGTCAATTCCATGTACATTTACCTTTTGTTCACCCGGGAACATTCAAGGCCTGTGATACTCCCAGTATCCTGTTGTTTCCCATGTGCCTCGTGGGTATGATGATCCTTAACAGAAGCGCAGCTCGCAATTTGATTGCCAAGTATCTGCCAGTGAGTTCTCCTTTGGGCTCACTCTTCACTAGGCTCAACTTATACTAAATTGTTTGAGCTCCATAGGGTGCTATTCACCACTGTAGATCTGAGCTTACGTCTCAAAATCTCCGCTACTGTGCAGGCCCGGAGTTATTGACCGTTCTGGGTAGCGCTTGCCTTCTCTTGTTTGTAGCCGCCTCGACAGCTGTGGGTTCCCTCTTTTCCTAAGCCTCCTTCCATACTGACACGGGGCCAGGAAATAGCCTTTGAAGACAAACGGCAATCGCTTTACGAGGAAGCAATATCTGTCAGATTCTCCCATCTGCTACTAGCCAAACCACCCACACTGCTGCAGACTAACTAACATTAATGTGCCATAGGTGGCTAAAGATAGGGGACTTTTCGGCTCGCACGGTTATAGCCATTCTATCATACAAGCCGTGGGAGACGATGCTATCATGTGGAAAGCGTGGGCTCGGATCCAATCCGCTCAACGGTAGGCAATGTTAATGATGGCTAAGTAAACATCTAACGTTTAATTAGTCTTACGGCTTGTTTGATTTTAGCTGATGTGTACTCGGCACACATGCTGAACCTTGCGCCTATCCTTTCACCTGAGAATATCCAAATGCCACTTACATGCTGCGATGCCCTGTTCACAGTATATTCTTCACAGAAGTGGAAAGAACTCGCTGCGATCGAGGACCCGTGGAGGCAGCCGCTCTCTGTGGTGCTTGATATACATAATCTTCCATCAGGGCTCTCTGGACTGGGACTTCAAACAGCTCTTACGTTGATCTGGCTCCGTATTCTCAAACCTCGCCGCCAAGTTCAAGGACGCGCGGCCCATGTGCTTGAGCCCTGGACGCCCAACGGTACCTTATCGTGTGAAAACACGGAGGACAGCAATGCGGCATCTGTTGGATCTTGTCTGGCTTCGGCCTTTGATGTTTATGCGTGGGAATTCAAACGTGGAAATGCGAACTTGCTGATCCTATGGCATTATTTGTGCCTTCGCCTAACAAGTGACCTTGCTGTTATCGAGGATGCGGCTGGTCGGAATGGTCCTGAAGCTGCAAAGGCAGCCCTTGAACGACTGAGACCATGGGCCGAATCCCCTAGTGCCCGTCGTGCTTGCCTACATGCGGCTCAAATGTTCATGGTGATCAATAATCATCGTCGGTCAGATGGAGTGATGCTTCATTCCGAAATGGCGTTATTTAATGCAGCACTCGTCATGGGGTTTTATCTTTTCACTGCCCCCAACTTCAAATCGAGCGACGGCGCGTGCTATGACGTGTTTGAAGAAGTGGACTGGACCCATATTGGGACATTGGGTTTGGAGTCGCAGTCTCTGGACGGAGGTGTTTCCTCCCCGGTCTCGGCAGCCGCTGCGTTCATTCAGAATGGCGGTCCAGTCTGCTTCCACGGCGCAGAATACTGCAGTCCATACGGTGCCGCTCGGAGGTCTTTTATGAATGTTGCTTCCCAACTAGAAGAGGTGGGTAAATGGAATGTCCAGGAGTATTGCGACGTACTGCATGTAATTAGTGATACTCTCTTAAAACCTGACGGCCAGAATATCGCATTATGATTGCCGATGGGAAGTTGCGAAGGGCTGGAACCTACATACTGTAAAAATACGACCACAACCTCTAGCTGATGGATCGTGAATTTATATATCTATTTCTTGCCTACCGCACGTAGTATTTGGTCACATAGCTGCCATGAAATAACTATATCGGGGTTAACAAACATATTTACTTGTAGTTGAGGATCTGACCACTGGTCCTAATCACCTTTTCCATTCCTGGAGATGTCCATGTGGGGTGCAACGCACTCCGGTCTTATCCCCACCCATTAGAGAGAGTAATCAAATATTTGGCAAATTGAACTGCAACTGCAAATTGGGATTCAGATAATGATTCGTTATAGTTCAGGAATAGATACGCAACATCAATGATATGAGTTGCATAGCCTTTCCAGGGACCATTATATCTGAGCATTACGCTCAGATTGTCCAGGCTCCGATATATATAGTGCATGGCATGACAATTGCTTTGAATTCGTCGCCACTTGTGGAGATGCAACCGTCCGTACCATCTGACGCAACTAGCGCAACTAGCATCGTGCCTATCTCGTCTCGTCGGGCTAGTTTGAAAGATAGACATCGCCGGACGAACCGCGTAGCCATCAGCCTAGACATACGCCCCCCCCTGTCGGTAGGAAGCAGATGGACCATCTTAGTGCCCGATGAGGACATTTTTGCTCTTGGTCCGGTGTTTAATCTGCTGTGGGATCCCGTCGTAACCGGCTATTAACGGGTACGTCGCTGGGAAATGATGATCAATGCTGAACTTTGGCGTAGGTGAAGGCCGTTTTTCTCCTATTTATATATTTTTTTTTTACATATATATAGCCCTCTTGAAGCGCTATTTAGATTATGGGCAGCCTACAGCTTTCAGAAATTGTTCCCTCAGTAGGATAGATTCAGGTAAACTGTCACCCCCGAATGCTTGATTTAGAGCAATAGTTTGGATTCATGTTTAGGGAAGACGGGGGCTGCCTTATCTATCTAACAGAACAAGAAAGGAAATGAAATGAAAATTGCAGACTATGTTCTGGTTGTCAAAAATTATACTAAGTTCCACTCGTAGGGATTACCCAGGTGGGGTGTGGTGAGGGATGTCGATATATATAACTGCAGGGGCTGGTCTCAAAAACGAACAGCGAAGACAAAACAAACCACCAAAGGAGATCCAACATAATCGATACGATACCATGTCTCAGGTCAAAGAAAACGTTGCTTTTATTGGTAACCTACAACCTCTAAAATCCTCCGTGTTCACTCGATATCGGCTAAGCCTTGACAGGGTTGGGTGCCATGGGGTACGGCATGGCTAGGAACATCCGCAAGAGAATGCCGCCAACAGCAATACTGTACATTTACGATGTGTCGAAGAGTGTTTGTGAGCGGTTCTGCCTGGAGTTGCGAGGTATTGGGCACTCCGTGGTTGTTAATTCGCCTCGCGAGGCGGCAGAGTCGTCGCAGACCGTCATTTCCATTGTCCCGGGAGCCAAGGAAGTGCGACAGGTGTATCTTGATGCGACGACCGGAGTGATTGCCGCTGCGAGGAATCCCGATCGGCTCATCCTAGAGAGCAGCACGATCGATTCCCAGTCAAGTCGCAATGTCGCCGAGGAGCTGCTGCTGGCAGGGGCGGGGACCTACATCGACACCCCTGTTTCGGTGTGTGGAAGAGTCCCCTCCCTCACACTTAAAGAGAATTTAGTTAAATAATCTTGTTAATCTTTCAGGGCGGAGTTCCGGCAGCAAACGAGGGGACACTGTCTTTCCTCATCGGCCACAGCAAACCGTCCAAGCCAGACGAGATCTCGCAACGGTTGGAGGCAGCAGTGTCAATGATCGGCGACCCGCAAAAGCTATTCTACTGTGGCGCGCTCGGTGCAGGCCTCGCGGCCAAGATCAGCAACAACTATCTTTCATGCTCGATCCTCCTAGCAGTCGCCGAGGCCATGGCCATCGGCGTCAGGTCAGGCGTTGACCCGAAGCTACTGCACGAAATTATCCACAATTCCACCGGTCAGACTTTCATGGCAGACCATGTTCAGCCAGCTCCCGGGGTTGTGCCACATGCGCCCAGCAGTAACAACTACAGACTGGGATTCAAGACGCAGATGATGATCAAGGATTTGTCGTTGGGTGTGGAGGCTGGGTATGCGACCGGCATTCATCCTAGCGTCGCAGAGGCCGCCCTTCGCGTGTATGAAAAGGCTGCGGTGGATCCACAATGCATTGTAAGTCGTCTTTTGTCCTGCGTTGGGCGCCCGGAATTGGCTATGTACTGACTACGCAGGATCGTGATGGATCGTCGGTCTATCTTCACCTTACAAACCCCCAAAAGAGCCTGCGGAGTAGCCTTTTGGACTGGGTTTGGGTATGAGACTAGGAGAATTAGAACGTGAAATTATTGTCAAGGACAGTTCTTTACAGAATATAGGCGTTATGGATTAGGAATTACGGAAACCAGCCCAATAGCATAAGACGTGTATATCTGAGAAGTTAGTGGGGTGAAAGTAGCCATCTCCACCCCACTTTGTGGTCTTTGGCTATGTAAAACATTCAGTGCCCCAAAGGCCCTACTCAGGCAAATATTGCAATTCGTACAATGTCCAGCTACGGAATCGAGCTGCCGACCACAAAGGCACATGTCGAGCTTCTACTCCTGAATGGAGGAAGCATGACAGCCGAATACCACCGACTCCACGCCGGGCAGCCAGCAACAAAGTTCCGAATGTACAACTGGAGCTTCCTCATTCGTCATAAATCACAAGATCGCGAACTACTATGGGACTTAGGAATGTCTTCGGTGTGTTTATCCATCGTAAATATGCTGAATGCTGCTAACAACCGGGTCCCCTGACTAGAATCCCGACGATTTCCCTCCTGTCATTGCAAACGGCCCAATATTAGAGACAGGAGTCAAGGCTCCCTTCGAGTCGCTTGAAGCGCAAATAATGCGTCGCAGTGGCATCGCTGCTGACCAGCTTGACACAATAATTCTCAGGTGTGAAGATGCCCTGCACCGTTTCCCTCTATCCAAATACACGCCTGTATCCCCATGAGACAAAGGAAATTTGGTTAAGTTATCTTATAGCCACGCGCACTTCGACCACTGCCGACCCGCACGCAAAGCCTTCCCGAACGCAACTGTCTTCTTCGGTCCCGGCACGGCGGAGTATTGCTCACCAGGCCACCTCGCAGACCCATCATCCTTCTGGGATGGGCGGTATTTCGATCCGGATCGGGCAACCGAGCGGTGGAAGACGCTAGAAGGCCCCTGGGTCCCATTCGGACCATTCGACCGGGCAATGGACTTCTTCGGGGACGGGTGCTTCTGGGTCATACAAGCTCCGGGTCATATGCCGGGGAACCTGTGCGCGTGTGCGAGACTAGAGACGGGCGAGTGGGTTCTACTCGGTTCTGATTGCTGTCATTCACGGTACGTTGCCTGTGGATATGTTGCAATTCTCTTAGAGCGAATAACCGAGACTGATATGGGGTCTGCTGGCTGAATAGAGAAATCCTTGATGGTTTGAAAGAATTCGGGACATTTGAGATGCCCGATGGCAGTACATTCTGTCTCCACACGGATGTTGCCGCTGCTCGCGATACACTGGCGCGCATACGGGTGATGGAGTCAGAACTTGGGGTGCATGTTGCGCTGGCTCACGATGCTACCTGGATGGAAGAAGGAAAGAACGCAGTGCTGCTGTCGCTGCTGGATGATAAATTTCGTCATGATATTCGCCAGTCGCTCACACGACAGCTGCCGTTCTAGTAGATTCAACCTCTACCTATAAGGATGCCTTCGCCCTCAGTATGGCAGAAAGCAAATAATACGTCATGCACAGTGAGTAGATACCATAAATTAATATATCCAGGCTGAAGTATGTGCTAGCTACGCCAGACAGGAGAAGACCAAAATCACGGCTACAAGCGGTTGATTAAATCTACGTCCGGGGAAGAGCAGCGCTGGTAGTTATATAGTCCTTGTCGCCTGTAAAGCAGCTTCATTGCGATGTACTCAATGCATTCCATAAAATGGACGTAAAAGTTTATGGCTGCTCATTTTCGGACATGCTATTCATATATCTTTTGCAGTTACGTAGCTTGGATAAAGCGTGTCGTCCGACAAGTCCCCAGAGGCTCCAGTGCTTATGGATTAACTGGCGACTCTCAACCTCGTCAGCAATAGCGACACCCAAGTCTGCAGCTGAGATCCCCGTCAAGTGGCCATCCAAAACATCTTCCCCTTTTGGCTCTCCCTTAAGGGGAACGTAATCTACCGTAACCTCATATCGCCCAGTCCGGGGACCAGGTCTGTACAGCGGACTGGGCGAGACAAACGTCCACGGAAAGGATGAATTGCCCTCAAAGAACAGGAGACTCGCTCTCCCAGCTTTAATATAGTCAGAGGCCCTGTCATTATTCCGAATGGCGTGTTCGTACGTCCTTATCGTGTCAATGTCAGTCGCCGTGGCGGTGCCGGACTTTTCTGCTAGGCGTGCATTGCGGTAGGATCGTAGGTTGTCTCCGAGTGGCCCTAGGCGCTCCTCCATGTAGCAGACGTGTGCGTTGCTCTCTGCAATTTGTTTGCGATACGCAGCGAAGAAGCCTGGATAATCTGCCAGGGACTCGTGGGTCCCGGGCACCACGAGGCTGCCAGCACCGCCTACAAATACAAAGTACTTGACGGCCGCCAGTTTCACCGCGAGAATTAGCTTGCGGACGACTTCAATATAGGGCACTACAATGAATGGATGTCAGAGCGCGATAGAGCAATCAAGGAAGAGACAACTGGGCGGTGGGATAGCTTGCGTACTATACTGTAGTGCGTCCGCACCCTGGGTGTGAGGTCCGTATTCGCTGACAAGAGTATCGAGATCACGGAAGTTGTCCGCCAACTGGAGAACCGTAGATGATTCAATGTCCAGTGGACGTGGTCTGTATCTTTCATGGATGCCAAAAGACTGCGGGTTGCGCGATATACCGACGACAGTATGCCCCCGACGGATCAGTTCGGCTGTCAGGTATGATCCTCCGAACCCAGCGGGCCCGATGACGCCCACGAGTGCACTCTGACGATTGCTGGTGTCGGACATTGTGTGGAAGTTGTTTGGCAATCTGGGAAGCAGGGCTATGGGCTGTTGATGCCAGTGTATGGTGCGGGCTTCCCCATAGTTAAGAACCAGAGGATTATGTGGGGTGCGGGGGACATCCTAACAAGCCAAACCATACCCCTAAAGCGCATTCCAGAACCTGCTGCTGGTGATGTGCTGCTAATTTGGGGATGACAATTTGGCACCCCACTCAATCTGTGATCATGGCGGCCCAGGTATGTAGTAAAAGAAGACTACCCAGTCTTATGGTGCTCTGTGGGTTCAAACCAGTTTTAGGGGGAATATGGTGCCTGAATGCCTTATCTTGTACCGTTCACACCGCTCTATACGTCGTATTGTAATTATGCTTACACAATATGAAGCTCTTCATCTCATGCAAATCCAGTAGCTGTAGGGTCAGTATCCTATCCTATACGACAATGGCATTAAGATATAGTCAACTCAGGTAAGCCTTGACAAGGTCCTTGTCAACATTCTTTCACTGATGTAAAGGATCAAATTACAGTTGGAGTACTATTCTGATTCCACAACTCCATCAGTCTTTGAGATTGCCCAAACAGTATAGAGAGAGCCAAACTACACCCTCCAGTTTGCCCTGCCAAAAGGACACTCAAAACTATGCCCGAGATTAGTTCCAGCACACAGTCGCCCCGCCAGTTACCATATCCTGCAGGTTCTTGGCCCATCCCGGATCCCTTCTTGTCGTGTTTCGATCTTGTTGGTAGACTACAAGGTCCTGGTAAACTGGAGCTGAAAAAGGCTCACCCACCACCGGAAGCTATAGCCTTCCCTTGGGAGCAACGTTTCCAGTCTTGCCTCGTAAGTGACGGTATTTACGCGGCCATATACCTTGCTTCCCGGGTGATAGGATTCCATTTGGATCAGTTGCATCCTACATCAAGAGTCAGATCCTGTCTGCGTACGGTTCCTAGGATAATACGCACCTTCAGGGTCTCGACAAACCTGCTATAGGCATGGTTGTTGAAGTCGTTGAGGTCCGCAATCAAATCTATAGTGCGGTCAGTACCCTCGCGTTCAAGGCTATTAGGCTTTCTAAACTCACCCATGTGCTGGATATGTCCGCGGTACATGCCGTATCCCTTGTCCTTAGCCTCCTCATGCATGGCATGGAACAGTCTATGCATTGCCTCTCTCTCTCTCGGGCTGTGCTGGTCAAAGCTGTACATCCCTGTCACAACGACATGTCGCTCTTGCATGAAGAAGTCCGTCATCAACTCGAGGCCCGAAGCTTCAAAGATGGGTTTCGCCCGCCGCATCCAATCTAGGAGCTTCTTCCCGGACGACGGGATAATGGGTGCGTAATCCCCATGTGCAGCCTTTCCAGCACCGTCCTCCTGTAATGGCCAGCTCATGAGGGGGATGCTCATAAGACTTGGGATTCCGACAAGTACATTTCCGTCCTCAAACGGAACAGACGCGGCGTCAAGCAGACCACCGTCAGGTCCAGCGAACAATTTCCCAATGAACTCGCCAGTTGGGGCCTTGTCCTCGAGGATTCCGCTTATTTCATCAAAGTGCGCCTGGACAATGCGCTCAGGGCCGTAGAGGCCGAACCGTGCAGTCCAACAGCCTAGGTTCAACTCCTTCTGAAGTTCCTTAACACGCCAATCGGGAATAGGACCTTCTCCCTTCCAATAGTCCCGCCGCCGGCCCCGGATACAGAGGGCTTCGACGACATTACCAACCCATATAACGTTAGGAATCACTCCGTTACGACGCATGAGACCAAGGGTGTCAACCATGACTTCGAGGTCGTCGAACTCTGGCATGTTGAAGACACAAGACATGAAGGCTGAGGGCTGCGGGGTTAGCCAGATGCTCATTTTGGTCACGATGCCCAGATTGCTTTGCCAGAAAAGCCCTTCAACTGATGGTCCGTACGTAAACTTTGATAGGAATGCCGAAGGCGAGTTAGATATTCCAAATTGTCCAGTTCGAAGAAGATCGCCATCGGCGAGCATCACCTCGCATCCTGCAACGCATTGATGATGGTTCGAATTTGACCCAAAACCTGTTCCACGATCTACAGTCTGTGTGCGATATTAGCTTTTGCACAATATACCTTTATCCATTGTTTTTTTTCTTCTTCTTCTTCTTCTTCTTCTTCTTCTTCTTCTTCCTTCCTCATCGTGACTTACGTTTCCGATGACACTGCCCCATCCCAGGGAGGGTGCGCTTGGCCAGACTTTCTTCCTGTTCTCCACGCAGTAATTGTAAAGATCTGTCCATGTTACACCAGGTTCCACGACCGCGTAGTGGAGGTCGTCGTTAACTTCGAGAATGCGGTTCATAAGGTGCAGATCCAAGGCGATAGATCCGCGCACGACGGGAGCAGGCCCACCGTAACTAACATTCAATATCGTTAGTAATCCGAGTTTAAACTTGCCTGGGAAAGGTCATGGATACGTACCCCAGGTTCTTTCCCCTGGAGAATGTCCACAGCGGGATCCCGTGTTGATTGGCGATCTTGAGGACCTGGCGCAGTTTGTCCAGGGATCCCGGTCTAACAGAACAAGTCAACGCCATAAACGCAATGGAAGCCCATACCATGATGGAACTCGACTCACGTTACGGCCGCACTTGGAACCCTGCGTCGGGACTCATCATCCTCGTAGACATCATAGGGGTCGACATAATGAGCGAGAGCCTCCTCAACAAAGACCGACGCGACCCCGACGGCAGATATGAGTTCCTTGATGGCGACGTCAAATGTGGCCCTTGTGACACCAAGTGGTAGAACATTTGGGATTTTGGTCTTGGGGGTGGCAAACGTTTGTCGATGGGCTGCCTCGTACTCCGGATCGGAGTAGGTCTTGGGAGGCAGGGAGGATGTCATGATGGTGTTCGGCTATTGAGTCTGTACTGTGGAAGTAGTCTCTCTTCTCTATGCTGTGGTAATGCTGTGGGCTTTTAAAGAAATTCATGTGGGGGGTCAGATGGAAATACTGCGGAGGATCTGCCTTGCTGGACCTGCCAGTAGTGCAGGGTGTGCATAATCCTCAGATCATAGCATCTGGCGCCAGCTAATCCAATCGATAAAATATCTCTCACGTATTCTTAAATTCACGGATGTTTAGGATACTGAGTAGCCACTCCGTACACAAAAATTGAACGCTTTTGTGATTTGCACCGTATGTTGCTAGCACCTGCACAGTTCCATTTTCAAGAACTGAAGACGAAGAGAAACCTTAGTTTTTATACTAGTACTTTCATATATGGCTTGTGACGTTTATTGGTATCTTTAAGCTATAGGGTTCTCCTACAATCAAAACCGAATAGTAGTCTGAGTTACAGTATGGTTCCAAGCACTTAGGAAATTCACCTCGGCGACTCGAAAATATATATTTTACAAGTCTCTCAAGGAAGCAGTTTGAAACACTAGAAATCTTCTGGTTATACTCACCTACTAGCACGGTAAAGCGCGCATAATTCAATATACGGCTTTACGGAGTGGTAGATACAGAATTTAGGCTGCAGAATCGGCACGAGCTCGACGCTTGCTGCGCCAAGAGATAGAACTCTTTTACCCCGGAGAGCTTGGAAATCTTTCATTGGCACTGTCTATCCTCGCTTGTAAGTTAGATATGTGAACGTGGCCCGGCTGGTGCAGTCTGGCGTCGCCACGTCTGGGAATCTCTACCCCACATAGAGTGTCCCCCACCTGGTGTCTGGGCCTAGGGTACCCAAGTTGATCCCTTAAGGCAGTTAAGAGGGCGAGGCAGAGAAATCCAGTAGAGTACTTTCATTATACCAGAAGACGTCCCCATCAACCTATCCCTACATCGTTTGGTAGTGTACCTAGCTAAGGTGGAGTGATGACTTAACGTATTTCACATATGCCATAGTAAATGGGATATATTCTCCATTAATATCTCAACAACCAACATGTCATTTGATCCCTTTATTTGTAGATATTCATTGACAAGACATAGTAGCACTATCTGTCAATCTTATAGGAACATTGGAGTAGGAGGCTATGTTATCATTATTTCGAAAATTCCCGAAAATTACATTAAAACTACAAATATATATATCGTAATAATAAAGCCATAAAAACCCTTTAAATTCCCAGAAAAGGCTACGTATCACATAGAAATTAGGAAACTTTAAGGAGAAGTGCCTATAGACTAATGTCGTTGAGATATCAAATTGTAATTTATCACATTTACTATGGTGTTTTGGGGTGGACCACTCGTATGTGAAATACGTTAGTCTCATGCTCATTCTTGCCCTTTATAGAACTGAGTAAGATCTGATCTCAACTGCATGAATCCCTAAACCAAGTCAGCCCATTTGCTCCAATAGGCAAATGAATCATGGGAACTACGTACCTCGAGCATTTTCTTTGCCACATCCGGATCCGCCTGTGCCTCTCTTACCATCTGGAAAAACCCATCCCCAGCGACAGTCGTCTCCGGGTCTTTCTCCCACAGGCGTCGAAAGTTCGCGGTGGATAGCGGATCTACATATCCTCGATACTTGGCAGACCGGGCTTCGCTGTACTCTGTGAGGATTTGTTCGTCCGCCACGCCCTTGTGAATTCCAGCGAGAGCGTCATAAAGGGCTCCGACATCCGCAATTCCGCCTGTCAATCCGAGGCCGCCGCTAGTTCGAGCACTGTTAGCCAAATGCCTAGTTGAAGGAGGTAGCTATTTGCACCATCGCATCCGATGATATAGTCCGCGCTGAACTGGTCAGACTGACCAGACGGCAGCGCCACCTCCACCCAAGCTGAGAGGTCATCTTGGCCAACGGCGGTGACCCTGTGCCCCATCAGAACTTCGGTACCTTCCTGCTCAGTGGCGGCATTATATAGGATCTGGACCACGCGACCCAGCTCGAGGGCAACCATCCGATGCACGCTGCTCTCCGGCTCGATCTCGTGGTTCAGTCCGACAATGTGGGACCCATGATTTTTCCTCCAGCATACACTTCGCGGGAAAAACCCTTCCGCGCTGATGCTGTCGAGGACGCCAGCACGCTCCAGCTCAAATTTGGCGGGAGCACTGTAATGGCAAGCTCGTGGCTGGTCGTCAAGTTCGGTCGATGCTTCCAACACTTGGACTTGCACCCCTTGCTTTGAGAGAAGGACTGCAAGTAGCAAGCCGCAAGGTCCAGCACCGACGATGATAACCTGAGAGTATTAATGAGCAAATAGCGTCATAGCGTACACCAAACATGAACTTATAAACTTGCCTTCATGATGAAATCCTGGGTGTAAGTGCGCAAGTGATAGAGTCAACTCGTTTCCTTTTGGTGCCTCGATGCATATGGACTGAATTTCCCCAGCTATAAATGCCATCCATGTGGCTATGTTGGGGTTGTGGCAAGGCGGAGATTCGCACAATCCATGTGGGGGTCCAACTAGGGCCAAGAGGACCCCCGACATCCATTCCTTACATCATGGGAGTAGGTGTTATCTCATTCCTATGTGCGGCGTGCGAGCCTGTTAAGGAGCGGAGAAGAAAATATCATGAGAATTAGAAGTTCGAGTATCGCATTGTTGTAGGTTAAAGCTTTTGATTGATAGACTAAACTATAGCTTCCCTACTATAGAGAGTCACGGCAGTAAATCCTTCCCATTTCCCAGTACGAGCGATGCTCCACGTAACAACCCAGATTCATTCATATCTCAGCATGACCCTGAATGCCCAGCTTCTCCATGATGTTGTGCGTATGCCAGAAGCTTCTATAGCGTTTCCCAAAGATGTAGACGGGAATCGTAGAGATAATCAGCGCGGCACTAACCCCCCCAAAGACATAGAAGGGAGTCGCTGCACCACGGGCCGTAATCCAGTCGTTGATAAAGTAGCTGTAGCCATAGAAGAGGAAATTTTTAACCATGACGTTCGCCACGAAAATTTCGTTACTCATTTCGCGGAAGGCGTCGATCGCGTAGCTCGAACACGGGCCAACGCAGAAACAGATCCCTGCCAGTGTCAGCCCCCACATGAAGTCGATCACGTACAGGTTTCCTTGCGCTTGAGCGAGGGCACCAAAACCACAGAGGCCGCCGGTACAGATGAAGGAGAATAGAACAAGCGGGAACCTGAATTCAGGCTCGTAGACTCCTTTGTTGCGCTTCGCCATCCAGACAACTAGACGGTCCGTCGTCTTTGCTACGAGGATGGTTCCGATGACGCCGCCGATGAATGGTCCTGCCGATAGGTACCCAACTTGCGCGCTGGATAGCAAATACGGGGGCGGGGAAAAGATTTGGGCCACAACGTAGGACATCGCGACGTAGGTTGATGTGATGACAGCTGTGACCACGACGGTCCATAGTGCAACGACATTTGTGAGACACACAAGGGGACCGAATATCAGCTTCAAAAGGCTCTCTTCGCTGTACACCCCTGTATATAGGGCTAGCTCTTGCGAGAATGTTTTCTTAGCCGGGGACTGTGGGCTGTGCCATGGTTCGGCTCTGTCGGCAGCCTCGAGGTGCTCTGCAACTCCGTTCACTTGGACGTCAAGCTTTTCTCCTCCCGCGCTGAGACGCTGAGTGCAAATGCCATCTCGTATGTAGCTCGTTTCGGGCGCGAAGAAGAAGCACAGGACCGTTTGCAGACCAGAGGCGGCAATCAGAATGTGGAAAAGGTAATGCCATCCAAGATGGGCTGTTATGGGCCCTGCAATAACCGAGCTCAGGTTCGATACCGCGGATAGAGTAAACTGAACGACATTCACCCAAGCACCACGTTGGTGGACGAAAAACAGGTCTCCGACCACACTGAACGTCAGTGACTCGTATGCTGCGAATCCCAGACCCTGGATAATTCGAGCAGCCAGAAGAGTGTTGTAGCTCTGACTAGCGGAGCCGATGATACTTCCCACGAGGCAGGCGACAGAAGAGCCGAAAAACACCGGCCGCTTGCCGTACTTTGTGGCGAGGGCTGAGGTCAGCGGGCACGATGCGCCTGCAACAACCATATTGTATCCGGTGAGCAGGGTGATGTCAGTAATAGGCCGGTTGAATTCCCCAGCGAGCACCACGATACTGGCGCTGAGCAGAGGGCCAACTGTAGACGCATTTAGACAGGCTCCCAGAACCATAACCAAGAGGATCACAAATTTCTTGCGGTACGGCCAATTCAGAGGATCGTTAAGATCATTGGAAGGTTGCGGAGCGAGGATGACATCCTTGTCCTTGCCGGTGCCTCGTTTTAGTCGTGGGCTTCCGTCCCCCTCGGTGTAGAGGTGGTCGATATCCGCTAGGGCAACAGTGCCAGGGACCTGGGCCAAGCCACAGCGATCGTCAAGTACACCCAAGCCCATGGTGAAATCGTCAGTGTAAGAGATGTAAGATCAATAGGCAGAGAGCACAGCGGAGCGATAGAGAATAACCAAATAAGGACCTGCTGCCATTCCGAGGGTCGTGCTCCCAGGACCATATACAATTCTGAGAACTGGTGACTGCGGCGAAAGCCATGTGGGGTCCAGCGAATCTGGGGTATTCTATGTGGGCACAATTCCGGGGGTCATTTAAGGTTCTGAAGACTCATTGTGTTGTTTCCCAAGGTTGTATTATCAATGCTCTTTCCAGGAAATCCTAGGGATTTGTTGATCATGTCCCACCCAGGTAAGATCTGATCTAGAATTGCATAAGCTTATGGTAGTCTGCTCATGAGTCCCACAATGTCCAATGGGATTTCATGATGTTCTGAAAGGAGCTTGTTGGAGCAGGAGAGACGCAAGGAGAGTTCCCCAGATTCACCCCACATTGTGGATTGCAGGGTTCCCCAGATTTGCCCTTTCAATTCACCAATGATGTCGCGTGGGTGGAGCATATAGATCTACGGACAGATCCACGGTCTGGACAATGCCGCCGTGCCATGTTCTTCACGGATAATGATTTCGGTGCCCCATCTCTGCTCAATGAGACTGGAAGTGAGTCTAGAAATTCGATCCCGACGCGGAATCGCTGCAACTAGTCATTACTGCGAGCCACTATGCACATGGAACGCGTCCATTCCTTTTTTTTTTTTTTTTTTTTGCTATCTTGCTTGTCGCTTAATCTGCCTGACAGTAGACGATGCTCCTCTACCCCATGAATGTGACATGGAAGATTGTATTGATTGGTCCACTGACACTTATAGGTGAACCCCAAAAAGCCGCGTTTATCTTTCAAATCCATATTTTACATACATCTGCAACATTCTATCTCCAAGCGGCCTCCGGCCTTTGTCATTTGGCAGGGACAACCACGCCTTCCGCATTCACTTTGACCTGGCCAAGCATGTACCCTTCCTTCTCAGCCCTCGCCCATTCCTTTCTTAAAGTGCTTTCCGACGCGGGGCTCCGAGGGACAAACCGCAGCTTACTAGGCTTGGGAAGGGTATTCGCCCCATCCTCGTACGCCGCATCAGACACATCAACGGTGCCTACCTTGCCATTCTCCATGGGCGGCAGGACTTCAAACGCCCAGATAATACAAGCGATGGTAATAAAGAGGCTATTTTCCGCCAGGTGCATTCCCGGACAGATTCGCCGCCCGGCACCAAAGTCAAAATGGTCCCTGGCATAGGGGTCGGGATGCGCCGCGTACGCACCGGCCTTGAGCGTGTGCTTGAGATACCGGTCGGGAATAAAGTCGTCTGGATTCTCATAGCGATTCGGATCGAAGTGCAGTGCGTACTGGTTTATAGAAACGACTGTTTTTGCCGGGATAAAGTAGTCCTTGTACACTATATCTGCTGTCGTGTAGTGTGGTGATCCGATACTAATTAGCGGGTCAGTACAGAAATACGCGTAGGTTTGTAGATATCTTGTGGAAATCATCTCACTTGGTGACTGGGCGGATCCGCAAAACTTCCTTGACACACGCTCTGATATACGGCAAGTCCGGCTCGTCCTTGAAGGTAGGAATGCGATCCTCGCCAACCACTCGCTGAATCTCTTCGAATGCCTTTATCTGGGCCTCGGGATACGCTGCAAAATATTTGACGCAGCTGTTGAGGGCAGACGACGTGGTCTCGGACCCGGCTTCAATCATTGCTGGGAGCAGGCCGTTAGCTGCCAGGCAGACTTGGTGGAGGATTCATATGGGGACATACTTCCCGCCACAAAGCTCGCTTGGAGCTCGCTGATGTCGTTCTTCTCGTAGGCGGTCTCGATGAACTGTTTGACAAAACAGTCGGGCGCCTGACCCTGGTCCATCTGGGTCCGGAGGCCGGTCCAGTACTTCATCCAAATGGCCGCCTGCCGATTAAAGGACTGGAGGGCCTCTTTCCTCCACCACTGCATCCATGCCGGAAGCTTAGCTAGCACCGGCAGCGCTTCGGCCATGTACTTTCCCGGCATTACAGCTTTGCTGAAGTCGTCCATGAGACCATATATCTCGCGGATGTCTTCACAGTCCTACAGTATGTGTCAATAAAGTTTCAGATGCGAAGGGAAAGGCATAGGTACCCAAATAGGGGTGCGCCGCCCGTAAGTTGAAGTCATCACAACTGCAGGAAATACCATGTTAGTGGCTCCACCATGACTTGAGTTCCCGATTTACTGACCAGATGTGGTATATCTACGAATATGCATGTAGAAATTCTCCTGGTTGTCATTGTCGGTCAGGATATCCCAGAGCAATTGCTTTGCTTCAAACTCCTGGGACGGAATGAAGGTGTTGGATGATTTTGGGGTTAGAAGCTTGTGGACAATTGCTCGAAGCTTCCTCCAGTGAGGCGTGTACGGCATTAGTAGGAATCTGTCTCGGCGTCAGAAAGAATCCTATGAATAGAACCCTCTAGAGCTCAGGGACTTCGTACCTCATTCCACCCGAGAGGATATCGGACACAACCGGACTCGCCGCACGAGAGGAGGAATGCTGCGACTGCTTGTCGAAGATCTCTTTGACGGCCGCTGGGCTGTTGACATAGATCCATTGCTCTCTACCTAGGCGAACCTTGAAGAGCTCACCGTGTTCCCTAGCCCATTTTTGGAGCTGCCGCTGCGGGTAAACGCCCAACTGGGATGCATTTCCGGCGTCAGGGGCATCTCGCAGTCCCTTTGGTGGTCTTCTCGTGGAAATCGTAGCAGTGAGAAGGTGGTAGATGAGGAACGCCGTCGCGGCAGCCGCAATGCCAATAGTTATTAGCGCCATGGTTTGGAACTAGGCAGGATGAAGTTAACTTTCGGTGCTTGTAGGTGGCATATAAGAATCTGGTCACCCCACATGGGAGGGGCTACCTATTTCTGAATGTTTGCTTTTCGGGAAACATTGTAGCCTTCCGAGATATAACCGTAGCATCGCCTTCACCAACACACTACCCGGTGTTGAGACATTGTAAGTTATTGTCGTGAGACGCCGAAGGTAAAAAGCAGTTCAGATAGAGGCCTTCCAAACTCGATATTGCAGGAGCCCAGTGGGATACAGTTAGATGGCGGATGTGGGGTGAGATGGTCCACCAGGATCCCCCACATTGCTACTCAAGCAATTCTGAGAATCGCTGCGTAGGGTAATTTTGTGGGCTATGTATATGGGTATCCAAGTGGGTTGCCCGAAGGAATGGTCATGAGTGTCGACCATTTTCGTTTTCATTTCATTTTCATTTCATTTCACCCCTGCCTTGGATATAAAATGCCTAATCAGTTCCATACCTTTCTCAATCTCCGAGGCTCAAACAACCCCCATTGTGCCTACTGACAGGCTTTCTTCTATTCCCACTAGAACAAAAGCACAATACTACATATTCCCTATCATAGTTTAAGTAAATACATACGACCATAGGGTGTGGAAAATAGGGCTTCCCGTCCGCTCAGCCGTACTCAAGCCCATTATTCTGCACAGTCAATACTCAATTTGGCCCTAGCACCTAAGCGGCACTCCAGGGTGAGTACAGGTGATATGGGTGAGAAGTCTTGAGACTAGGGTGAGAGAGGTGAGAACGGGGTGACAATTCTCACCCTTAGGGTGATAAGGGCCAACTCATTCCAAGCCTATGCCGGCCCCAAGAAAAATATATAATACAACCTCTAAGGCTCTTTTCTCAGTCTGCCATGATTTTATTTGAACTTCTTTATAACGCATAATATGTTCTCCGAACAGAATATCCCGAAATCACTCTAGGAGCGTCTCGCACGTGCCATATCACGTGGCTTTATACGTGAATATCAAGACGAATAGGAAAAAGAGGGTAATACTATCTGCCACCCTGAGCTAGCGCCTGCTACGCTAGAGAAATACGATTATGTAGTTAGCAACTGGGCCCTGTAAGTTTAACCTATATTTTACTGATCTGAGTTCCTAATTATTAGTAGATGGAGGATTTCTCGTAACGAGTCCACAGACCCAGATTTTCCTAACCTACCTGTTCCGACTCCTGAACGTCTGAAACTTTTCGCAGAGTTTTATATCAAATCCTGTAAAAAGATTCCGTCTCAAAGAACGGCTTGTGGTTACTTTACTAGCTTTACGTCAAAGTGGGAGCGTGAAACTTCTCGATCCCTTTCTAAGGAAGTCAAGGACGACGTTCTTAACGTAAGGGATAGCAACTATCCTTTTATAGAGCTTGCTGCTAATAAAAAAAACAAAAGTTTATTAGAACCGAACTAACAGTGAGATATAAGCTCCCTACAAAGCCTAGAGAGCGCTTCCTAGTCAACGGAAAGGATATAGATTACCTGCTTCGACACCTCTTTGTGGATGACCATCACGATTATGTATATGAAAGAGTACGTATGCAGACTGGAAGTTCTCTTTCTTTATTTGCTGGCTCGGGTGTAAGAGCAGGGGCTATCGTCGAATCAAGTGCTTATCGCAAGTCAAACGAATGCTTATATTATAGGGTTTGTGTCTTGATGATTATTATCTTTGATTATATTAAAACTGACTCATGATTATTAGTACCTTTCATTTCATCTTAAATGGAGCAAGGCAAAGGGGCATCTGATACGTTGGGTAACAATTGATCCCGAATTCATAAAAGGCTGGCGTTATCGCGACGATACTACCCTGTGAGTGTATGAGTAAAATTATTCTATTTAGAACTGGCTAATATAAAGAATTAGCCCAAGGAATTGGTTTAGGGAGCATCCAGTTCTTGGAATGAGTTTTGTCTTCTGGGTAATCGTTCATGGGGTGGCGGATGGTGCCTTTAAAGGGCTTGCTACTGTGACAGAGGTTCTTGCCGCAAAGCCACCTAAGGGAAGAGAGTCATGGACTCTAGAATGGAACGAAACCGTAAAGGACCTCCCATTCTTTAGAATGGTCGACTCTAAAGGACCCAAATCAACGAAGGCATTGACCTTCTCCTCATTGCGGCATAACTTCACTAGCTTAGCCCAGCGCGATGGGTTCAAAGACCAGTTGCGTGTACATGGAATTCGAGGAGGCGTTGCAAACAAGATCGACCGTGAGTACATTTGTGCCGTCAAACCTCAATATTACTAACGAATTTCAGCCAAGGCTTCCCAGGCTACTCGTGGTCAGGCTCTTGATCACCAGAATCATGACACCTTTATAAAATATCAGTCTTCTCTCAAGGCGTTAGATATACAGGCCTTATTCTATGATTTAGAGCCTGACTACGAATGCCGTGATATGGAACAAAGCATGTCTCATCACCGAGATTCGAACGTGCCACTCCAACTCAATGCAGCTGCGATCGCACAATTCACAACTAACGATGAAATTGTTAAGATAAATCAGAGAATTGCTCACATAACCCAGGAGATTGCTGGAAAATTGGAAGAAAATAGGGACCTCGTATTTGAACGGGCTCGTCTTTATGACAAGAAAGCAAAACGATTGCTAGCCTGGAAGAAGGATTTTGTCAAAGACTGGTGGGATACTTCATACGCTGAGTATGTGTCTGGGAACGACTTCTCCGAACGCGACTTAACACCTCTTTTTGACGTCTACAAGAAATATCTACCAGAGCGCTCCCGTCTCAGCGAGAACCTATTGAAGAAGGGATCTCTAGATAGTGAACTTGGTCGATAGTGCCTAGAAGACATGGTCACTATTTGTACGTTAAGAGAACGTACCGTTTACTATCCCGGCATGGCCCCCGAGGAAGGCTGCTGTCTAATATGTAAGAAGTCTATACTAGAGTGAGTCTACCTGAATAGTATCATGGATCAAAAAGGTTGATAAAAAGACAGCGTTCCACTACCAGGGAGAGCCAAGCATATCCTATAGTGTCGAAGAAAATCCTTAAATGGTGCATAGTACCAGCAGCGCTATAAGAACGAAAGGCGCGCCCATCGACGCGCACCTCGCAGCTTTGTTTAATTTTGCTATCTTTGCGCTAAAATCTTCCTTGACGAAGACTCCTGGAAGAATCATTGCGAATGCCATCTCGATAGCCTTAAGCCTCGATGTGGTCTCCTGACCTTCCGTTCCACACTTGTCGCCCCAGGTTTCTGTCTATTCTGTTTAGGCGATAAAAGTAAGAAACCCGACGAGAGATTTTAATAATGGGTTATAAAATCGACTCTTTTAAATCACATTGACGAACACTTAGGGTCAGCGGACTCTTCAACCGTAGTCTTCTGCCCTCATCCATGTTGTGAAGAAAGGAAGTATGTTGACAACTTATATCTCCGGTGGCACTTCTTTGATGCACATTCAATCGAAGAGCCCCGCTCTAATTGTGTTAAACGAAAAAGGAAGTGGCAGCTTTAGCCAGAGTCTACGGGAACTACTTTCGAGAACTTGAGTGATGGAAAATTACCGAGCCTAGAGGATCATTTTTCCCCTACTCTGTCAACTACTTTTGAAGAACCGGATATGAGCTCTATAGATGATCTCTCTATGGACTTGAGCGATGAAACATTGCCGGGCCTAGAGGATCATTTCCCCCTACTCTGTCAACTACTTTTGAAGAACCGGATATGAGCTCTATAGATGATCTCTTTATGGAGTTCATACATTTTAGTGACAACTCTTACTGACCAGGTGACATCGTATCGTTGATACTGAAGTTGCTTGATGTCAGACTCTTCATCATCCCTGGATATTTCTTACACGATTATATGGTGGTAGATTGACTGCATATTGGTTGGTCAGAGACTTGAATGTTAAAACTTATCTTTCTTCAAGTGATATACTTTCCTTAGCAAGCCCTATGTCTGTGGTCAAGAATAGGGGTGATTATAGTTTGGCTTCCTTGAGGTAAAAATAAAAATTACGGTGTAGAGTATCCCCGACCTGAATGGAGAGACAACTTCCTTTATTATAGCTTCAATATCTGAAAGCTAACCAACGCTAAAATGACAGCGGAAAATCTTGCGACTATAAGGCTCTGCATCTAGGCCGAGATACCCTTAGAGAAAGATCACAGCACCTAATATCAAGGCTATCAGCACTCTAGACATATATCCCCTCAACATGACTCCATATGTATGTTTGTAGCTCACCGGCACACCATGCAGCGATTCTGGGGAGCCTTTTGGTGCTTTTTTAAATGTTTGGCATATTTTAGATAGAAGAGGGCTAAGTGCCAAAGCTGGCTAGCATTTTTCGAGTAATGATTCGCCTAGGCCATCAAAAACAACCATATCGATGGTCTACACCAATTACGCACATACACATTTACGAGCTGGGTTTTATAAAGCAAGCTCACTAGGCCCAAAAATATCATTTATAGAACAGCAAAATATAAGGTGGTCTCTTTCGCATTCGCGCTGGTGGTATGGAAAACCCCGTAGGAAAAACCATACCCAAAGAGATCTAAATGCTATCGGACTTTATCTGTCACTATAGAAAAGAAAGAGGGAGTAATCGCTCAATCTAAGAACGGGAGACATGAATAATAGTCAGATGGCTGAGCCCATTTGTATAGTCCCTAATGATTCTTTTATTCGGACGTAGTGCAGCTAGAGACCTGAATATGACTCGTGGGTGATGGAGAAGATGTCGATTCCGATGATTTTGATGATTCTGATGGAGACGATGTCAAGGAAGATGATTCCGATACCGATGATTCCGATACCGATGATTCCGATGCTGATGGAGACGATGTCGACAAAGATGATCCCGACGCTGATAGAGATAATGTTGAGGAAGATGATTCCGACACCGATGATTCCGATGCCAATGATTCCGATGCTGATGGAGACGATGTCGACAAAGATGACCCCGATGCCGATAGAGACGATGTCAAGGAAGATGATTCCGATACCGATGATTCCGATACCGATGATTCCGATGCTGATGGAGACGATGTCGACAAAGATGGTCCCGATGCCGATAGAGATGATGTCAAGAAAGATGATTCCGATACCGATGATTCCGATACCGATGATTCCGATGCTGATGGAGACGATGTCGACAAAGATGATCCCGACGCTGATAGAGATAATGTTGAGGAAGATGATTCCGACACCGATGATTCCGATGCCAATGATTCCGATGCTGATGGAGACGATGTCGACAAAGATGACCCCGATGCCGATAGAGACGATGTCGAGGAAGATGATGTTGATGATGCCGATGAATATGTGTTGGAAGCAATACACGAGCTGCCAACCTTCAATCCGTTCTCCAATGTACATCCTGATTCGTCTCCCTTTCGGTTGAAAATGTTAACAACCCCGTCCTTGTTTACCTCAATCCATGCAACAGGCAGGTCATTTATTTTGCCACAAGTATCCACATATAATCTAGAGTAACCCGTTCGTGTACCATGTGCAACCTTGCTTATATCTAGGACTTCGTTAATGCCAATCGTATATCTGTGGATTATCATTCACCTGCACAGCTATCTCCATCAAGGAGACCAAAAGATGCCGAGTATCCCGTACAACCATGGTTATCATCGGACCATATCACGCATTCACGGTTATAATCGAGAACTTTGAGAGCGCCACCTAAGGCGACACGTATGTAGATGCTAGCGAGAAGCAGGAAGGTAGAGAATGTCATGTTTTTAACCTTCAGAAGAATTGAAGAAGAATATGCAGATACAAAGTGTGTAGTATCTCCGGACTTAAGGTAGGATAGGATGGAAAGGCACGAGTTTGTGCGCCAGATCGGCGAATTTAATTGCCCATAAGTCTCTAGATGTGGCAATAAGCCCGCAACCCTACGACACGCTTTGGGACACGCTTTGCGACACGCTTTTCGACACACTTTGCGACACGCTCTTTGGATCGAGGTGCCACTAATTCCTGGACTTGATTTTGACTCCTAGGCCAGCTTCCCTCTCGACCCCCTGATATGGCTTTGTCTAGTACGGACAGATTTGTGGAGTCGTGGCACCCACCAATATGTACCTTTCAGTGGCGGCATCATGGTGCCCGGATGGATTAGTGTTACTGCTCTAGCTATCAAATGAAGCTTAAGTAACGGCGCTGCCCCATAGTTAGCTTGCTCGTGGCGTTTGATAATCCTTCAGCCTGATATCAACAGGATCCAAATCTATAAAAGCAAGGTATCTTGGGCATTAATTGGACGTAAGTCTTTACATTATCTAGCAAACATTATATATACTGACACTTCCTAGAATGAAAGGAACTGTCTCCTGGGTTTGCGTATCTTGCCATGCCAGCGATTCACATCGCATGAATATCAAGTTTACGGCACATGAGCCCGGATCCTATCTTGTTTGCGTTTGGTCCTATTTACTACCTGCTAAGCGGCGCATCAACATCAATACATTATGCGCGAATTGCTTGAAGGAAACCAACCTTCTATCATCGAAGGAACAGCGGGCGTTTATCCACAAGAAGATGGATCAAATCATGTTTGAAAGAACCGTTGCTTGGGCAAAGCAGGAGTGGGATTTTTGGGTGACGCGTCGCGAATGTCAACGCATCAACGAATCTGTGCAGCAGGATGAGGGGTTGCATGTTCATCTCATTGGGGGTGTTTGTATATTTTAGACCTCTCGGAGTTGAATCCCTAGTTTATAAAACGGGGCGGATCCCTTACAATGCTATTGCTTAGTGAAATTCAATTAGATCTAAAACTTTTTGACTTACAATATCGGGTGTCACCCCACGTGGAGACCAAACAGTTCGTCACCGTCCTACACGCTTGTCATATCCCGACTCGAGACACACATTGTTTCTGTTGTTAGAATAATGGACTCGGCATACCGGAGGATTGATTTATCCTTCATGTTTTGTAATTTATGTTATGTAATCACTGGACCCGGCCATGATTGACGTGATGATTGGCTTTTCGCGACGTTTTGAGGAAATATGAGGCTGTTCGCGGGGTTGCTTGAGAGATTGGAGTTGGTCTGAGGAAGCAGCAGTCCCCTCGCTTTTAAACTCGGTCGCCTCACCTTGCATATAGACTCATAATGAGATCTTTTCGGCCGAAAAGAACCCATCTGCTAGTATAGAGAGCGTCATTCTTTCAGTGAGTAAACGTAGTTCCTTAGCATCACTTCCGCACACTTCTTTCACCTCTTGCCTACTTCTTTCTTCTGGTGTCACCTCTCATCAACTTAACTTCTTTCTCTTCCAAGCATCTCTTTGCATCCACCAATCCTCTTAAGCGTCTTTCTCACCTACTATATCCTCTGCTAGCAGCTCCCTCTCTTTCAGCTTCTGTCCTGCATTGAACTGGACTCTCACTTTGCTCCGCCACGCTCATTCACAAGGTTTGTGGACTCGCCTGTTCTTTCACCTGTCTCGCCCATACATACCCGCTGCCTCAAAAGGCTCTTTGTCTCTCTTGCGCCCGACCACGCCTCAGACTAACTCACTTATTTATCTCAGATCAAGCAGCATGTCCGAGCAACAGATCGTCCCTCATAGCGCCGGCAGGCAGCTACCCCGTCCTCAGTTCTCAGTCGCAGTATCCCAGATCCTGGCTTGTCTAACTTGCATCCAAGCCAACGTCGCTGACTGGATCCGCACTGGGACCCAGTATGGATTTGGTCCCCGCTTTACGTTCCGTTGTCTTCAGGACTCCGGAGAGTCAAATGATTGCCAGCGTTGTCATCAAACCGGGACCGCCTGCGAGCGGGTAAAATAGCCCTTTCTCCCCCCTTCTTTTCTTTTATATTTCCATTTGCTGACTTCCAGTTCCTTTCGTTAGGTTCCCACCGGTATCGAGGGGCACCTTTATGAACTCCTCGCCTTAATCGCCTGGTTGAACTTGATGTGGGGATCTTACGATCCCACTAACGCGTTTTCTGACGCGTTCGTCCCGACTTGGCTGCTTCCCTCCCCTTTTCTTGCCGAGCTAGGAGATGAGATTAGACGGCTCTGCTCTTCCTTCCGGCTTCTCGCGCGAAACCACATCTTCGAGCATGGTATCCACCCTGGCTGCTCAGTATGGTCCCCTATGTTAAGCCTTCCTTTTTAGCTTCTTGCTTGCTAACTCCTGGTTTCTTATGCTAGCGTTCTCGCCGTACTAGGTACCGGAACTGGCTCCTGCACCGTCAACCCCTCCCGTCAAGTGTCGAACTGGACGGCTCTCCCGAGGCTTTTGCAGAATTTTCAATGTCCAAGCACAAGTCCACGGGCACTGAAGATCATGTCTATCACTGGTACGGGGCCGTTGTGAGCTTCCGTCGGAGGGTAATTGAAATCGTCGACGAGGGTACACTATACTCTGCTCATGAAGCAGAGTATGCGGACCGGCTTAACCGGTTTCCAGCTCAGATCCTGCCCGTGGAGCTCCGGGGCCTTGGTCTCCGCTCCTCCCGGTCCGCTCACTAAATAGCTGCTGGTTTATCGGCGGGTGCTAGCTTGGTAGTGTGCTGATTCATTGGTTTCGTGGTTTGAAAGGCGATGCCATGGGGCAGATAAGATGATTTCAATGGGGCATAAAATGCACCTCCGGGTCAAATCACCCTCGATGTGATGCCCCTTGCTCATATTTTTCTTGACGTTTCTTGACGTAGTCCCCCACCCCACTCCAGAATTATTTCTTTTCGCCCTCGGCAAAGCTAGCATGTAGTAAAAGCATGTTGTGGTAGGCAAATCGTGCCTATATCACAACAAGCTAAGCCCGAAAGTCAACCTCGGCGGCGAGATCGAGCACCTTGCTAAGCCGTAGCTTGTATCATGAACCAAGCATATCCCAAAATCAACATCATAAATCAGCAAACCACAAGCAAGCATGTATCAAAATCAGGACTCGAGTTCATAAGCAAGCATATCTTAAGGTCAAAAACCAATATCATCACCAAGCACACCACAGATCACCGCTCGAGTCCATAAACAATCGCGTATCGAAGTCAAAAACGCCTATCAACATCAAAATTCAAACTCAAAATCAAAATCAAACACATCAACATCAAATATCAAGGTCCACATCGGACCTATAAACAAGCGTATATCACAGTCAAAATCAAAAATCAACAAGACAATAAATCAACTCGTAAGGCAGGCGAAATATGACAACGCAAAAACAACATCAAAAACTCGCAATATCAATCAATAGATAGTCTCCTCCTTCTCTCACCTTCTCTCTCTCCCCTCCTTGTCCAATATTATCCATTCATCTGCATACATACTGTTTACACACGTGTTGTATTAGTTTCTGACCATTGGACTACCGATCATCCATCATGACGCATACATGCAAGTCAGGGATAATATCCATTTGAACCAACGTTTCGTTTCCCCTCAATTTAGAGACTTGTCCAGATCCAGGAAAATTGGGGTTTCTCTATATTAATGAATTTATTTCTTAGTTTCTGGACAGAAGATATACTATGTACATACCATCGAATACAATAGGTCAAATACCTAATTTACAGCTCAAGCTTAGTATAGACTAGTACAGCCCTGAGAAAGAGCGAAAAGAGTGTAAATCTTTTAGAACCCGAACTTGTCAGCTACTGTACCCGTCAAATGCACAGCTCAGATTCAATGCACGGCTCACAGTCCTATGACAGAATTCATGGAAGCTAATCTGATTCAGGGCAAGATTCGGGTGTTTTTGTCTTTCTTTCATATACCTGTTCTCCAGATGGCTCCCTTGTTCGGAAAACCGGCCCAAGGGACTTCAGTTAAAGAAGAATTTAACATAAGAATCCGCCTATAGGTCCAAATTGGTAAATTGATTAATATATCTCTTCAGATGTCCTATCCTTCTGACGCTTCCCAGGTCTATTGGCTGTAGAATCAGCCTTTCTCTTTCCTGTGTGAACATCATAATTCAAAACGTAATGTCGAAGTTTATCCATTGAAAATATTCCTTCCTGCTGTTTTTCATGACTTGGATTGTCTCGTTTTCCGACCAGTATTAACCGTTCTTTCAAACCTTCTTTAAATACCTTGTTCACATCCGGGGTTCCTAGCCCATACTCATTAATTACCGCAAAAATATGGTTCTTTGCAAGATCTTGTAAGGTTGCTCGCAGATTGTATCCGCCAGTCAAGGGGAATTTGTAGTAAATTCGTGGTTCGAATAGGTAGATAATAATCACTTCTCGATATGATTTAAACCACGTTGAAAGTATCTTAGCAAACTTCTGATGAAGGGTTACGAAATTTTTCTTTTCTATTGGTTGAGATGTTTCCTCAAAACCGGCCGCCAATGGTGGAAAATCATGGTCGGGAGTTCTAGGTGGGTGTGGGTCTATTTCTACCGGCTCGCTTATACTCTCTTCTTCAATCGCATCTGGTCCGGAGTTCGCAGATAGCTGGGGGCTTCTTTAGAAGGCGGCGAGTTCACAGGTTGAACTGTTGGACGCTCTTCTTTAAAATCTATATCTGTTTCGACAGATTCAGGCGCGGCTTCGGAAATCCCTAGGAGACTTTGTGGGGGGATAGGTTGCCGTTCATTCTAAAGCTGGTGAAATAAAGATTTTCTAAAGAAGCAGCTGATAATATCTTTTATCACTCCGAGCGACGTCATATATTCTGATTGTAACGGATCGGGACCAAACATTTGGTTGGCAAAAATCATTCTTCGCTGCCGATTATACTCCTCTCGCGTAGGGCTGTTAAAACGATGTCTCGCTTTAAGTTCTAGGTCGTTTGTCGTGAATTGGGCTGTAGTAACTTCTTCCTCTATATACCTAGGCAGGTTCCTTAAATAGCTCTAAAGTCTGTTAGACATTGATTGCACCTTATGATCTTCGTACTTGTAGAAGTCCTCCCTGCAAATAGACTTGAAAAAGCCTTGTGCCGTATGTTGCGCCACATTTTTGTCTTGAAGCAGGGTAATTTGATCAGACTTAAATCCTAATCGCGAAGCTAATATAGCAAGCTTACTTAAGCTCATATCCTCAGTGGGCCATGTATAGTTTTGTCCAATCCTTTTTAGCCGGCTTTCTTGACAGACAAAATGCCTATAAGCAAAAAGCCAAAGCTGTATTATAGATATAGAAAACGAGGATTTAGCTTCTTATATTATTATAAAATCCTGCTCTGTGGTCTGAACTTCAAGGAATCCTCTAGTTCCGATGATTTTCCATTGACTTAGCATGACCCTTTTGAGGCTTCCTTTGAATTTCGGTGGATAGAGACAGTGGAGAGCTCTTGCTGGCCGTTCAATAAATAGTGTATCTTGGATAAGCGTGTGGAGAGATATTATTCTCCCCGGTGTTTGGAGAAGTCGGCTCTTGAGGACCTCCCTATCTTTAGTAGTCCTAACATAAGGGAATAGATTTTTTGAATCCATAAGATCGGTGACGCGTTTTCGGTCTACTAGAGAGATATGAGGCATCAATCCTTTAATATGGCACACTGAATCTGAGTCCACAAGCGACCCGTATCTAGAGCCAAAAAGATGTGCCCATTGTTCCTGTATTAGGCACAAGTAATGATATAGGAGCTAGGAGGTTAGCTATAAACCAAAGATACGGATATTAAACATACATCTGGGCATTTGAGTCCTAACATCCTAGTGATTTGGGAAGATCTCAAAGGTTTCCATAGTCCAATGTATGGTAACAACTTGTCTAGAATGTCACGCCGATTAGTATTAAGTTGTAAGCGTCGTATCTGTTTCCGATAGTCTTCGGACCTAAGTCTAGCCCACTATTTTTGCTCTAGGGCAGCATTTTGTGAAATTTGGTAGAATCTGAGGGATCGATATATTTCGCCGACAGTAAAACTTACACTTGCTATCGATTCCTCACGCAATTAGGCGAGTGCGTCAGTCGAGATATCTAATACCATAGTTAGTTTTTAAAGAAAACAGACATTTGCTGATATACCCTACTGTCTAAATAGAGATCAGCCAGCCATATAATTTCCCCGAATCTCTCGCCAGCTTTCAGACGATGTTTTCCATATACACAAGTCATGAGATCCTCTCCTTCTAACGTGAGATATGGCTGATTCGTAGGATCCAGAAGTGCTTCTCGGGTGACATTTGATTTTGCAAGTGCTCTTCTCAAAGCCTCCTGTCCAATTGTCACGGAAACTCTGTGCTCAGGTTCTAGATTGCCGTAGCCTTCGATTTCAAACATTCTAAGAAGTTTCTCCACGTTTTTTCTCAGCGATTTCTCGGGTTCCTGTGAGATTATTCGCTTCAAATACAAGATTCTGTAACTTGATAATTGCGCATCCCTGATAACACTGTAGTCTTTGAAGGGCGAGGGTATTCGTTCGGTGACCAAGAAGATTTTCGCTTGTGTCCATATTTTTCGTTTTGCTTGGTATAGGAAAGGACGCATGAAAATTTGTGAGAGAGGGTGGCGGTGCTATTTTAAAATTTACCAGCGACACTTAAAAATGTGTCGCGCATTGCCCCGCGTTCATTCACTCCTCCAGTGAGTCCCCCCGTATGTCCCCACTCTCCAGTAAGTCCCTACTCCCCAGTGAGTCCCTACTCCCCAGTGAGTCCCCACTCTCTAGTGAGTCCCTACTCCCCAGTAAGTCCCTACTCCCCAGTAAGTCCCTACTCCCCAGTAAGTCCCTACTCCCCAGTGAGTCCCCACTCTCTAGTGAATCCCTACTGCCCAGTAAGTCCCCACTTCCCAGTGAGTCCCTACTCCCCAGTGAGTCCCTACTGCCCAGTAAGTCCCTACTGCCCAGTGAGTCCCTACTCCCCAGTGAGTCCCCACTCCCCAGTAAGTCCCTACTGCCCAGTGAGTCCCTACTGCCCAGTGAGTCCCTACTGCCCAGTGAGTCCCTACTCCCCAGTGAGTCCCCACTCCCCAGTGAGTCCCTACTGCCCAGTGAGTCCCTACTCCCCAGTGAGTTCCTACTCCCCAGTAAGTCCCTACTCCCCAGTAAGTCCCTACTCCCCAGTGAGTCCCTACTCAGGAGTATATCCATATACTCGCCACTAAATTCCGGGTTAAGACTTAGTTGCCGTACCTTCGTTTGAATTTGAACATTGTAAGAATGAGTGTCGCAGGTAGACTTGGGAACAAGGGTCGCAGTTAGGCTGCTGTTAAGCATAATAGCGACCTGCAGAATTCAGCTGATTGGTCTGTTCAACGGCGATTTTATATCCATCATACCTGACCCAAGCGGGGTCATTTATTATTTTTGCTGCGACCCATGTTCCTGGATTCTTGTATTTACGCTGTTGAACATTTATATACACTGGTATTAGCCACTCCCAAACCGACAAAACAACTTCCAGTCACTTTCTATTCACCAGCGAAATGTCAGAACATGGTAGAAGTCCGTCCATGGACAACCCGGCTGAGGTATGTACGAGGTTGAAGAAAGCGTAAAAAATCAATATACCAGACAAGTATTGATTTGATTATCTTTCCTAGGGACATGACCCCACATTCAATTATCAGAAACGACTTTATTCTCTGATGGACAAGTTATTACGCCAGGAGCAAGAATCTAGGCGCTACCACGGACACCTCGAGTCTAAAATCAATGTGGATTCTTCTACGTATCTAAAATTGAGGGATTATTGCGTTCAGGTCGAGAGAAAAGTCTCTGCCTTGGAGTATATACGATCGCAGCAAGAGACTTCATTACGATTCGCGGTGGAATCTTGTCAGGTTATGTCCAACAACCTCAACCTTCAAAGAAACAAAGTGAACCAGCTTGAATCTCGTCTCATTCATTTGTATCCAGCAATTGATGAAATGCTTTGTTCTTTGAATGATAACGATGGCACTCAGAAAAGCCAAAATATGGAACAACTTCTTCAAGAAAACCAGCGTCAGCGAGAGCTGAACACCTATCTTCAGGGGGCTCTTTCTGCTCGCGAAGAGATGCTACAGGACTTGAAAACATCTCTCGCAGAGGCATTTCTCGGCTTTCCCGCAGGTGATCATGACACCGAAAACCATGAGCAGCGGCAAGATGAGAGTGTACCCTCGTCTCTTTCAACTGATGATCGGTCCACTGTTAATAATTTCCCCGATCTACTTATGTGCGATACGTGATAAGCAGGTCTTAGTGGGTGCTATTGATTTAGACTTGTTTCTATTAAAGGATGAATTGGGCCATGATATGGTTAAGAGCGATGACTTTCAAGTAGTTTTCACACTAGTATCATGTCATGCCAGATATTCTTTTATCAAATTCGTGGAAGAGTTCTAAGACCATGATACAGTGGAATAGTAAATCAGTTTTAACTTTAAACTCTTCCAATTTAATTCCTAGATCCTAAGTGGAGACCCTGTTAATCCATGTAGGGCTATATTGTATTCCCTGGTAACCACTATGAGTCATTGTTATATGACAGAAATCAGGCACACGAACAATGTATGGTAAATAACAGATTGTATTTTCTCTATCGTTCTAATTTGACAAAATCCGCTTTTTATGGCTTCTATGCGGTAATTGCTTACCTAATAAAACGATGCACTTTGTATGGCAGCCGAATTGTCGAGTGGACTCGGCCTTGGTATTCGACATTATAGTACAGGGTGGATCGAAATCAGTTTCACCACCTTATAGAAATTGTTTTTAGAACCCTATTCTGAAACACCCTAATCGTTATCTGGCTTAGCGGTATTTCAAGGATTGAATCGTATGGAAATGTGTCATCACGTGGTAATGAGTGCGGTATAGTACTGGAAATATTATACCACAAATACTGCCCCTTCCTTTCTCGAACACCTCTTTCAGATATCACCACCCCATTCTTCAATGCAATTTCATCATAGGAGTCGGACCATTTACTAACAGATAGTGCGTACCAAACTAACAAATTAGATTGAGTTGATTCTACGCCAGGCATGATTTGGCAAGTCCTCAATTCTGTTGCCAATACATGATACATAGCGTGGGGCATTGCTCTAAATGATGAATGCCTTTTCGGGGAGTTCCATGGGAAATCAAAAGACTATCCCTGACCGGTGTGATCTAGGAGTACTAAAGGTCGACTTTTTCTATATGAGAGCTAATCTCAACGGGGCTTATCTGCAACCAAATAAAGTTAGCGGCAGCAAAACCGAATTATTCGTCGAAAAAAGCCCTTTAGACAAAATGCGATAATGTGATATTTCCTTAATTTCAGTATTCCTCAATTACATGAATGGGTACAAGAATGTGACTTCCTTGAGGATGCTTCGAGATGCATTCTTTGGTGATTGCTTCATATTTACCGCAACTACAGTTGTTGAGCACTTGCTGAGGACGACTAAAAAGACTCAATTTGACAGTTACATTGGCGAAAGCCTCTTTCGGGCAGCCACCCAGAACCTTCATATCACTAAGCCCATGTCTTACTCAGTAGGAGAGAGCAGAGGATATTCATGTGACTACAACTGTAACCTTACCGGGAAAGAATTCCATAATGTAGCATGGTATCCTATTGCCAATTGCAATCTTTTGTTCTGTCATTGCATACTTCAAGCCACTTGCATATCAGGCACAAAGAAAGTCGGCCAAAGAATGCTGCATGGATGGGTGTAATATAGTTACATTCAGTCTCGTGGTTGGAATGGGCTTGAATGCAGTGACCAAATGATCATAAATAAAAGGATTCCCAATCCTTGCTAAACTCCCCGCAGCATCCAAATCAATTCAATCCCCTCAGACCTGCCCTTGCTTCTTTTCTCTCATCCTCAACATCGGCAAGCAAAATGACTAGGAAACGTGCTATAGACCTTACAGGGGCAGATGGGCTGGACAATGAGAAGCGAGTAAGGCTCTTAGGGATCATTGACCGACTTCGAGAACTAGGCATCAGTGAGAATGTCTCTCTTCCTCAGGTAAGTGAATATATCGGATCCGACCATGGACTCTCACTGATCAATTGTAGCTCGTTGTAGTTGGTGATCAATCGAGCGGCAAGTCATCCCTTCTAGAAGGTTTGACGGGTCTTTCATTCCCTGTGGCCAGTGACCTCTGTACAAGATTTGCCACTCAAATCGTTCTTCGTCGAGCCCCAGAAGGGGAGGGTCGAGCCAGGATTACGATCATTCCAGGACCAACTTCGCGACTCGATGAAACCTTGAATCAAAATCTTCTAACCTTCGAAAAAACCCTGGCCGCTGCAGACTTCGGATGCCAAGAGTTCGAAGACATATTCGATGAGGTCAGGATCTCATTTTCCTGGCATTTTAGGACCCGTGTTGATATCATAACAGGCTGCTAGCTGTATGGGCATACCAGGACCAAAGGCGAAGAATTTGGAAGATGTCGAAAAAAGATTCTCAGATGATATACTCAAGATTGAGCTCTCAGGTCCAAATCATCGGCATCTCAGTGTTGTGGATGTTCCGGGTCTCTTCCACAGTGAGAAGACCCTGTACTATTTTGATGACTTAGCTAACCTCGATACAAGATCCGACAAAGTTTCAAACCGAAGAGGACCGTGCCATTATCCGGAAATTAATCGAGGATTATATGACTGACAAGCGTACCATCATCCTGTAAGTAAATACCTGTCAGAGGGTCATGGAAGAATTGTAGGGCTTACGTATCATTAGCGCAGTTATGGATGCACGTAATAACCTTGCCAACCAGGAAGTGTAAGGAAGATGCTCCCGGTTCGGTGTTGAAAGTGCTCACTTATACTAGGTTTTCAATGGCACGTGCCGCTGACCCAGCAGGTAAACGTACTGTTGGAATCGTCACCAAATGCGATGCGCTGCAGGCAGGAGATGAATCTGGTGTAAGTGTCTGATTATGTTGAGGCGAACGCCATACTGAAAACGCATCAGGTTTTGCGTATCGCTAAAAATGAGGTCGAGCGCCTCACTCACGGATGGTTCGCTGTACGAAACCGCTCCACAAAGGAAATTCAAGAGGGTGTAACTATCGAGGGCCGACATCGAAAGGAGAAAGAGTTTTTCTCAACGGAGCATCCTTGGACAGAACTCAAGAAAGATCGAGTCGGTATCAACGCCTTGAAGTCCTTTCTGGGCCACCTTTTATACGACCACATTCGCTCTGAATTTCCTGCTGTTGTGGCAGATATCGAAAAGCTTTCTCTGGAGACTCAGAAAGAGCTGGAGATCCTCGGACCTTCTCGCCAAACCCCTGCAGAGCAGAGAAGGTTCTTGACACGCCTAGCATCTACTTATCAAAACGAAGTTGATAGAGCATTGACCGGGAACTATAGTGCCGACTTGGAAGCACAAAGCCCGCTCAAGCTTCGTATGCACCTGCGGCAGCATGCAGATGATTTTGCTACATCAATGGCTACAGGGGGTCATGCCAAAGTTTTTCGTACAATTCAAGATGAAAACGATCCGGAATTTAGTAGACCAGCAGGTGACTTGGAAAATATATACGACTGGATACGACGTTACTACCTTGAGTCGCGCGGCTCTGAACTACCTGGCACTGTCAACCCTGTTGTGCTCCAGAATATGTTTCGCCAACAATCCAGTCCGTGGGAGAAAATTGCGATAGTTTATCTCGAAAAAACTGCCTCTGCAGTGCACTCCTTTAACCAACAGGTTTTTGCAAAAATCATCCCCGACAACGATGTGAGAGAGAAAATAGAAGGGGTTCTATCTCAACCCGGAGAGGAGACATACCGCCAGGCCCACAACCAGCTGCTGATGATAGTGAATGATGAACGAGGAGGAATCCTTCAGACCGTGAACCACTATTTCGCTGACACTTTATCCTCGATCCGCCAGGAAAGAGTCATAGCCAGACTTGAAGGTCTCGGGCTCCAAGACGGCTTTGGTTTCGACATGAAAACAGTATTGAAAGGTGTTCACTTGAGCAACGAACAACAAGCCGTTTTTGACATACACGATATCTTGAAAGCATACTACAAGGTGGCCATGAAGCGCTTCATGGACAACGTCGTCGTTCAAGTTTCTGAAAGATACATAGTAGGGGAGGAAGGCCCAGTGAAAATGTTTTCACCAGATCTCATCGGCGGCTTTGATGATGATATGCTGACGGATCTTGCGGGTGAGAACTTCTCCACAGCAAGCCGGCGAAACGACTTGGTATCCATGGCTGCACGGTTGAGAGAGGCATTGGACATTGCGAAACGCGCTGTGCTATGATTTCAGGTATGCTGAGTGACATTTAGTGGTTGGGGAGCCTCTCAGCAATATGTAGATTTCCCCAATAGCGCGGCTGATTCATCTCCGTATCGGGTATTTTGTGTGTAATTCTTCTGGGCATAGGTTTTTCCCACTGGGTTTTCCTATCCCCCAGCGCGAATGCGAGAAGGAATTTTTTGGGTTTTTTTTGTTCTTGTTGCACCTGCGCTTGCCTATTCGCGCGGTTTACAGTTTTTTCTGTTTATTTACGTTTATTTGAGGTTTTCTATCATCATTTCCATAAAGTGGAATTTCACAGTATAGGCTACTGCGCTACGCCTGGAAAATGACCTGTGGCTTAAAAATCCCTCAAATCAATTCAACCGCCGATAATTAGCCAAAGCATTTCCGATGTCCATTTATTTCAAGTGTGGGTCATTATGAGAATCAAAAAGTTACGTGGCACGCTGGTACTTCGACTGCCTCAAAAGAGAAGCCCCCAGCTTTGAGAGGTGTCACCGTACCATATATCCGTCGGATTACAAAAGGAACGTTCTAGAAACAACCCAGACTATTCAACGTTAATACAGAAGCTATTTTTATTTTGTCATTTACAACTGTATTGAATTACTGCCAAGACAGGGGTTCAGGGGAAGAGTAACTGTAATAAGTATAGCGTGTTTCAAGAGAGGGTTCGAGATAGATTTTCCGTGTGCAAGTGGTGAAACTAATTTCGATCCATCCTGTACCGTCATTTCTTGTCTTGTACAGTAGAAACCGATAGAATCCATCGTGCAAACAGATCAAACAAAAGAGAATCTTACATATCATCTGACCAGTTCAGTCTTGAGAGGGACCAAAATACAGCTTCAGAATTCATGTTTGCGTCTGCTGTACTGTAACAATCCGGGAATATCTTTCATTCTCTCTGTCTTGGTCAGTTTGCCACGTGCAGCCTTCGCCTATACTCTTTCGCATCCAAAAGAAGCCTGTGGTGACGCTATAGAGAATTTATCCTGGTAGGCAACTTGTTTCTCTACAAGCGAGCTACTCCCTGGGCCTGTTGGCCTCAGGCATTAACTCCCTCTTCCAGAGCCTGAGGCCGCTAAGTAATGCAAACCCTGCAAACCCTGCAAACTCTGCAAACCTTTCGAGATCTCAGGTGCTTGGAGATCTCGCTTGCTTCGTCGTCAAGTCCCTCACGTACATACGGATGCGTGCATCAGAATGTCTGCCAAACTACCTTTGATTCATCTGAATAAACCTATATCATCCACTCTGGTCTCTGACCTGAAACTTGCCCTTCGTCGGTTTGGAGCTTTCCGCCTAGCAGCACCCCCTGAAACCACGCAACGCTGTCCCAACGTTGTCATTGAAAATGCAGGCTAAACCCACTTTCCAGGAATAGCATCCATCACTGACCGCACTCTTTAGGCACGGGGCTTTTTCCGACAACCGATCGCAGCTAAGACAGATATAATGGGATACTCGCCCTTTGCTTCGGAACGTGTTCTTGGTAGGACTGAGATACCTAAAGAGAGTATCTATTTTTTCCGGAATGACGCCGAGCCGAACAATCTCAATGGTCCCTCTCGCAACTTATATCGTTCAGTCAAATCTCTTCACGAGGTAAACCGTCCTTGTCTTCTCCCTCTTATTGTGTATCGTGCTGATTTTCCTTTTCTTTAAGGAATGGACCCCTATAAGGTTGCAATTGTTGAAGACTATGTCGCAGGCATTGGATTTGAACACTCCCCTAACAGGCACGACGCTCCTCAATTCTGCCACTATCGGGATCCACTATTATGATTCTGGAAGCGATCCTGACTTCAGCGGCCATTTTAGTCCCCCCACAAAGATAGTGGAACATTAACTATTTTATTCCGGTCTCATGATAAGAACGACGGCCTGGAAATTGCGGATCTTGAAACAACAGAGAAACAAAACAGTGAAGGGGTTGGGTCGGAGGCGTCTTTTATGCACGTTCCTACTGTTGGTGATGGAGCCCCTGAGGTAGTCGTCTTTGCAGGCACTAGACTCCAGCGTTTACTCGGACGTGACCAAGTTCGGGCTTGCGTGCATAGAGTCCGCGGTCCAGGCCCGGAATGCCACAATAACTTTGGCGTACAACGATTGAGTATCGCAATGTTTTGCGCTCCCTCTAGGCCATCCACCTCACCCCCCTTGTCTTCCTCCTAGCTATGGAAGAGGGTAGGCTGGAAATACGTGGGCCTGGTTCTCTATCATATCCAGTATCTAGCCGAAAGATCGACGCCGCTATCATAACCAGTATTATTACCACTAGATACAATACGAAGAGTACTAGAGCAACAGTCTTCGAGTCAGACTCTGGTCACTCTACTGTATAGTCTGTGTGTTTCGCTGCTTCCAATCTCTTCCTTCCACCTATTTCCAGCAATTGTAGTTGGTGTTGGTAATCATCAAGGATGTGGCGAACATCACTTCCTCCCGGGACATGAAACATCTCCTGTTTTCTATATAGTTCGGGGTCGTTGCAGTTGACGTTGAGCTCTCCCTTAAGAGTCTCAAATTGCCGGCGGGCGATGGCTGAAACTTTATCCCAGTGACAGGAACAAGTTTGGAGTTTCCGAGTGTCTTTGTTGAGAGCCGCGTATAGATTAAATCTTCTGATATGTTAGATGTGCCTTGCCGACTATTAGTGAGATACTAACAGATACTTTGGCACTCCCTCGCAACTATTTTCTGTTATTATGGAAATAGGTTTGACTGAAGGGGACACTTACTGGACAATCCAGGTACGACCAATTTGAGGGTTCTCCCAGATCGCCTGCAACACACAAGACGCTTGCAATACTGCATTCATCTCTTCTTTGCCTGAATGCCTCAACTTGTCACCCGCGATATACACCCCAACCCTCTGCCCTTCTTCCGTGTGTCGAAGACGAACATCACCTTGGCCTGTGGGAACACGTATCTCCCAGCTATTGGTAACAATTACCAGCTCTATCAAAAAGTGACCTTTGATATCAGCATTTGGGAGACTCTTTTCTGTGTTTACTGCCAGGCAGGAGATAATGTCCTCTATAGGGCGGTTCGACATAGCGCATCGGATGTTGGCAGTGTAGACAAGAGAGACAACTATTTTGTCTGTGCAAAATGAAGGGTAGACCCTGCCTTTAGTACCTACTACAGCTCAGCATACCTCTCCTGGTATGACCTGTGCTGTTCCAGCAGGCGACAGACGGAACCTTGGCTTAGTGCAAGGTTCTAAATCATCTAGACCCAATTTGGATAGATTTTGTACGTCGTACAAAATTGGGCCATTTCGGGATTAGTGCAAACTCAAAATTTCAAAACAAACATGGATCGATTGTGTGTCAATGTGCCAACCCCGCTCTAGGAACCTATGCTAACCTTCAACACAATGTCGTCTAAGGTAGAGGTCAGCCCTGACCATTCCTATGTTAAGCTGGAGCTGGGTGTTCAGATTAGCACGAGGATGATAATTTCCACTATCACACAGACATGCTGTACTGGTACCGAAAAGTGGAAGCGGCTTGTCCGGTACGTGTTAGCTGAACTACACATGAAAAACAAGTCCATCAAAACTTTAGTGCATCAAGCGCAAGCTACGCTAGGACATGTGGAATCCCCCGAAAATACGATATACAACGCTCGTAGGATCGGCAGACGATGGCATGCTATTGTGTCCTGGATTTCACGGGAATCAGACCAACCGCTTACTGGAATTCTCCTTGTTCTGGAAAAGGGATACATGTAAGTATTGGAATGAATACGCACGATCTTGGCTAATCTACCAGTTAGCTGGGAACGCTATGCTGAGAGTCAATGGCGGAATGCTCTTGACAAACTCCTAAAAAAGTCGAATACATTGCGTGAAGCGAAAGAGCTAAGCGAGTTGGCTGGCAATCTCATCAAAGAAGTGAAATGTATGGTATATAACTCCAAGTATTCTACGATGCTGACACATTTACAGTGCATCTTAGCTTCGTAAACACTCCAAAGCACACGATGCTGGGTTTCAGCCGTTGTGAAGGAAGGAACGAGGCGGTTCTAAGCGACGATACCAGATCCATAGCCATGGTCTTTGAAGTGATACCACATCTGAAGGCCACCGGGTGTGCCGACTCTGCACGTCTGATGATACTTCTGTCCTATCTCGCAAACTACGAAGTCCCGGCAGATCTCCTGTGCCGCGGAGCTTCCCCTCGGAAGCGCTGGGGTAAAGATGGAGACATTGTCAAAGGAGATTCAGCTGAATTGGGCCTTTCTGATGATTTGATACGCATATGTTCCCCTGACACGCTGACGAAAGTATTGTCCAAACTCCAATCATCCTTGGCCATTGACTGGGTATCCAACTCGCGTTTCAAGTTGAGCAAAAGAGCAAGAAATGGGATGCTACATATGCTTTCTAGCAGTACTCATTCATTTTGGTGTCTACAAGCTCTCATCCTGGCGTCCCGTTCGATCCCCTGGAAGTATCTGGAGCAGACGTAATTCTACCGTCCCGATTGAGCCTCTAGCGACTAACACACTTACAGAGAACTTGACGCAAACCTATTAGTATCGCACGTTCGATACACCCTGGAACGAGCTCGACGCTATTGTAAAGTTGAGGACATGACTCCTATGGCTAGGATTGATATAGCTCTCAACGTTATTGAATCTGCTCGCTTCTCTGCTATGGAGTGGAAGCAGTCCGCGATCAAACATGCAGAAGAACTCACGGTTGGCTTAGACGACAGCTACATGCGTTCATGCCTCACGCAGAGACAATGCCTGATCCACCGGCTCTCCGGTAAGATAGATCTTGCTTTCATTTCCCTAACGGGCGGTGCCTCTTATCAAGGCAACAGAAAGCTACATGCTGCGTATGGGAATACCATGATCCAACTTGCCCTAAATCACATCCAGCTTGATCAACTTACCGAAGCAACGGAAGTGTTAGGGATATGGCAGCCGACTTCCTGGGCACATTCTGCAATGGAACAGGCTGTTCTCTTTCGTCAGCAATTGACCATGGGAAAGATATTACGTTACCAAGGCGACTTTGTAGGATCGTTGTCATACCTGGAGAGATCCCAGAACATTACGAATACCGCCAAGGATCTTATTTATCTTGAAGATACAAGTGAGCTGGCATGTAGCTTGGCTGATACGTATCTTGAGCTGGACGATCCTGCCAAAGCCGAGAGCTGTCTCCAGGCTGCGATCAACCGTCAAGCTCCAAAGCAGGGTGCATTGATCATTGCTCTTGCAGAATGTCTTTTTGCACAGAAGAGACTTGCAGGGGTAGAGGAAACGCTCTGCCGCGTGTTCCAATGCCAACTGAAGCTCATGAAGATGGATAAATTACGCCTAGCAATTGTCCAAGCTAAGCTATCTCACGTTCGGTCCCAATTTGGGGAGGCCTTCCGCTACTGGACAGAAGCGATGAGTAACCTTCGGGGATTTAACTTAGCCAGCGGACGCACAACACGCATAATCCTCCTCTCCCAGTGCGACGTTTTAAATCGTCAAGGGCTCTTCGATCTTGAGCAACAGACCCGGGATCAACTAGATGCTCTTGAGAAATGTGCTGATGCGGGTGGAGCTTTGTACTGGATTCCTGGCCTGCGTCATTGGCTGAACTATTTGGAACAATGCAATTGATCGTCATCCGGGCGTTGATGCCACATGGTAGCCCTGCCAAGCACCAGGAACGAAGCCGGCGGTTTTGTCATGGCCGGGCTTTCCAGACAGGTGTTCGCCAAGGACTTCGATCATTAGTGGTGTTATAACTAGTCCGTTTCCATCCCAATCGAGTTGGGGGGGGCGGGTGCGTACACATTTCCAAATTGTCGCAGGATTACTGTATGCGAATATTTATAATCGTAGCCGGACTACATTCTGCTTCTTCAGCCATTTTAACTGTGCCAAGTGACTGGCTCTATATCATGTCCAGTATAGATGCAGCTTAAATGATAGAAGTATGTATCGGGGCCATTCTGTGAGGTCAATTGTGACATTTAAGAGAGATGAACGGGTGAAGATGCCTCCTCCTACTTAGAGTGGATGGTATGGCATTTTCAAGTAAGATACACAAGGCAGGGTCCCACCTACGTCATGTAGGTATATAAGTATCTTTTGTATGGGAAATTCACACAAAAGATACATAAATTGTAGATTGGGTACCTGGTGAAAAATGGGTATCTAATGGGGTGCACCAACCACAAGTGCCTGGGGGTTGGGCGCTTGGCACGGTTACTGTACATTTACTTTTTCACCGGTTCCCTTATGCCATGATGCCTTCGAAGTAGCCCATCGCTTCTTCCTTTAATTTCCTGGATGTTGGTTAACTAGACGCTCGATGGATGGTTACCACCGCCACCAATTTCTTTGGCTTGGCCTATTGCTTTCGTGGGGCGCCGCAATATTTCAACATATCATTCTGCCCTCTTGTTTTTTCCTACATAGCACATCAGAACCCTAGCGACTCGATGCTGACATAGAATACCAGTAATCCCACGTGACTGTGTCTACCCTAACTCTGCGACTATACCATTCACTCCAGCGTCCGACGCTTTGTACCCCTTCCGTTCTCTCTCTCTCACGGCTTGAGGAAGGCGCGTAAGCTTCCAGTTTGACCCCAAGGCTGAAACTCAGGTTCGAATAACTCGACGTTCTTATTTACGTGTGACCTAACCAAGTTCCTGATATCATGCCGAGTTTGGGCCTGCGCACACACTAATTTCGTGATGAGTGGGCTAGTTCGTATTAGATGACGAGAACAAGGCTTACCAAGTACTAGCATTTTCCCCATTTGGCTTTCTATCTCTATATCGAGCTGCTTTTCCCAGATGGCGCGTCCGCTATGCACATCGATGAGCCCATTCTCACCAATGTGCTGGATATCATCTTCCGACTGAGCACGTAGTGGATCATAAATTGAGACATGAAGCATCTGCTTAGCGTAAGTATATAGCGTCGTCGATATAGAACTGTGTACTGACGTATCCATTATCTTGCCTGACGAGGAACTGTAGTAAGTCTCGTGCACTCTCATAGTCACCAATCCTATCCAACTGCCAGACGAGTGATATTCTCCGTGTGCATATTTGAGCCTTTTCATGGCCATCGAGGAGCTCCTTGATATATGGCAACTGAGCTGCGATGCCGATACCGGTAGCAATAAAAAAGGCATGTCCATAGTCGCCGACTTTGCTGTTTAAATTCCAATTAACAGACGATGGGCCAAAAGGGCCGTCAATCCAAGCCCCGCAGTCTCTATTTGGTTCAATGCGATCGAACAGTCTCTTTGTGAAACCAGACCGGGGCCGAAGCAGAATTGAGATTGAAACCGCCCGGCCATTGATATCATTCTCCCACCAACTGATTGTAAAAGGGTGCGACTGAAAAATATAAAATATTCCAACGGAGGGAACGCCTAGGTTGATACGTTGACCGGCGCGCACGACCCATGGTCTAGGTAATGATAGTGTCATTCGAACGACATCACCCACATAGGGTTGTAAATTCATTCGGACATGGCTTCTTCCTACCACTGCATTGCGATAGATAATACGAATTAGCTGCATCAGCCCCGTGATAACGAGGGTGCATATGAATACTAGTGGAAACACCCAAAAGTTCCCTTTAGCTGATCGGGTGTGCTGCCACACTGCGTAAATCATCGTCGCCGCGCATCCAATGTGGGTTACAAGAAATACTTCGTAGACCCTTTTTTTAACTAGTGGTAGAACCATCAAAGCCAGGAACATACTGGCGGCCTTGGCTAAGGTTTAGTATACACACACAATTTGGAGAAACCGGGAAAGCTTACCAGGAGACCGTAAAATTGCATTTCGTTTTCCCATGAAATCAGCCTCGATCGAGCAACGATTATGACATGAGCTAGAGCCTCAAATAGAGCCACTAACGCAAATGTTCGATGTAGAAATCCATAGGACTGGAGGGAAATTCCAAGAAGACGAGCAGCAAACTCGTAACCACCGCCTAAAAACATTGGAAACAAGTTAATGAGAGAGAGCTTTGCTGCTCTCTTGCCAGCATCTTGAACGGAATGGACCCGCACAACATTGCTGACGCCAGTGCCGGCAAAATAAACAACTGTGAGTATTAAATGGGTCCTTGATGTACATCCAAATCCGAGGAACCGCCAGTAGGACCGGGCATAAATCACATGGCGCAATAAGAAAGGCCGAACACGAGAAGATAAGAAAGGAGAGGTTGATAAGAATGAGCAAGTGCATAAAGTAAGACGATACAATAGGAATGAGAAAGCGATAAAACCGACGACCGCTCCGTAAATTGCTTCCGGTGTAGTCGGAAAATGAGTGATGGCAAAAGTAGTCATCTATGCGGGAAAAGATAAAAACTTCTTCATTTACTTTAGCAGACACCAGGGGCATATTTATACGTCTCCATTATCTCTCCTGATGGTCAGCGTTGATAAAAACCGAGTGGCCTTTATTGGCATGACCGGCCCGAGTGCACAATCATATCTCTGTAGCCGCTAATGTCTATGTTAGGGTTTTGCGGGGCAAAAAGGGGGTTTGAACGCCCGCCGGTGCGAGGAGAAAAAGGAGGGTGCTTCAGTGTGCGCGACTCGTATCCGCAACTCTGCTTCATGTCCGCAACTCTGCTTTCGTGTCCGCAACTCTGCTTTCGTGTCCGCAACTCTGCTTACGTGGCTGCCACTGTGTTTTGCGAGCACCTGGAGCTCCAGTCCAGTGTCTGAGGACTGGCTCAATATTAGAAAAGCACTAGCTTTTACTTTTGCCGCGGCCCAATCACAACATGACAGGCAGTGACCCCATCATAACTTCGGGTATTATCTGCCATCCGCGACACCGGAAAGGTACATAGCGAAAACCGACCGCTTACGCTCTAAGAAAATGAGCCAAGCTTGACTGAATGGAAATTATGATAAAGTATACCACCTTCGGTATGTACAGTCGATAGCGAAATCAGCTTCCGCCCCAAGAACTGCTTTTCTATTTTGTGGCCCCACTTTCAAGACATTAGTGCGCATTCTTTTACTCAGCGGTCAACCATAAAGAAATTATGTTGTTGCTGAATATGACAATACCGGAAAACGATGATACACTGTGCTTTCAGTACAGCAAAATTGCCTTGATGATCTATCACATGATATGATGTCAGAAAGGAGGCTGAGAATAATGTTTGTTTTGTTTGACATGTTTTGTTTGCTTATCAGATTGGTTATGAAACCTCCATAAATTGCTAGAACTCATGGGTATGTATAGCAGTTCAGAAAGCTTCATATTAATCTGAGGATCCTGTAACATCACGTTATCCGATATCCCTCGTATGAGTCCACAACGTAGGTGGGACAAGGCAATAGCCAGCCGGCCCAAGTCATGAGAGGAAAGGTCTTGAATTTACTGAGTGATACAAAGGTTGATCGACTGAAAAGACGAAGCAGGTTTATTATTTGGTTCCAGTGCTTCTTATTCCATTATTGTTTAAACGGCTGGATCAAGGATTATGGATCATGGACAAAGTATTTCAGTACTGAGAGCAAGGACTATAGCACAACTACATAGGGAGAGAAAACCAATCAAGATATCGAAGTAGTGAAAAAATTTAGTTGAACATGGTAATGTGGGAGCATGTTGAAACCTTAAGCCTCTTGGAAGGGGGACGTTGGGAGGTCGACTGATCAGCAAACTGATGTCCCTGGAGAAGTTTCACTATATGGTGGTATCCTCCCCGACGAGCAGCCTGGAGGGCATTTCCGTCCTCTCCACCCTGGGCGTTGACATCGGCTCCTCGCTCTAGCAGTATCTGTACGATCTTATTGTGTCCTCCAGAACAAGCAGCCTGGAGGGCATTTCCGTGGTATCCACCCTGGGCGTTGACATCGGCTCCTCGCCCTAGCAGCATCTGTGCGATCTTGTCGTGTCCTCTAGCACAAGCAGCCTGGAGGGCATTTCCGTAAAACCCACCCTGGGCGTTGACATCGGCTCCTCGCTCTAGCAGTATTTGTGCGATCTTGTCGTGTCCTCCAGCACAAGCAGCCTGGAGGCAATTTCCGTGGCGTCCACCCTGGGCGTTGACATCGGCTCCTCGCTCTAGCAGTATCTGTGCGATCTTGTCGTGTCCTCCAGCACAAGTAGCCTGGAGGGCATTTCCGTGGCATCCACCCTGGGCGTTAACATCGGCTCCTCGCCCTAGCAGCATCTGTGCGATCTTGTCGTGTCCTCCAGCACAAGCAGCCTGGAGGCAATTTCCGTGGCGTCCACCCTGGGCGTTGACATCGGCTCCTCGCTCTAGCAGTATCTGTGCGATCTTGTCGTGTCCTCCAGCACAAGCAGCCTGGAGGCAATTTCCGTAGCGCCCACCCTGGGCGTTGACATCGGCTCCTCGCTCTAGCAGTATCTGTGCGATCTTGTCGTGTCCTCCAGCACAAGCAGCCTGGAGGCAATTTCCGTAGCGCCCACCCTGGGCGTTGACATCGGCTCCTCGCTCTAGCAGTATCTGTGCGATCTTGTCGTGTCCTCCAGCACAAGCAGCCTGGAGGCAATTTCCGTAGCGCCCACCCTGGGCGTTGACATCGGCTCCTCGCTCTAGCAGTATCTGTGCGATCTTGTCATGTCCTCCAGCATAAGCAGCCTGGAGGGCATTTCCGTGGCATCCACCCTGGGCGTTAACATCGGCTCCTCGCTCTAGCAGCATCTGTGCGATCTTGTCGTGTCCTCCAGCACAAGCAGCGTGGAGGGCATTTCCGTAAAACCCACCCTGGACGTTGACATCGGCTCCTCGATCTAGCAGTATCTGTGCGATCTTGTTGTGTCCTTCAGAACAAGCAGCCTGGAGGGCATTTCCGTCCTCTCTACCCTGGGCGTTGACATCGGCTCCTCGATCTAGCAGCATCTGTGCGACCTTGTCGTGTCCTCTAGAACAAGCAGCCTGGAGGCAATTTCCGTGGCGTCCACCCTGGGCGTTGACATCGGCTCCTCGCTCTAGCAGTATCTGTGCGATCTTGTCGTGTCCTCCAGCACAAGCAGCCTGGAGGGCATTTCCGTGGTATCCACCCTGGGCGTTGACATCGGCTCCTCGATCTAGCAGTATCTGTGCGATCTTGTTGTGTCCTTCAGAACAAGCAGCCTGGAGGGCATTTCCGTCCTCTCTACCCTGGGCGTTGACATCGGCTCCTCGATCTAGCAGCATCTGTGCGACCTTGTCGTATCCTCTAGAACAAGCAGCCTGGAGGCAATTTCCGTGGCGTCCAACCTGGGCGTTGACATCGGCTCCTCGCTCTAGCAGTATCTGTGCGATCTTGTCGTGTCCTCCAGCACAAGCAGCCTGGAGGGCATTTCCGTGGTATCCACCCTGGGCGTTGACATCGGCTCCTCGATCTAGCAGCATCTGTGCGACCTTGTCGTATCCTCTAGAACAAGCAGCCTGGAGGGCATTTCCGTCCTCTCTACACTGGGCGTTGATATCGGCTCCTCGCTCTAGCAGTATCTGTGCGATCTTGTCGTGTCCTCTAGAACAAGCAGCCTGGAGGGCATTTCTGTAGCGTCCACCCTGGGCGTTAATATCGGCTCCTCGCCCTAGCAGTATTTGTGCGATCTTGTCGTGTCCTCTAGCACAAGCAGCCTGGAGGGAATTTCCGTAGCGTCCACCCTGGGCGTTAATATCGGCTTCTCGCCCTAGCAGAATCTGTGCGATCTTGTCGTGTCCCTGGTAACAAGTAGCCTGGAGGGCATTTCCGTAAAACCCACCCTGGGCGTTGATATTGGCTCCTCGATCTAGCAGCATCTGTGCGATCTTATCATGTCCTCTAGCACAAGCAGCCTGGAGGGCATTTCCGTAGATTCCACCCTGGGCGTTGATATCGGCTCCTCCCTCTAGTAGCATCTGTGCGATCTTGTCGTGTCCTCCAGCACAAGCAGCCTGGAGGGCATTTCCGTCCTCTCCACCCTGGGCGTTGACATCGGCTCCTCGATCTAGCAGCATCTGTGCGATCTTGTCGTGTCCTCTATCATAAGCAGCCTGGAGGGCATTTCCGTAAAACCCACCCTGGACGTTGACATCGGCTCCTCGCCCTAGCAGAAATTCCACGATCCTATCATGTCCATTTAATGAAGCCCATATGACCGGGTATGATTTTGTACCATTAGGTCTATTGACATCACTTTTATCCACACTAAGTATAGCATGTACCTCCTGTTCATGGCCATTCAAAGCTGCTAGATGTAGCGCACTCATTATAGGAGTTCCCCCAAGTGGTCTGACTGTCTTCCAAAAAATGGGAAACCATATTGAGAACGGTTTCCCGCTTATGTTGTATAATCGATGTACTCGGTCGGTTTCCTTTTGGATTGAAGTCAAAGCCATGTTTCGTACGTGATCGGGCTAGTGTGCTGCTGAATATTCCAAGAAACATCCAGTAAGGGAGCCTGATCTGTCTTCATCGTATTCTAAATCCTCCATCAACAAGTACCTCAAACAGATCTCAGCCATCTGATTTTCCGCATGAGTCAGGCTGTTCCAGTATGCAGAATTGGGATAGCTAGAACTTTTCTTCTTAATGAGAAATTCCCTGGCTGTTTGATGGATGAGATAGATCTTCGAATTGTTTGTGAAGACAAACAAGCCGCAAAGTTGTCGAAGCTTCTCTTCTAATTGGATTGGATCCAGCTTAGCCTGTCTTATCGTTTGCGGGTCTGAGATAGTGGCAATACCCAGCGCAATGGCCATCTCTTGTATTGTCAGGGGACGTCGTGCTGCCATAATGATTTCCAAGACCCTTTTGACTATATTCGTTTCACTGGCTGGGACTCGACAAAGGATTTTCTCATATGCTGCATTCACAGAAGGCGGTACCAATGTGATCGAGTTCTCTCCGGGCCGAAGGCTGTGTTTCAAGGTAGCACGGATGTCATCAATGGCTAGGTGCAGCCAAAGATATGTATGGTGTTCTATTTGAAGCAGCCTTTTTTCAACTTGATGATGAAGCTCTGGTGAGAGCGGCACTGATTCAGCTAGTTCTCTCACCCGAGTCCTTACCACTAGATCGATCTCCTCATGGATTTGGTCATTCTGCTCTTCCCCCTTAATATATATATGTGGGAAGGAATCGGTGATTGCTCGAAAATGATCCTGTATATGATCGTAGGGACGACTGGTGACGAGGAATTTCAAATAGGTTTCCTCTGTTGATGAAGATGGCTGGCGATGAAACGCTTGGAGCTTTTTAATTAATCGGCGCTGATCCGTTTCACGGTATTCATCAAGTGTATCGAATATGCAAATGGTCTTGTAAGATATGTTAGCTGATGTTGCCGCCATCAAAATCCGCCAAAGCTCGTCAACTTCTTGTCGGAGCGTCCCCCCCATTCTTTTCCCAGGTCGGAATGGCATATGTCAATAGATCTGACTGCTGGCTAAATAGCTGATGAAGGACCGAACATAGTGCCGTAGCAAGACTGTTCTGTTCATTATTGTCCTTGAAAAAAAAATAACATATTCTTATAGTTGGATGAAAGGTCTCTGAGTAACCATTAATTATCGATCTGGCGAGGATAGATTTGCCGCAGCCTGGGTCAGCCGACACCCAGAGAAGATTATTGTAGTTGCTCTCCCACCAACGGATGTATTCGGGGCTCTGGAAAGCCCATTGACAGGTTCCCTCGGCTCGTTTAGGGTTTATATTCTTTTGCTCGGCGTAGTTAACTACCTTAAACACTTGGTAACAAAGGCGCTGCCGATCTGTTAATACTCTTGCCTTCTGTTCACCAAAGTGACGTTCGTTTTGACTGTATGCTTGGTCTAAGCGATGTTGGATGCCTTTCAGCTCCTCTAAGTTATGCCCAAGTCAATATTTGCTAACAAAATCATTAAAAGACTGCGCTAGACTAACCAGACACAACAACACCTATCCTCTCCTCGGCTTTAATTCTGTTCAGAGGAATTCTCTGTAGGAGATCCTTCGTGTATGTAGCTGCAACCATAGCTGCATGCCCTTACCACTGTTTGTTCTTATGTGAATCCGAGTAATCGCAGATACCCCTGATGACCAGACATGGAAAAGTATTTATCAGCCCCGCGGCTTCCATTTCGAAACAGAGGACGTCTTTCCCTGTAGCAAGCCGATCTCGAATCAAAGCATCCTTCATCAGCTGATTGCCAGAAGCAATCAGGCCATAGTGAATAGCAGGTTTATCTTTATCGTTAGCCCGCTCGCTTCGTAGTACCAACGTGGAAGGATCAACCGCACACATAGCACAGTCAGCTTGGTGATGGATAACTTCGGGGAGAAACAGCCTATCCGTGATTGGTTCTAGCCGTTTGTACTTCCGACGAAGTCTCATGTTCTTCCCAAAAATGGTGTTGATGGCCTCCTCAAGCTGATGCCCTTTTCTCTCGTATTGAGCTCGGATACCCGCTATTGCAGCGTGTAAAATAGCTGGTGGCTGATTTAAGAACCGCGTATGCTGAAAACTTTGGTCCTGGATCGACTTGCCAAAATCGTATTGAAATATACCACTCTCGCCATCGCGAGGTGCACTGACCACAACATCGCCTAGACGAATATCATGGGTCTCACTTGGTACACCCCCGCCAATCCCGACCATAAGGCCGATCCTGATGTTGTGAAAACTATTAAGCATGTTTGTCGCTACAGTGGCCGCGGAAGCTGTTCCATATTCACCATCAGGCAAGACGGCAATGACAACGTTGTGCTCGCCTATCTTGCCTAACGTATAGTCGTTGGCATCGTTTGGCGACACGAAACTGGGTCTGTCGTGCTCTTCATCGAGAAACTCTTGTGCGGCAATGTATTCCACGGGTAAGGCGTAAATCCAGCCCACAGTATACCGCGCAGGATCTGACATCGCTTCAACGCGAGAGAAAATGCCTGAAGTTCAGTTACTCGCGTGACTTTTCGTAAGTCCTGATGTCTGGTGTGCAATAGAGGCCTAGCTCATGGGGACAGCATATGCCACTATGAGCAAAGGTGAACGGAGGAGGCTTGAGAGAAGGAAAGAAGCATTATAAGACAGGGCAATGTTTGCCAACTGGGGAGGCTCAGCCACATGATGAACACGACATGCAGCAGCGAGCGGTAAGAGAAGAGATGCTATTGGTAGGAGGCGTCTTCTCCATCCCATCGAAGCAAAGAAATGCCAAGATCAGCCTTGGAATGCACTCATCTTGTCCAATTTATTGTGTGGTGCAATTGACAGTTGTTGGCAGAGATATATGACGAGTGTGGCCTTCCATGAAGTCCTATTCCTGGGCAAGTTTGTTCTCCTGTTATTGGCAACGGGGTGCGCCGCACCGAAACCTCCCTCAAGGCCAAGTTTCGTGGACCCACTTCCACCGAAAGGGGCACCAATAGTAAATCAACCCTGCCTTGACCTGCCTCACCAAGTGACGTGTTGTCTGGCGGCATGGAAATACCATAATCCGGTCTTCCAACCCCGACGTAATATTCCATGATATTCTTTGGGATGTGGAGTCACTAATCCAGATTAGGGAAAACATCAGCATCTAATCTTCGAATCATCAGGGCCGTCCGAATTCTGCGTCCTTGGCCTAAGTCAAGATCCCACAACACAGCGGGAATAAAAAAAACTGGTCGAATCAAATGCAAGGGTAAAAAAATGAATTACTATGGTGGTAATCTGACTTTATAAATTGATGCGGTAAAACGGAGAATTATTCATGGAAGCAAGCAGTAATTCGAGGGCGGCAACTATCGATGAATCTCCCATAGCCAATCGTCCTGCAAGACAAGGATCACGTGCATTATTCAATACTGAGCACACCCTCACCAAAAACAATGTAAATGTTGAGTATATTTGAAATGGTAATTTCGCTGTAAGTTACAACTCAATACATTCAGAATGGATTTTAAATTGATGCCCGTTGAATTAATTTTGGCGCTAGTGCCTTGGCAGTGGGTCCCGAGAAAAGAATAGAAAGTGTTAGGGAGGAAGCAGATTTCGCTAGTGACTGTATCAGTAGCTTTCTTTTATATTATGACATGTACAGTAGATCAGAGATAGTTGCCCTTTCGGCTTAGCCGCCGGGCGTTAATAAATTGTGTGTGTGTGTGTATCAGTAGCGAAGGTGGACTGTATGTATCAGTGGAAAAATCCGGCACCAGACGAGGAGACTGTACATACCAAAGCTGTATGAATATAAGGTATCAATAATCGGTACTGTACATCTGGCCGCACCACTAGCGGTACCAATTTGCGATTTGCCCAAGAAATGTCGGGACGGGCCGAGACGCGAACCCCTGAACCGCCCGACCGCGACGAACACGAAAAGTCACCGCCACGATTGTCGAGACCGAGACGCACCACCAGACCGCCTAAAAACTATGGCCAAGATCAAGAGATCGACATCCAACAGAGAAACGCGCGCTCCCAGCGGAAGAATGAGGCCCAGGGCAAGCCTGTAGCCCAACATGAAGCGGTAACTTTGGACGATGCCTTAACCGAGAGCGACGACCTGGACGTCGCCGACCTGGTGAAAGAGCTTGTGAAACTCAGGAGAGACATCAAACGGCGAGATGGTTTGCATAGAGAAGAGATGCAGAAAGTACAAGAAGAACTGCAGAAAGTCAAGGAAGAATTCAGCGCCGCCCTTGCAGAAGTTCGACACGAGCTACAGACCCTGACAGATAGACCCCTTACACCGCAACCCCTTTCCGAACCATGCCCCCAGAACGGTCACGATGAGATCCTTCGCGAAATCCAATCCTTACGCATTGCAATCAGTCCTGCAGACCTCACCACGGGATCCCCTTCCTATGCAGATGTTGCCCGCACTCCCCCAACCAGCTACCCGAGCAACGTACGGACTCTCTCATCGTCGAACACGACACCGACCACCTTCACCGACACGTTGTATTGCACGATAGACACTTCAAAGATGGTAAACAACGAAAGTGAGAAGATGTCCGCAGGTCCGATCCGGGCGGCGGTTGAAACAGAGATCCGAATGATGGAAAAGCACACGCACTGGCGCTGTCGCGCCGTCACGGTGGATCCGAAAAACACAAACCGGATCAGAATTGCATGTCGCGATGAAGCTGAACACCAGCTAGTCAAGAAAGTGGCGGAAGCAAAGATCGGCGAAGGAGCCCGAGTGCTTCGTGACGAGCTTTACCCGATCAAAGTCGACAGCGTCAACAGGGCCGCAGTTCTTGACGAAAAAGATGAGATCCGAGCTGGAGCCACAGTGGCCTTCAGCGAGGAGAACGAAGTCACCGTTGCTAAGATCGCGTGGCTCAGCAGAAAGGAAAGCGCAAAGGCCTACGGGTCGATGGTTGTTTACCTAACCAGGGGCACTGATGCACGGAGGCTCCTCGCCGACGGATTCTTCCACGCTGGGGGAGAATCCGGCGTGACTAGCACCTTTGAACATCGTCCACGACCGACGCAATGTTACAATTGTCAGGAGATTGGACATAAAGCATTCCAGTGTAAGAACGTCCAGAAGTGTGCAAGATGCGCCGCGGAGGGCCATCGCCATAGTGACTGCAACCAAACGGTTCTAAAGTGCATTCCGTGTGGAGGCCCGCATGAATCGCATAGCAAGAACTGCCGGAAGCTCTATCCGCCGCGTCATGAGTAAAACCTTCCGTATCATCCAACTGAACGTGAGAAAACAGGGCGCGGTGCATGACAGCTTGATGAATGACGAACAAACCCGAGACGCAGCGGTGTTAGCGATCCAAGAACCCCAAGCGAGGAGAATCCACGGCAGGCTCTTGACGACCCCGATGGGACATCACAAGTGGACGAAAATGGTTCCTTCCGCCTGGAGGGAAGGCAGATGGGCGATCCGAAGCATGCTTTGGGTCAACAAGGATATAGAAGCGGAGCAAGTGGCTATAGAATCCCCGGATCTGACGGCGGCGGTCATCCGACTCCCCGAGCGACTGATTTTTATGGCATCAGTTTACGTCGAGGGGGAGATGCCTCGGCGTTAGTTAGCGTGTGTGATCACCTAAGAAAGGCAATTGCAAAGGTGCGGCGAGACACGGGCGCTGTGGTAGAGGTCATGATTGTGGGAGACTTTAACCGCCATGACCAACTCTGGGGAGGAGACGAGGTGTCCCTGGGAAGACAGGGCGAAGCGGATCCAATCATTGACCTCATGAACGAGTTTGCTCTCAGCAGCTTACTCAAACGAGGTACAAAGACGTGGCATGGTGGTGGATGGAGCGGGGACTGCGAGTCGACCATCGACCTCGTCCTGGCCTCTGATAATTTGACAGACTCAATGATCAAGTGTGCGATATATGGGACAGAGCACGGCTCGGACCACCGTGCCATTGAGACTGTGTTCGATGCACCGTGGTCAGCCCCGAAGCATCTGGAACGACTTCTGCTGAAGAACGCACCATGGAAAGAGATCAATGCCAGAATCGCGAGTGCTCTGGCCGCCACTCCGTCGGGAGGCACGGTGCAGCAGAAGACTGACCGACTCATGACGGCGGTCAGCGAGGCGGTACATGCTTTGACTCCAAAGGCAAAACCGTCACCACACGCGAAACGATGGTGGACAGCCGACTTAACACAGTTGCGCCATATATACACATACTGGCGAAATCATGCTCGCTCGGAGCGTCGGGCAGGACGAAAAGTACCGCACCTGGAAAAGACAGCCCAAAGTGCGGCGAAACAATACCACGATGCCATCCGCAAACAAAAGAAGAAGCACTGGAATGAGTTTCTCGCAGACAACGATAACATCTGGAAAGCCGCTAAATACTTGAGGTCGGGAGAGGACGCGGCATTCGGGAAGCTACCGCAGCTTGTTAGAGCAGACGGGACTACCACCACGGATCATCAAGAGCAAGCAGAAGAGCTGCTGTCTAAGTTCTTTCCCCCACTGCCTGACGTTATTGACGACGAGGGGACCAGACCACAAAGAGAGCCGGTGGAAATGCCTACTATCGGCCTAGAGGAGGTAGAACGACAGCTTTTTGCGGCGAAATCATGGAAGGCGCCGGGCGAAGACGGTCTACCGGCGATAGTCTGGAAGATGACGTGGCCCACGGTCAAGCACAGGGTTCTCGACTTGTTCCAGGCGTCATTGGAAGAAGGCATGTTGCCGAGACAGTGGAGACATGCGAAGATCATACCGCTCAAAAAGCCGAACAAGGAAAACTACACTATTGCGAAGGCATGGAGGCCAATTTCGCTCCTCGCAACGCTGGGCAAAATACTGGAATCCGCGGTTGCAGAAAGGATCTCGCACGCTGTGGAGACACACGGCTTGCTCCCGACCAGCCATTTCGGAGCCCGGAAGCAACGGTCCGCGGAGCAGGCACTTGTACTCCTACAAGAGCAGATCTACACAGCGTGGCGTGGCCGACGGGTGTTGAGTTTGATCAGCTTCGATGTCAAAGGCGCCTACAACGGGGTGTGTAAAGAACGACTGCTCCAGAGAATGAAAGCGCGAGGCATACCAGGTGTCCTGATCCGGTGGGTCGAAGCGTTCTGCTCGGAACGAACGGCGACCATCCAAATCAATGGACAAGTGTCGGAGGTCCAGAGCCTTCCACAGGCTGGCCTACCTCAGGGCTCGCCCCTGTCCCCGATCCTATTCCTCTTCTTCAATGCAGACCTCGTACAAAGACAGATCGACAGCCAGGGCGGAGCGATGGCGTTCGTGGATGATTTCACCGCATGGGTGACCGGGCCGACCGCCCAGAGCAACCGGGAAGGCATTGAAGCAATTATCAATGACGCACTCGACTGGGAGAAAAGGAGCGGAGCGACTTTTGAAGCAGACAAAACAGCCATCATACACTTTGCTCCCAAGGCTTACAAATTGGATCAGGGACCTTTCACTATCAAGAGACAAACCGTTGAGCCCAAGGACCATGTCAAGATCTTGGGCGTCCTCATGGACACGAAACTCAAGTACAAGGAACATATTGCGAGGGCAGCATCCAAGGGCCTGGAGGCCGCGATGGAGCTTCGACGACTTCGGGGTTTATCCCCAGCGACAGCACGACAGCTATTTACATCGACGGTGGCGCCGGTCGTGGACTACGCGTCCAATGTCTGGATGCACGCGTGCAAGGATAAGGCCATGGGGCCGATAAACCGCGTCCAAAGGGTAGGAGCGCAGGCGATTGTAGGAACATTCCTCACAGTTGCGACCAGTGTAGCAGAAGCCGAGGCCCACCTTGCCACTGTTCAACACCGCTTCTGGAGACGAGCCGTGAAGATGTGGACGGACATACATACCCTGCCAGAAACCAACCCTCTCCGCAGGAACACAGCACGGATCAAGAAATTCAGAAGATACCATCGTTCGCCGTTGTATCAAGTAGCAGACGCGCTGAAGAACGTTGAGATGGAAACACTGGAAACCATCAATCCGTTCACATTGGCACCATGGGAAGTACGCGTACAGGTTGGCGTTGAAGCAACTCCGCAGTCACCGACCGTACCAGGCGGGTCAATGCAGATCGCAACCAGCAGTTCAGCACGGAACGAGCTAGTCGGGTTTGGGATGGCGATCGAGAGACAGCCACCTCGGTATCGAAAACTGAAACTGAAGACCCTTTCCGTCACATTGGGTGCAAGAACAGAGCAAAATCCGTTCTCTGCGGAGCTAGCAGCGATGGCACATGCGTTGAACATGGCAGTTGGTCTGAAAGACTACAGGATTACGCTGCTCACGAGCAACAAAGCGGCGGCTCTGACACTAAGGAATCCTCGACAACAGTCAGGCCAGGAATTCGTCTGCCAACTGTACAAGTTGATGAGAAAGCTACGGAGAAATGGAAACCAGATCAATATCCGGTGGATCTCAACGAGCGAAGACAATAAACTGCGGGGTCTGGCTAAAGAACAGGCCAGAGCCGCGACACAAGAAGATGCTCTCCCGCAAGAACGCGTCCCGAGAATGAAGTCAACAACACTAAATATCGCACGATCCCAAGCAGTCCCCAGCAATGACCTGCCAGCGAACGTAGGGAGACACGCAAAACGAGTTGATGCAGCACTCCCAGGCAAACACACCCGGCAGCTGTACGACCGATTATCTTGGAAAGAAGCGAGCGTGCTAGCTCAACTCCGAACTGGCATGGCAAGACTCAATGGATATCTCTATCGAATCAACGTGGCAGACACGGACCAGTGTGCGTGTGGACAAGCGAGAGAGACCGTGGAGCACTTCCTATTTCGATGTCAAAAATGGACGGCGCACCGGACGGAGCTACTACAATGTACCAACACCCACCGAGGAAATATATCCTTCTTCCTAGGAGGAAAGTCGCCTTCCGATGATCAGAAGTGGACGCCGAACTTAGAGGCAGTACGGGCCTCAATACGATTCGCCATCGCCACAGGCCGACTCGAGGCCACCTAACCATACTGACGAACATAAATCACCCCCTTTCGCCGATCTAACCCACCAACCACCTCGTGTTACCAATGGTAGACGCGCTTCAACTGCCGAAAATAGGATGTTGAACACTTGGAGAAGCGCCTTCAAGCCAGCCTACTAACCAAATTACTAACCCACGAGGATCCGCTGCGATACAGACATCTGAGATGACATATATTGCAAGGCTTTATGTATGGGCTCTGAGGAGACACAGTACTATATATATTATGACATGTACAGTAGATCAGAGATAGTTGCCCTTTCGGCTTAGCCGCCGGGCGTTAATAAATTGTGTGTGTGTGTGTGTATCTGCAGGAGCGTTCTCAGGGGTCTTGAGTATATCCATGAACAGCTTCTGATAGTCCATGGGCATGTCGACTGTGACAACATTATCCTATGTTCTGATGGAGGCATTAAGATAGGTAAGTGTCACATACTGTTTTCATTCGTCGACACATAACTAATTGTTTAGCAAACATCGGAGACAGTATGATTGATGATAGACCCACGTCTATGGATTTAGATCGCGAAAATGTTGGATTACTGTTGCTTCAACTCGGTGATCCACAGAGATCTTTAGATGAACGCGAAGACCAAGTTAGAGCCCAGCAAATCGGGTTTAGGCTGTCGAAGTATGCGATTCATTTTGTAGAGCATATTAGCTCAGCATCGTTTTCTTACTTATTCGAGGTTGGGCTCTCTATATAATGTTCCTTAGTCTTATGCTCACAACTCACAGCATGCATTCTTGCAGCAAGTGCAACCAGACAGTCGGACGTGGTATCTGATACCTCATTATCTAGATACAATCATGCACTGGGGTGTTTTGCCACAAGAAACGGACAGATAAATCGAATCGGATGAGACTTTAGTTCTGCATTTTTAAATCTCTCGCTTCCACTTAAGACGAAAAATGATATAGTATCACTTTCGCCTTCGATGTAGGACAACGCAGAGCAGCCTTTTCAAACCCTAGTCATAGGAGTCGCTAAGCCGTATTTGGTTAATCTTTTATTGAACGATCCGTCATAAGGCCGACTGCTATACACCACGAAGAAAATTGAACACGCCAATATAAATTGAGATATAGGCCTTCTAGCAATTCAAGCTTGGTGTTCATCTCATTGGTACAGCCCTATGATTTACTTCACTTGAAATTAAGTCGGTAACCCGGGTCAATGTCTCATATAAAATGAGCGATTCACTGTGCTCAAGATGTTGAAGAGAGGCCCAAAAATGTCCTTCTACGTCCTCACAATATCTTCCAGGCTCTTGGCTTCTTCCAGAACTCTCCGGCGTGTAATTTCTTCCAGTAATTATTTACCAAACATAGCATAATCTTCCAGCGCATCTTGTCCAACCCGGATAATGACAATATCGTCCAGCCAAGATGACCTCCGATTACTCCCCTGGTCAATGCATCCACACTCCTTTTGTGAGTATCTATTAACTCCAGAGTCACGGAGCTGTCTAAGGAACATCGAACGACAAGTCGTTGTGAGATACAGTTGTTGCAAAACAGACACGGATTCGTTCTGGTCATTGAGATGTGCTTCGTTTTTCTCAAGGTCACGAATAGCAGAAGTTATGAAGGCCATACAACCGGCTTGGTTTTTTCGTTGAACTGTCCGGGAGTACTGGCTGGAATTTTAGTATATTGCTCTTATAGCCTAGAATTTGCACGTGCTAACTAGAGTATGATGTTTAGGTAAGTGCTTATGGAATAACGCCAAAGCCACCTCCTGGAGTTGATATATGCCATAGCCCGTCACTGACATCTCCGTTATATGAGAGGCGTATCCATTAGGTAAGGCCTGCTTGGTCATAGCATCTCAGACTTGTAAGCAGAGCAAATACATAGAATGGGTCAAGTTGCTGACCAGAAACCCACATAGAGCCCAGTGATGTCTCTGTAATGATCTCATGCCCTCCTTAAGGACATTGAGGTCAACAAGTCCAGTAGGTTCCAGCTTCCTAATGATCTCCAAAACCAGAGCCGTGGATTTGAAAAGTTTGATCTCGGAGGGAAGGTTGAGGTTGAGCATTCCTTTCGGCTGAACATTCCTTTCGGCCGTGACAGCACACGGCACGCTAACTTCGCGCTCGAACAAGATTCTGATTCAAATAAAGAATTTGTAATGGCGAATTCACATTCAAATTCACATTCACATTCACATTCACATTCACATTCACATTCACATTCACATTCACATTCGCTATCACTAAGCACCCTTTTTTGGTACTGTAGGTGAACATTAGGAATCGGCTCCCCCTCCTTCAGAAGATGAAAGAACGATTGGTTGCCGTACGCTGGCTTTTCGGCGGAAACAGTTCGTATAAAGGCTTCTATGAACTGCCGAGAAGCACGAAGTCTCCATTGGACCGCCTATTTATGCGCGGCCTGTCTGTCCTCTCCGAAGAGGGCTTCGAGTTCAGTAACAATAGGCCATCCAGACCACTTAATTCTCCCGCGCAGCGCATCGGAGAGATCCCCGAGACCGGTAAGGTGGGATACCCCTAGGAACGAGGGGAGGTCTCTGACTGCACGTTTCTGACTCGATTCTCCTGATGGCTTTCGGGGAGCTAATCGCATATCCCGATAGGCGTCGTCAATTTTGCTCCATGTCCCGGCTTCAGCAGTTTCCATCCGCTCGTGGTCCTCATAGATAACACCAAACCATGGCATCATTGTGCGCCTAAGGCGCGTGGTTGGTCCTGTAGAACCATATGGGATCACCGGTAGTGTCAACCGGACATCTCCAGCCTAACAGATTGCCCCTACAAAGGAGGTTCCAAATTGTTCTTTGTTTGCTTTCCCCTACATCCAAGGGTAAATCACAATTGTGTGGCCGGACGTCTGGGCATCTAGGTGACTCGCAATCTTGGACCACCATTCTTCAAGATGCAAATGCATCTTAGGGGGGGGCTATAGTGCAGTTTTCGCTGTCCTCATTGGTAAAAAGATCCTTGCACTGCGTTCCCACTACGTCCAGTTACTAGGGAATGGCCAATGTTCAAATCAATATGTGTGAACCCTGTCTCTTCTCCTGGATACGCGCTTTTTGTGTAGTAAGGGAAGGCCATCAATCCCCATGTATGATCCGGACGAACCGCGACATACGTCGCGTAGTAGCAGACATCTCCCCTATCTCCCACTGAAGGTTATAGCGTTCTTCCGGAGGGCGGTTTTCTAAGGCTTGCTTGACTCTCTGGAAGGTAGGATCCGAAGCCCCCAAGGGCTGGGTGTAGATAGTCTCTATCGTGGACAGGGCTGTGGCATTGTCAGGACTGGGACTAGGGCCGGCCATCTCAGGATCGTAAGGGCGACAGCTAGTTCAAAGTAGCAACTCAAGCAAATTGAGCACTGTGTGGGAGTCGTGAAAGTCGAGTGGAGGAATAGGCAACTTTGAATAAGTTTTCTTGACTTCGCATCCAGTCTGTCTCACTTCTAGATCTCTTCGGTCTAATAGAACCTTCTCCCGAGGGTAAAAGGACCTGCCTTCCATCACTTGACGCCACCTCACAACGTGCTCTTTCATCACCTATCTCGCATGTGACGCCACGTCCATCCGCGTTCTTTCATCCTACCGCTTCTCCTCTCTCGGCTCCTTGGTTTCTTTCATCCTCCCCTGACACCTCTCGCTTCTTAGGCTGACCTCTTGACTTACTCTCTTAGTTTAGAAACTCAGTAATCATGCCTGAGCGTCAGCGCGCCCCTCGCGATAGCAACTCTTCCCGTCAGCACGTTCGTGCTCAACTCTCCACCTCTGTCCCGCAGTTCCTCTTTTGCCTTACATGTGTCCAGCTCAATATCGTCAATTGGACCCAGGCGGGGACCGGGCTTGGTTTCGGGCCTCGCTTCCAGTTTCGCTTTGTTCAGGACTCCGGCAATTCAAATGACTGTCAGAACTGTGCCCAGGAAGGTTGAACTTGTGAGCAGGTAATGTAACCCCATTCAACCCCTATACCGACTATCCTTACTGACTCCCAGTCCCCTATCTAGGTTCCGGTTGGGATCGAAGGACACCGATACGAATTGCTCTCCTTGATAACGCAGTCTACCTTTCCGTCAGGCTTCTAGGCGAGCGCCATCATCCAGGCTTCCATAAACAGCCTTTCTAAAATCAACCTCACTACCGGATCAAGATCGCATTCACGTACACTATGATATCCCCAATTGAAATCGGCGTGTTCTGGATACAACCCAAACAGCGAACCCTCACGCCCTTGACAGGGGTGTAAGCTAACGAAGGTCACGTGGACGCGTTCCGGAGACAAAAGGGACAGATTTCCGGAAGTACTGTAAACATATTCCAAGTAGCCACCCTATGATCTAGCCAAAATAAGGTAGAGAGATTCCGTCCTTTCTATTGGACAGGAACGAGCGGTGGGTAGTGTCGCCTGCATCGGATTATGCTTTCGGCTTTCGTTTCCGTTCTACCAAAGGCTCTTGTGCGATCTGTTTTATGTGCCGCAGGGTGTCTTAAGAATAAGAGGCTGCCCTCCCTATGACAGTTTATCCAATTCACAAATAGAGATATGGCGACTCAATACTCTATTCATCCTGACAATCAAGCCAGCGGTTTGACTTACGAGCCCTTCGAATCCAGTTACGTACGAATGATCGTGGAAGCGGACGAAATTCCCTGGCAAGATAACATTCTTGCTAGTATAGCACACTGGATACTTCTTGCTGGATATCTGGTAATTCCTGGGACGTTCACGTCTCTCCAAAAGTCGAACACTATCCACAATGGGCTCGCCGAAAATGAAGCCGGGGAGTGGATTCTAAATACTATCCAGAATCCTCCACTTCTCGCGACGGCATGTATACTGTTTGTCTCGGGCTTAGCGATCATGGGTTGGCTGTTCTGGGAGTATCGCGGGAATTTTATTTGGCTTATTAATCGTATTTTTATGTGAGTGTCACGTATTAATGATAGGAGATCTCGCCTAATTTTTGTTAGTCCTACGCTTCTTAATGTATTAGCTGGTTTTCTTACTACGATTGTTAGCTTATACACTGCCCATGATGGTGATTGGTCTATCATGGTACTTTTGACCGTGATTACATCTGGCCTGTCCGTTGCCTGCTCCCTTATTCTGCTGTATATTTATAGATTTGGCAAACTACAGAGACTGAAACGAGAACATAATCGGGTTTTTCGCAACCACGAACACCCTCTCCATGTCTAAGGATTTGCCCTCTCATACGATATTATTCCAGGGAAACGGTCAGAAAAGCATGAAGAATAACCCAGGACATGAAACTTCTTATGTACATTGCATTCAATAGTACAGTCCGTCCCGAAACCGGCGCAACAACTTCACTCGTTACTTTCCCTTATTCTAAGACACGCTAGTACATATTGCGAGTTATTCCGGAAGTTCAGTGTGTATTGCTTCGTATTGAATGTATTTCATACTTATCTAGAAATGTTATTGCTTCGTACGTGAGTTATTTTGTAATTTCACGCCGAGAGTGGCGAAGATTGATCGACCGTCCTCTGTCGATATCTCTATGGGGGGGAGGTATGTAGTGGGGAGGCCGATCAGTACACATCACCCTCGCCTTCTTCCTTTTAATGTTGTTCAATCGGTATGGTATGTAAGCTAGCATTGGGATTCGAGGTTACAAGTAATAGATAGACACAGATGGATAATACACATTCCTACACCTCTCTGAATTGACTTCTGGGGCTGTATGCCTGGATTCTTTTGTATGCAAAGTCGGGTATGGAACTGAACTGCGAGTGCTGAATCGACCCGTATGCCTGAGAGCGCCTGAGAGGATACAGCCTTGAGCGCTCCCCTCTTCACGCGTTAGTTAGTTAGATAAACCGGCAAAATATTACATAATATAGGGGGTGTGGTGCAAGGGGCGTTGAAACCTTCGCTGCGTCAGTGTACTCCTTACTACATACGGAAACCCGCCTCCGCCTGTTCGATTGATTCTCATACCTCTTAACGCCAAGATATGTTAGTCTATATTAGGATTAAACACGGAATATCCATATTCCTATATCTGTATCAGAAAACAATGTCGGGACGGGCCGCGATGCTGAACCGCCCGACCGCGACGAACACGAAGATTCACCACCAAACCACCAAATAATTATCACAAGCTACAGACCCTGACAGATAGACCCCTGACACCGCAATCCCACTCCAAGGTATGCTCTCAGAACAGCCACGATGAGATCCTTCTTGAAATTTAATCCCTACGCAATGCAATCAGCCCTTCCGCCACCGCAAGGTCCCCGTCCTATGCAGACGTTGCCCGTACTCCTCCAACCAGTCACCCGAGCAACGTACAGACTCTCTCAATGTCGAACACAATACCAACCACTTTCACCGACACGTTACATTCCACAATAGACCCCTCGAAGATGGTAGAAAATGAAAACGAGAGGATTTCCGCAGGCCCAATCCGAGCAGCGGTTGAGACAGAGATCTAGACGATGGAAAACCAAATGCACTGGTGCTGTCGCGCTGTCACGGTGGATCTGAAAACACGAACCGGATTATGATAGCTGAGACTGTTTGATGCCCCGTGGCCGGTCCCAAAGCGCTAGGAACGAGCTCTGCTGAGAACTGCGCTATGGAAGGAGATAAATGCCAGAATTGCGGGCACTCTGGCCGCCACTCCATTAGAAAGCACGGTACGACTAAAAACCGACCGACTGATGTCTGCGGTGTAGGATACGGTGTATGCCTCGACACCGAGGGCCAAACCGTCACCACACGCAAAGCGATGGTGGACAGCAGATTTGACACAGCTCCGTCATATATACACATACTGGAGGAATCACGCCTGCTCTGATCGACGGGCGAAAGAAAGATATCTCACCTGGAAAAGACGGCCGAAGGTGCGGCAAAACAATACCACGATGCCATCCGGCAACAAAAGAAAAAGCACTGGAATGAATTCCTTGCAGACAACGATAACATATGGAAAGCCGCTAAATACCTGAAGTCGGGAGAGGATGCAGCATTTGGGAAGGTACCACAGCTTCAAGGTCTATCCCTAGCAACAGCGCGGCAGCTATTCACATCGACGGTGGCCCCGGTGGTGACCACGCCTCCAATGCCTAGATGCACGGTTTCGAGAATATGGCCATCGGACCGACCAACCGCGTCCAAAGAGAAGCGCAAGCGATCGTAGGGACATTCCTCAAAGTTGCAACCAGCGTAGCGGGAAGCGGAGGCCCACATTGTCACTACACAACACTGGTTCTGAAGACGGGTCGTGAAAATATGGACGGACACTCACATCCTGCTAGAAACCAACCCTCTCCGCAGGAATACAACGCGGTTCAAGAAATGCAGAAGATACCACCGTTCGCCGTTGTATCAAGTAGCAGATGCGCTGAAGAATATCGAGATGGAGACACGAGAGACCATCAACTCATTTGCATTGGTCTTACAGGGAGAACGCGTGCAGATCCCAGCGATACGGACCGAAACGGGCGGAGTTATGCAGATTGCGGTAAGCAGTTCGGTACGGAACAATTTGGTAGGATTTGGGGGAGTGATCCAAAGCAAATACCTCAAGACCTTCTCCATACTAGGGGCAAGAGCAGAGCAGAATCCATACTCCGGGAAACTGGTAGCGATGGCACACGCATTGAGCACACTACCAGGACTCAAACAGTATAGAATCTCGCTGCTCACGAGTAACAAAGCGGTGGCTCTCACGCTAAGGAACCCTCGACAACGGTCCGACCAGGAACACTACAAAGACTTGCTAGACAACGTCGGGAGACACGCCAAACAAGTGGTTACAGCACTCCTAGGGAACACACTCGGCAGCTGTTATGGAATGAAGCGAGCTTACTAGCTTAACTTCGGATCGGTATAGCTAGATTGAAGATTGAATAGATATCTCTATCGAATAAACGTCGCGTAGACGGATTAGTGTGTATATAGATAAGCAAGGGAGACCGTAGAGCGCTTCCTCTTTCGATATCGGAAGTGAGCTGTATACTAGACAGAAATACTGCAATATACCTCTACCTACCGAAGGTAATATATCCTTTTTCCTAGGCGGAAAACCGCCTTCGGATGACTAAAGCTAGAAGTCGAACTTAGAAGCAGGTCGAGTCTCAATACGATTCGCAAACGTCACGGGCCGACTCGACGCCACTTACTCATATCGACGAACACAATGATACTCTTCCCCGAAACTAACCCACACTAACAACCTTATGTTAGATATGGTAGACGCGCTTCAACTGCTAAGGATAGGACATTAAGCACTTGAAGAAGCGCCTTCAAGCCAGTCTACTAACAAAGTTACTAACCAACGAGGACCCGCTACGAAGGAGACACGGCACATGTACGCTAGAACATATATTGATAGATCAGTGATAGTTGCCCTTTCGCCTTACCCGCCGGGCATTAATGAATTGTGTGTGTATCAATTGTCTGCGGAGCGTCCGGATCTCAATTATCATCCTTATTAGCCTTACTTCCGATGCGAATGCCTAAAGGCAGAGTTCTGAAGTAGTGTCGCTTCAAACTCCAGGCCCCCCCGGGTTGGCAAGATGTAGGAATTCGTCCTTTTAATGAAATCAGCGATGCCACGAAGAGAAAAAGCTTGAGGTACTGACTTTTATCAGCTTGTCGGCGGTTGTATCTTCCTTAGTTCTCTGCACAAATGAATGGGCCAGCCGTGAAAGCGGTGATATATCAAGGTCATGGCTTGAGCTAAGAAGTGCGGCGCTCCGGTCACTTAGGAACACTACGATTGACCTAATGTCTTGGATATCCTTCTGAATCGTATCAGAGGAATGCTTTTTCAATAAGCTTTCGCCAATATTTGCTTCTCGTGAATTAGTGAAGTTCAAATTGAGCGGACAAGACGTACCAAGCTTAACTTCGCCTTGCTAAGTAAGAAGGACGTTGCTGAAATCTAACAAGCTATATGAAGTCCTTAAAGCCGAATGAATGAATTTAAGCCCTTCTAAGATCTCCCTGTAGACTGTCGCTGTGTCCGTATCGCTGAACTGAACATTTCCTGTAATATAACCAAGACTGATTGCCAAGTGCTCATACTCATAGACTAAATGAAGTATATCTCTAGATTGGAAGTGATCAATCAAGGATAGAATGTTTCTGTGACTAGCAAATTTCAGTCCTCGAATTCGCAGTTTTCTAGCGTCACGGTCCTTGATCAGACAAATGGGGAGATTCTCAGTGTCTTTCAAGGCTATTACTCCTGTTCCAGCCTGGTCAATATTGTATGATTTGTGATACTTGTCCAGTGAACTTTTCTTGGGAAGAGCAAGAGATGCGCTCTTTTCGCTTGGTTTGACTGGAACGCCCATTCGGTGCACATGGCTTTTCTCGAACAGCCTTTTCGGCGGGCTTGCTTCACCCACGGTGTCCTCATTCATGTCGTCATCTCTTGTATTGAAGTCGGATTTCTTCGCATTGGCATCTCCTCTATTCGGCCACAATTGATTTGGTAGAATAGTATCTCGTTTGGTGCTTGACTCCATTCCGTAAATTTCGCGTCGGATCCTTTGTGGTTCAATTCATAGATAGATAGAATAGATCGTGGGTGTTGCTCCGCGAAATTTTTTTCGTTATGCTTTTGGCTGTGTGAGAGAGTCCTTCATTTAGGAAAAAAAAAAGAAAGAAATTTGGACATGGCCCTTTAATTAGCTAGTCGTGCCCTACTTCCTCATTCCTGGCAGACACTTTAGATGGAACCTGTTGGCAGTCCCCAATTGGCCAAGATAAACCAAAAGCAGTGTCGCAGCATTAGTCTGCCAGTCGCCAGCAAGAGAGACGCGTCCGAAGATCCTTTCAGTCACCACACCAATAACATGCCTCCCAAAGGCTTTATTTTTACCGGTGCTTTATTATCGTTAGGTTGCAAATTGCAAGATGGCCTGTAGAGAACAGAACGTTCCCGCAATTCTCACATCGTTGAATTTGAGGGTCGCGGCAACCTTGATAGGCCAATTACTGTATGTCTATGAGGGAGATACCGCTTGAAGGTTGATATATGGATGATATGTATGGGATTGTAGGCAATTCCTCGCAGGCTTTTCTGCATCGCATCTACCGTCTACCAGTACATAGAAATTGTATGTATTCACCTAATTGGAAATAACCAGTATAGTCTCGTCATATCAAAAACCATGATCATGCTTAGGAGACACGATCTTTAAAGCCTCTTCATCAGCAACAATATTAGCTGGATCCATCTTCCTATAGAGGTTCTCTAATGATCGAAAACGCTCAGATCTGGTGGCGAAGTACCGAGTGAGCCTAGATAGGCGACTCTCGGAGCTTTCCGGCAGGCTTTCCATTTTATTGAAGTTCGATCGTTCCAGATCAGGGTGCTTCTGTTCCTACCAGTCTCTTAGCTTAATGAACCCTCTTTTGGGCACTATCTAACTCACCAATTTCTTATCACTAGGGGGCCACGATTTATTATTAACTGAGTTGTAGACAAACGATCCTCGCTGATGATTGATGACTAAGTATATATCCGCATTATAGAACTTGGCAAGCTCGTGAGCTTTGAGTTTTAATATATGGGATCTTCTCGTGAATTTGACTCGCGAGTTCCTGTTAGGATCAGGCCCACCTATGGCTTCAATTAATAAGAGAATTCAAATGAGGTAAACCTTTTCATACGGGCATTTTACACGGATGAAAAAGGTCTCATATTTATACCCTAATTTGTTTTCTAGTTATTATTTGAACACGTGATAAAAACATAATCTAGGTTCGATGTAGGTTTAGATAAGTGAACGTTTCCTGGGATAAACAACCTCCGGGCCTTTTGATTCGCGCTTGCGTCTCCTACCCCTGACAGGGCTCTGGATCGCGTCACAGCTCTGGCAAGGTTGGCGGCAGGGATACCCATGGTTATCTTGACCAAACGAAGACTGTAGGCCTTATCTTAAAGCAAACGATGCCATACTCTCTAGGAAACCCCCGATCCTCTAGCGCTTTTTAGAGCTGGTCTGTATATATATATTGACCGTGTGTTCCAGATGACGAGTCAAGAAAGAAATGGAGCGGTTGTAACATCCACATGAGGGGCAAAGACTGTCTAGACCCCCAAACCTATCGATCAATCCACAATCTGAGATATAACTAAGCCCATCAGGGTAGAGATTTTCCAAAGCCTGGATCACCATCTGTGCCGGCCCTTTACAGCGCACGGACCCGCAATACCAGAATGGAGTCGCGGTGTTTTCTGGCAATGAGCTAACGACAAAGAATAATCTAGAGGTGAGTAGTGTAGTTGCCGTATCCCGGGCCATCCGTGTACTACCGATTTGGAGGATCACAAGATTGCGATAGTCCTCCATGGCCTCGACAGCGTCAATAGTGTGAGGCCCATTTCCTAGAGGCACGTCCAGGCGATAACTATCACTTTTAACTGAATCATTTAGACGACCTCTCCATTTTTTCCACTCGCTATCTGTCTCCATGGTAGACATCCACGTATCAAATCCCCGGCGTACGAAACTGTCACGAAAGATGTGGCGGAAATGTGGAGTCTGATCACTCGGCTGCGCTTTTCTAGTACCTAATGACAGTATTCTTGTAGACCCTATGGCTGTGGGCTAGATTTGGCGTGAGACTTGATGCGCAATCTCTCCCGCGAAATTGTACTTTAGTCCACCGTCCTGAAAGGAACCGATTCCCTGTAGATCCGCTAGCGTAAAAAAGCTTGTGATCTAACGGTCAGCTCTACTACGATAAGATAAGGAATTATCGACTTACAACGGGGCCGCGGCGGTAGCCCTTCCTCTAGATTTCAGTTAGCGCTGACTATAAAAACTGGGGTGCATGGCAAGCTTAAGGCTATATTCTCCACACAGGTGGTTCGTTTCGTGTATCATCGGGACGTATTATTCGGAAGTCTTATCACATTAGTAGGAACGTGAGGCAAATTGATCGTCGAACTTGCCGTTTTCGTCCCCTGAGTCATGGGACACGTTGAAGTTCCCTATCACAAAAGTACTTGTGTCTCTGGAAATGCTCGTGGTTACTACCCTAACCTTCGGACCGGAGCGTTGTGGTCCGAGTGGATCTTCTCGGGTGGCACCAAAAATGCGACGATGCTCCCCAAAAGCACTTTTTAAGGCGGAATCGAAGACCCGCGAATCGTAGCAGCTATCGTGTAGGAGCCATTGGACCCATTTAGCCATGTCCCCAAAGACAGATATACAACCAAAGATTTGGCGAAGAAGTAGAGGGAAGACAGAAAAGCGTCTTGCACGGAAAATTCGACATGCCAAGGTATCGAATCGCTCCGAGCATTCTGTAACATGCCATGCCATTGCGAATAAACCTAGGACGATAAGACCACCTACAATATCCTCCATTAGGCTTCCTGATTTGAAAACATACACAAGGGACCTGACTGACCGGAACTTGTGCCAAGCGCGAGGTCTACCACATCTTGTATCGCGCACGGGCGCAGGTGTTCCTGAATCAGAAGTAGAAACTCTAACGGAATTACCCCCCTAACTCCACCACCATCGATGGCAAGAATTGTGGGGCTCATAGTCGGCGGAAGAACATCCACGACTAACGGCCTCTGGTAGAGGCAATAGAGACAGCCTTTAATAGTGAACTGATATTCCAGCCCGGAGGTAGGGCTTCCGAAAATCTGAGCACAGCGGTCGCACACTGTATGCCCACATGCTAGAACGTGTTGTGCGGAACGCAAAAGGCAGACCAGACAAATACGACTGCTTTGCATGCGAGATACCTGACCACTGAAGGACTTGAGTTGTTCTTTGCGTAAATTTGCTGAGGAGACTGCGTTCTCCGACAAGCGTTCATATAAGCGCGCAAAGTGAAGCTCCACCAGATCAGTTTCTTTTACCGGACATATATCGGGCCATAAAGCCTTCGAAATGCAATACGCTGTATTAACAGCAGAGCGATACAAAGTTTTAAATACTATGCGGGGATTCGTGGCTACCTGATGTCAGCCTCAGCGTATGAAATGAAATGTTGAGACAGGACCCACCAAGCATCTCGGGTACGTAGTGGTCCATAAAAAGCGCGGACGAAATTGTGGCGGCCAATACAGAGAGAGGGAGATTGGCGTGGTGGCCGATCTCAAGATAATACGCCAAATGTGGCTCTGCGCATAAACTAACAGGGCGATCTTTCCTTGTAGCTTTCACGAAATCGAACGGATGAGAAATATCCTCTACGGTGTGTTGGATGGCTGATTGAAATAATGCTATCAAATGCGTCCCATTTGGCCGGGCTTGATTTTCTTGTCGAATGGAGGAAATGGCGTCGACCTGTTCTGTGATCGACGCTTTGATTCGTTGAAATCTTGTGATATCAGAGAAATCATACTGCAGGTATAAAGATATAGAGCTGGAGAACAACCCTGATAGATCGTTATACCCGCTTTCTTGGACTTTCCGGTGGAGTAATCCTATATCATCCATACCCCTTTCTTCTTTTGTCACCGATGGGCCATAAACAAATATCGCCCTTGGTAAATGTTGTGATGAAAACGAGGACGCAGAACGAAGCTCTAAACAGCTGACAAGAAAGTGCACGACCTTGTCAAGACAGGCAGTGTCGTCGATGAAGATGCAAACTATATCCGTGAAGACAAAAATCAACCGTGACCACAGAACTAGTAGTATTTTTGCCGCTGAATAGTTATTCCAAGAAACAGGATGGCCAACGCCGGCATCGAGTCTCTTGGCAGTGTAGAATTTGTTAGTGTTCGGGATGTCACCATCAACCAACAATACTGGCTGGCGGCTTTGCAAAGACGCAACATCGTATCGCAGCGTTATTGGAGCCTCAGATTCATGCCTTTTTATATTGTTCAGAGGGTAGAGCTGCTGAAGAGCGTGATTCTTGGTTTTCCCACCGAGGAATACACATAATGATGGATATTGGTTATCTTGGTCGTACAACTCGGAGACTACACGGCGTAGCCGGCCGTGGTCTTGGATTGCAAACGTGGAATCTTCACGGGTGCCGACATCGAGCCAGCCAATATCTATCGAATTTTGCATGGCGAAAGTAAAAGTGAGAATAATGCTTCTCTGGTGCCTCACGGTGCGAGATATTTAAATGTAAATCTGACCCCTTCATTTGACCAACGTGTTTCATAACTAGGGTGATAATATCATCCACATTTGCGAACAAGACCTCTAGGTGGATTAGTTCACAAACGGGACTGGTACTAGGACGGAAACAGACTTCTCACCTGGTTCTCACCTCGTTCTCACCTCGTTCTCACCTTGACCCACTTTTACTGGTATAGATCCCGGACTACGTACTTTTGTTAACGTCCATTATCGCCTCCACTAAGTCCAGGGGCAAAGGTCAAACAGGGATAACAACAACAGGGTTCCATAACCAATACCCAGCTCTCATTATCCAACAGTTGGTGGCGCTGCCCTAGCCATTGGGAGTCCGGCGTTTAAGAGAAATCAATACATAAGATCTATCTCCGGCATCCGAGACCTATTATTATTCTGCT